GTTCAATTTGTCCAGCTACCATGCCAGTACTAAAGGAGTGCTGAATGTAGTAGGTTCAGCGCATGGAGATTGTCAGTCAATCTACAGGAACGTTCACATTGTAAACGAAGTGAAGAAATTCGTACTATCGGCGACCTCAGGAACGTTTTGGTTGGCCGAACAAAATGATGGTTCGCCAGGTGGAGTGATAAAGGTAGTAGATCGCTACCTGGTGACAGTCCGGACATAACTGCAGTGACCTTATGAACTCAGTGCTTGAGCTAGTGGAGAAAACCGGCTAACCCCAGCCAAAGTCAAACCGTTCATGGGTGTTTCTCTCTGTCACCCTCGATAAGCAGTCTCTCTGACTGGCTGACGAAATCCCGACAATCATTCTTACCGGGAATGGCACCGTTCATTGTTACTAGCCTTTGAAGGCCGGACTTGATATCCGACTCGTGGGACCAAGACAAGTATGCCAGGGCACTTCATAGTCACTCTAATCATCAAAATTCCGGTAAACAAACAGTAGTCTGCCATTTGCAAACGTTACCCACGATGCGACAAAAATCCGGACAACACAGTCTTCGGTTAACTGGGCGAGTCACAACCCATAAATTCCGGGCTGCGCTATGCTGACTACTTGACAAGACATCACTGCTGGTACCATGCACAAAAAATTGACCCATCTGTCATCTGTCCAGAAACTTGCTGATAATGTAAAGCGCAGGGTGCTGAAGATAACGAACCATCTGCAATGATTGCACCCAGCAATACACAGAAACGCTGTTACGAGTAGTCTGTAGTAACAAGACTCAGTGAAGCGTCGTAAAGTATTCCTGGCTAGCAAGCTCATCTAATAATGCCCTATCGGTTGGTCCTAGTGCTGATATCTACGTCGAAGATAGATTCTTTGAACCGAATCATTCATCAAAGGTGAAGATCGGATGGTACATTAAATCTGGAATGAGATGGTACATTAAATCTGGAATGAGATGAGTCCGGGTCAACTAGTAGAGTTTGACAAATTTGGCCGTATCTAGATGCATGTTCACGATTCCTCGTTGAGGATGTGAAAAACCAGTGTTGACAAGTCCCGATCCTTCATGTTGAATGTAATAAATTAAACATCGGGTATTTTCCTCTAGGTAGCTGTAGGTGGTCGGCGAACCAAGCGATTATGTGTGTCAAATCAACCAAAACAATTCCTGCATCTTGGCATACCCCGAACCATGCAAACAAAGACGAAGTTCGATGTGGGTTAAGTGTCTTGGGAGGCTGGTAAGATGCGCCGTGTTGGAAATAACACGTGTGGTGAATCGCCGAATTCGCTGAATCAACTCAATTGGTAGGCAAGGTCCGAGGAACAGATTATTGACGACTGCTGACAGTTCGATGAATGCTGACGATTCAGTGATATGAAGCAGTTCGGCCTGGTGAAACAGGACGATTCGGGTGAGTAAATCAGTTCAGTCTGATACAGAATGGTGAGCCGGAACGTTGATGTGATCTTGATTGTGACTGTGATCTGGATCAGTTTGGTAATCCGGAACATTTAAATGATCTCAGCTGAACCAGTCAGATGAACCGGTGAGGTGAAATGTTCCGGCCGAGGTGAATCGTTTCGGTGAAGAAAGCCGTTATGGCGAGGCGAACCGTTTCAGTGCGATGAATCTAACCGATGATCTTAACCGTTTCGGCGATAAGAAACAGTCTTATATATGGCAAATTAAGTCGATGTCGTGATCCAATACGCCTTGGCGAAACGGTTCAGCCTGGTGAATCCATTCGGTGTGGCGAATCGATTCAGTGTGGTTAATCTGTTCGGCGATTTGACGATGTAGATCGGCTGTGTGAGTCGGCTGGCAACACAGTGCGGTTCGATGAGGCGGAACGAGTATGAATCTGATGATGCGCCAATAAAATCATCACCTTCCGACATGGCAATCTCCAAATGACGAGCAGTTAATACTGGTTGTTGAAAGCGGGGTTTTGTCGGGTTCAACTGTTGAAGTGTAACGAGCTCTGCCTGCCAGCCAACGGGAGCAAGCATGTCTATATGCTCTAAAAACGTCCTTGATAAGGGAGCACATTCCCGACAACACTTGCTTCAGGAACACAGGTCAATACAACCCACACATCACAAGTGGGGATCCGAGGAAGAAAATATTGTTACAGTGTGCGCAAAATTACGCTACTTTGGGTTAACTACCCATGATATATTCTCATGTTAACTTTTGAGGAAAACTGAGAACTCTCACAATACGTCCACACAGTGGCGCGACAAGAAGAATGATCACTCTGAGGTAGTCACGTGGGTAGACAGGGGAACGTGCTGCACGCTTAGCCAGGGACTAGCTATAGGGACCCGTCCTATAAAGAGAGCAGCCTGGGGAACACGGGTGTATGGACAAGAGAGGCCTACAGGAAAAGTTCTCATTCGTTCTACTCAGCGTCGAAGCAAGAGAGAGAAGTGCAAATCGTGAGATAGGATAAGTTTAAAACTTGTGTTTTTATAGGTTTGCATCCAATAAATCCCAGACAGGGCACAAACTGCAATGGTGTACAATCGTACTTGAAGATAAAAAATCATAATAAATACGCCAGGTTGGCAGTAACAAAACATTCTTCTTCACAACAAATATCTCTAGAATAACGTTTGATCACCTGACGGTTAAAACTATAAACTGTCAACTCCTGGACAGTAAAATCACAACGCAATGGACACTAGCTTTGCTAAACGTGAACAACTCCACATAAAATGTACAGATTGATTTTTCGACGATAATTGAAAAAAATACTGACGCATTAAAGCATAAACTGCGAAAGAAGACCTAAAATCACTATATCTAAGAATTGACGGCCAAAAATGGTTTGTCTGCTGTTTAGGATGTCATATTTCGTGTTGAAACGATCATTTTCCGCGATCTTGTTTCGATACTCAGGAGGGTGCCCTCGCTTAACGTGCAATTGCAATAAATATAGAGGGTGTCAAGCAATTACAGAAAGATCTGTAACTTTCAAGATCTTTCTGCCAAATGGCAAAACCTGATATACTTGCAAAATAATGAATGCGAGGAAAAACCCACCTTTACTCTTGCACTACATGTCCTTCTTTCACTATCCAGCAAGGAAATGGAGTTGCTTTGCGGGCAACTCCACATTTCGTGTGGACAGCGCGCTTCCACCCTGTGAAGAGGGCTGTCAACCAATCTGTCCACAATAATAAATACAAATCAAGTTTCAACAATTTATTTTCAAATTGATTTGCAACAAGCACTTTTATAAAACAATACAGACATGATAGTTTTCTCTGTACAATTATTACATCAGCCTTAACACGTACTGGACTATGGTACACATGCTGCTCTCCTCACCAGTTCACTCTTAATATACATAACTAATGTCCCTGCCGCCTGACAGGCCAAAATATACAATGTTCCCCTTGTAAGATGGCCACATACTTGTGGCAAATATTTGTATGGTGCCAGAGTGACCTGTTAGTGGGGTCAAAACTGACAGGCAAACAACACAGGTATTGCTGGCTCACACACAACCATCAAATCATTATCGCTTCCAAGAACACAAAATGTACAGTTGGTAATTTACAGCAAGATTGATAACGACAGACATTTCTGTGCAACCAACATCAGCATCAGTGACACTGTAATCAATTTAATGCAATTTCTTAAAACTTTTAAAAACAATAGTATCTTATAAAACTCAATTGGTGCTTTGGGGAACTCTGTGGAAAAGATAGTGAGTTTAGTTTTACCCTGCACTCAGCAATATTCCAGCTATATGGCGGCGGTCTGTAAACAATCGAGTCTGGACCAGACAATACAGTGACCAACAACATGAGCATTGATCTACGCAATTGGGAACCAATGACATGTGTCAACCAAGTCAGCGAGCCTGACCAACTGATCCCGTTAGTCGCCTCTTACAACATGCATGAGTTACTGAAAATCAATATTCTAACCCGGATCTTCATAGGTCTCTTGGGAAGAGACTGAAGGTAATTAGCAACAGTGATAGGGCCTTTGGTTGAGGAAAACTATTACCAGTGAGAATATTAAACGCTATGATTGTAGGCGGAGTATTTGGTAGGTGATGGTTAGACATACAACCCAGATTCACATACATTAGATGTAGATGTGGAGGTTTCTACACACGAGGGGTGACAACACATCACATACAATAATTACACTGGGTACAACATCAATGTCAGAAATTTACAATCTTTTGTGAAGTTTATGAGTTTTGTACAATGACAATGAATATTCAACAAAAACACAACATTTAACATTTACAACTAAAATTCACTGAAAACCACCCAACATTTTGTGGCATGTATTGACCAACTTGAGCAACGCCACCGACACAGATATATTGCAGAGGAACCAATTATAGCACTGATCTGTAAGTATTCATGATTCTCTTTAAGCTTTCAAAAGTTTAATTGGTTTAGAAAAATACTAGGAATTATTCAAGTAAATTTATTCTGTAACAATTCCCAAAATTTGTATCCAGAACATCTCAGTTGTGATAGTCATGAAAATCACAAGTTCTTGAGAATTTGTCAGCTGAATTGTCTACTCAATGTGCAGCATGTTATAATCTGATGACAAGTGTTCCTGTAACAGCTTAATACACAGCTCCAACAACACAATTACCCCTACAAAGCTTCAGGGCACATTAGACCAACTGTGCGTGCAAGACAACTTGTAATTCAGTTGTATGCTGGATTTGTAAAGCTGTTAGTCTGAATTTCCGTATCTGAATTTTCCTTTGCAAACAGAGCCAACTATTTCTCTGTTGTATCCTAATCCACATATGAAACTGAAGCTCACGTATAATCCACTATATAGCTAAACGTTTGGTTGCATCTAAGTTTGTTTTAGACACAGAGATTTTGCCAGAAATATTTTTTGAGGCATGGTTCCTGCTTCAGTTGTAGATGTGATGGCGGAGATGAGTTTTCACATACAGACTGTCTGCTTGAAATAACAATTCTGGCCATGTGCCCAAAGCAAAGTTCAAAAATATATTTCAGTGTTATACTTTCATTTTGTAGTAAACAAGTGTGACTGACTTTGCAGTTTTCTCACTAATGATTATTTTGTGTCTTATTTACAAGCAATTACAATTCAACATCTTACACTGAGAAATTTCAAACATCCGTTCAGTTACTTTTCACCACAATCTTTCAAAAACAACTTGTTTTAAAATGAATAATTAATTATATAAATTAGTATGAATCTCAGTCTTGTGCCTCAGCCTCCCTACATGTTCTACTTTGTTGTGATGTATCCAACATCGAACTTGTCCTGGAGAGCTGGTGTGGACAACAGTCAGTACTTGGACACATACTGTGAAGGTACACACATATGGCTGACCTGTAAATACCCGGGAAATACATGCTTGTTTTGGTATGTGGTGAATGTGGCCTTCATTCAGACATCTCAACCAGGGAAAAATTAACACCATCCAACTGTCACATTAACATCACAACTAAGTAGTAACATAATCATAAGTTCATAGATCCAGTGTCCACGTATCACTGCCACAAGATTATTTGCTGCCATTACTGAACTTCAGCACCATTAGGAGACATTTCAACACACAACCTCGTCAAAACTTACACAGATGGAAATCAGTTCAAATTCAACTGTAACTGAATGTTTCTGTAACGTAACTGAAATCTACCACACACAATTACTCACACATCGGAACATGAACAGTCTACAAGATGTGTATATCCTTTAAGGATAAAACAATAATCTATGCTACTTAGCACATTGGTTTCAGATCTATAAATGGACGAATTTACTACACAACGAACACACTACGCTAATGGTGCATGAATGAATCAATAGTTGAGTGGGCACAACAGCATCGTGAATGGAATGGTTGTGCTTTTCTTCGATGAACATGGTCCAGGGAAGCATGACAGCCATATTGTACACTTGTTTCAGAAATCAATGCACTGCATTGTAAGTCTCAACTCCCAGAACTGATGGAACAAATGCTGATGCTGTAACTTCCCTGTGTTTATTTAAGGGTTCCACAAGAGTTTTATCGAGATCTATTAATCTGAACTGTTTGCATATACATTAGAATCTGATGCTGTGTTGCACTCAGTTCCTTGTGCGTGTTCTCATGGCATAGGGTGAGGGTTTGGCTTGAGCTGCCTGGCCAACTGCTGCTACTCCCTGTTGCTGAGGCTGAGTAACCACAGTAGCAATAGTAGCAGCCTGTGGAATAGTCTGAGTTACTTGTGTGGGGACCGGGGAGGGTGAGGCTTGCGGCGTCACCATGGGACTGTGCACCTGGATGGTGGCTGGTTGGGACGCTGCTGCAGACGTCTGCAACGCTGAGGCCTGGATCTGGTGAATCTGTGCAGTTGAAACTTGCTGAAGTTGCTGAGACACTAGACTCTGGGTGATGGTGGTTATCTTGGGCTGTGAAGCAGCTTGCTGTACTTGAACTGTTGCGTGCTCACCGGTAAGAGCCTTCACAACCGTGGCCTGTGACACTGGTGTTGCAACATTCAGTGTTATAGGAGCATGCTGTCCCGTGGCCGACGTGACTTGGGTGACCGTGATGGGACTGGCTGCAGGTAACGTTTGTATGTGGCCAGTGGGGGTACCCACAGAAGCTTTAGCTACCAGGGGTTGTGTCCCCTGGCCCTGTGTTACCGTGGCGATGATGGTAGGTTGTTGCTGGGAAGCATGCGTTATGATCTGTTGGATGGTGGCCCCTTGGCCTTGCTGCTGTTGCTGTTTGACGATCTGGTGGAGGAGCTGACCGGTGAACGGAAGGCCCCCCTTCTGCTGGGGGATAATCAGGGGGATCTGCTGAGTCTTGGCTACCTGCGCCTGTCCCAGAGCTGAAACAAACACACACATCTCTCAACCAATGCACAAGTCACTTATCTCAAAGTAGCGACAGATCATGAATGAGAAAGTAATAATTAGAATTTTATGAGTAAACAAAATACAGAAAAAAAATCACTGAAGTTTACCAACAGTGTAGCCAGCTTCATCTATCTTGATAGTGAAGGTTCGAAGGTTCCAATGTATTACTCTGCAAAAGATATTGTCAAAATTCCATGAACATTATTGTTCTCCGAGTTTATAAATTTTGATTCATTTTGTACCTCAAGAAAAACATACTTTACAAAACCAAAAAAATACAATTGCTCTCTGCATTTAAATTCCAATCTTTTCTGCATAAATAAATGAAGACTAAAACCAAACAATAAATGTGATGATCTGAACAGAGTGGTTTGTAAGGAGACAATGTTTACCATACATGCCTGACAACCAGCTCAGCAAATATATTCTCTATCATTGTCACCATAGACAGTTATAAGTGTTGCCACTGATCACATGCACTGTAGAGAGTGAGCGAACATGATTCTACATCAAGGCTGTCAGTAATCCAGCGGTCAACACTGATCAGACACAGTAGTTGACTATCGGTCAAACACAGGATCAAACAGATCGTGCTTCAGGGGGGACAGGTATGTGTAACAAGAAACCAGATCACCCTACATCCTGACAGCCTTGTTGTGACACTCACTGAGTGAGTGAGTTTAGTTTTACACTGCTTTTAGCAATATTCCAGCAATATCACAGCAGGGGACACAAGGAAAGGGTTTCACACATTGTGCCATGTGAGCAATCTAACCCGGGAGTTCGCATGACTAGCAAAGGCATTACCCACTAGGCTAGCCCACCAAGCCGTGTGACAGAGAATGAGTGACTGAGTTTGGTATAAGCTGACTTGAACAGTACTGCAGTTACACCTTGGTGTGTCAGTTTATTGTGGAAAGGAAGCCCTACGTGATGCATGTGTCGGTTTCACCACATTGGTGCCACCCAGGTGTACAGTGTGGTGACAATGAAGCAACTTACTGGTAACCTTCTGGCCCTGTGGAGTCTTCCTCTGTTGGGTCAGGTACATCTTCTGCTGTTGCTGCTGCTGCTGGAGCTGGCTCACTGTGGCACGTTGAGCTGCACAGAGACTCAAATGTTTACATCCTTAAGTCTTGACAGTGAGTGAGTGAGAATGGTTTTACGCCGCTTTTAGCAATATTCCAGCAATATCACGGTGGGGGACACCAGAAATGGGCTTCACACACTGTACCCATGTAGGGAATCGAACCATGGTCTTTGGCATGACGGGCGAATGCTTTAACCACTCGGCTACCCCACCGCTCCTTAAGTCATAGCAGCAGCAAGACGACTGAATCATGGATAATACTGTTTCCAAACCTTTTGGAAACTAAATTGTCCAATAATTACAAGCTACAATTTACAAACATACAGATGATAACCATATATCTTCCCAAACTGACAGAGAACATCAAGTGACATCTCCACAGACATATGGCTGTAACACTGTTGATAATGCTGTCACAACAGACAGACACCACTGTATGTTCTTTAACGCCATAGTGACTTAGTGAGTGAGTTCAGTTATACGCTGCACTCAGCAATATTCCAGCTATATGGCAACAGTCTGTAAACAATCGGTTCTGGACCAGATAATCCAGGGATCAACAACATGAACATCGATCTACGCAATTGGGATACGATGACGTGTCAACCCAGTCAGCGAGTCTGACCACTCGATCCCGTTAGTCGCCTCTTACAACAAGCATGGGTTGCTGAAGATCAATTCTAACTCGGATCTTCACGGGTTTAACGTCATAATGTGCATGTACATGAAATGTATTGATGAAAACGCCAGGCCCGAGCACCCAAACCATTAAGTCACCTTGCAATACAAGCATAGATTGGCAGTAACCTATGAACCACTGGGCCTGTAAAGACACTTACCGACACCTGCTTTGTGTTGTCCGACACTGACATTGATGCTGACTGGGATGGTAACACTGGGTATGGTGCCTGCCGGTGCTGACACAGACTTGACCAGGGTGGCCACGGGGGTCTGTGAGGTGGCTGTCTGGTTGGCCACCTGTTGCACCTGGGCCTGAATGATCTGGAACAATACAAAGTACACCTTGTCACTGTGGACTATTCTGGACTATTGTTTGGTCTTTAATTAGTGACTACATGCAGATTTCCAAAATAACTACCAAACTTGGTATGTGACATATACACTGGGGAAAAATTAAGAACAAAATCAGTGGTGACAAGCACCTGCTGAGAGTCATCTAGTGTAGTGACAGGCACCTGTTGAGTGTGCAATGGGTTCAGAGGCAAGCACCTGTTGGGTGCACTTTGATGTCAAGTCATGTTATCTCTGGGCATGCCAACAAATACCTGCCTTTTAGCAGTGGTGGACTTTGTGTACAGGTGACATGCACATATGATGCATCACCACGAAGCAACAGATTGGCGTGTGTCCTTACTTTACGTACCCACCTGTCAGACCCAAGGCTGTAACTGACTCTGCCCTGAACCCACCTGTCTGACCCAAGGCTGTAACTGACTGCCCTGTACCCACCTGTCTGACCCAAGGCTATGACCTGCGGCTGTAACAGACTCTGCCCTGAACCCACCTGTCTGACCCAAGGCTGTAACCGACTCTGCCATGTACCCACCTGTCTGACCTTAGGTTGAGTATCCTGCAGCTGTACCCACCTGTCTGACCAGTGGCTGTAACCGACTCTGCCCTGTACCCACCTGTCTGACCTGAGGCTGTAACTGACTCTGCCATGTACCCACCTGTCTGACCTGAGGCTGCGTGACCTGCAGCTGTAACTGACTCTGCCCTGCCTGTGCTCCGGCTGTACCCTGCTGAGTCTTCGTTCTGCGAATTGCCAGCATCTGTTCATCCGTCAACTTCATCGTAGGCTGCTTCAAAATTCCCTGCTTCTGCTCAAACACATAACAAAGTGGACTCTTTAGTGTATGGAATGACACCGGAAGGCCCTTGCAGTGCATCCATAACAAAACCCTTTTAACATTTCACGACCACAATTCCTCATTATTCCCTTTTCATGTTCATAACATTCATATCTAACATATTTGATATCTAAATACTAATCTTTCATTATATATAATGCAAGGCTCAAACACAAACTTAATCCAAATGGTGATTTCTCACAAACAAAGAAGTTCCTGTAACTGAATGGCGGACACACACCAAACCACCAGTCATCAGGACATACTAAGTATTTGAAAACCTTTGTAACTATTTCAACCAACTTTAAACAAGACAAAAAGTTAAAGAAAAGAAAATATCGATAAATTAAACCATATCAAGTAATTTCTCAAAACTAGGTATACTAAAACAAATCTAAAAGTTTTGATCTTCCTTGCCATCTTCGAAGTAACATACAAATCCATGGACAATGGCCTGCTGTATTTTAGTACCGCATTGAGCAATAATCCAGCTCATAGCTCATGTGGGAAATTGAACCTGGGTGTTCAGTATGATGACAAAATGCTTTAACCACTGGGCTACCCCACTGCACCCATGGTCACAACTACCTATGTTCAACTTACTGTTGCAACTGACGTGAGGAGAGCAGCTTGTGGCGTGCTGATCAGCTTCTGTTGTCCAACTAATGCATTTGGACGCTTGTTGATCTGTTGCCTCATTTGGTCAGTCTGTAAATAAATCATTGATCAAACGGGCTGTTTCATGATATGCTTTAAACAGACATATCTTGTCAGATCTTTCTAATCATATTCCAATTCATGTCCACATCTTAGAAGTAGTACAGGTTGACGGGGACCTTCGCTGACCAAGCATTCCCATGGGGTACTTCACCACTGAGCTCAAATGTAAGTGTAGATGACTTTAGCAGACGCAAAGACCACTTGGTGATATTTGAGTGAATGCTGTAAAATGTGACAGTTAGCAATATTCCAGTCAAAACTGTCACACCCTGAAAATTACAAAGTTTTTTGACAGAGAGACCAGTGGGACAACAAGCAACAACTTTGAGAAAGGCTACGTGTTGTCCAGACCAGAGGTTCCAAGGCCAATATTCTGACATAGTTTGACAATTACTATGACCAAAAAACCTCAAATTGTGAACACAATATTATTCCTAAACAAAGGATCCTTGTTAGGTATAAAAGACAACCCCACGGGACCTATTGAAACATGGGTGCTAACAGGTACTGTAATCGTAGTTAATTTTTCGCGCTTTTAGTGCAGAAAGATTGTGCGTCAATAATCATACCAAGCGAAATATTCATGGTCAAGTCATGACATACTCAAGTAGGAACCAACACGTGAAGATTCGGGTTAGAATATTGATCTTCAGTAACCCATGCTTGTCGTAAGAGGCGACTAACAGGATCGGGTGGTCAGGCTAGCTGACTTGGATGACACGTCATCGGTTCCCAATTGCATAGATCGATGCTCATGATGTTGATCACTGGATTGTCTGGTCCAGACTCGACTATTTACAGACCGCCACCATATAGCTGGAATATTGCTGAGTGTGGTGTAAAAGTAAACTCACTCACTCAAGTAGGAACAACATGCAATTTGTTTATTCTCTCAGATAACATCAAAACAATATATAAAGGAATAGAGGCATATATACTAGTAATTGCGATCACAATCACCTGGGGACAGGTGTTGTCATGTTGACAAGTATAATCCCACCTCTCTGATTGTTTTTGTAAACATGATTCAATTATGGCGACTAGCTTTGATCATTGCATGTCTATCGGTTGTGAAAACTTTGTGATGGATACCATCACGTAGGTGTTTGAAATGTGCCAAAAAACAACTGTGCTAACAGGTCTTGTGTGAACTTTCTGCGACAATTGCACCCTGTGAAAATATACTCAATTACGGTATAATAAACTATGTGACAATACTGACGGTGATGCTGAGCTTCTGTGTCCTGATGGTCTGCTGGGGGTTCTGCGGGCGGACGATGGAAGGCTGTTGACGCAGGATGTTGATTTGCTGCTGTGAGAAGTTCTTCAGAGCCGATTGATTCAACTGCTGCTGAACCGTGGTGGCTGCAATAGAGTGGTGGTGTAATGGGGCAAGCACAGTACAAGGTAAACACATCTATACAGCCCTTAGCATCTCAGGTCGTCTACTGGTGGCAGTCACCTATATGAGAGCTGTATCCCGAACACACATCTATACAGCCCTTAGCATCTCAGGTCGTCTATTGGTGGAAGTCACCTATATGACCGCTGTATCCCGAACACACAAAGTATTCAACTCAAAATCGTTTTTCAGACCCCAACTCAATCCATAGGGACACTCATATGGTCATCCTCCATTGAGTGAGTGAGTTTAGTTTTACACAGCTTTAGCAATAATCATGCCATATCAAGACTGGGACCAGAAATGGGCTTCACACATTGCATCCATGTGGGGAACCAAACCTGGGTCTTTCGTGCGAAGAGCGAACGCTTTAACCACCATGCTACACCACCGCCCCTTCGTGCGAAGAGCGAACGCTTTAACCACCATGCTACACCCTCCATTGAAAAAAACTACATAATCAGTAGTTGTTATTTGGATCAAGCTTAAAGTTGAATAGATTCTTTTTTCTATAGTGAAAACCTCACGGATTCATGGCAAATTTTGAAACTGTCATGGTAAGAGCGTTCCCCAATCGATCAACTGGTTAACAAAACTACAGCATTGGCAACTCAACAATGACATCCTGTATAAAAGATTATTACCTTTACCTTTGCCTGTAACAGTGGTGCCTGTGAGTATTCGCTGCGTTGCCAGCTGGGCATGGGCAAGGTTTGTCGACGCTGTTGCTGTCCGCAGAGTTGCTGTAGCTGTTGGGACACCTGCAGCCACCTGGCCAGGCTGTGTCGTCACAGTTGTTATCTCATGGACAGCCACTGGTGCTCGCGCCCGCACAGCTTGGGTCAGGTTGCCTGTCACGGCCTGTTGATAAACCTTGGACAGTGAGTTTTGTAGAGTGAGTGACTTTAGTTTTACGCCGCTTTTAGCAATATTCCAGCAACATCACTGCGGGGGACATCAGAAATGGGCTTCACACATTGTGCCCATGTGGGAATCGAACCAGAGTTGTCGGCATGAATAGTGAACGCCTAACCACTAGGCTACCCCACTGCCCCAAGTTCTGTCGAGACAGATCCTCAAATATATCAATACTCATCAATAATAGTTTTAAACTCAAAGCCATCGCTGCGTGTTATCAAAAACAATTACCAGCTTGTTTGAAGAGAATTTCACTCGCAATGATTCAAAATATGTATCAAAAGACCTCTGGAAAGAATCTATTGATGAACTTGATACAACTTTTTCAGCCATAAAACAAACTTGAGAGTAAACTGTGTCAGAGGGAAGAGAGATCTCCATTAAATGAGACATCATGGTCACCAATGACGTCACAATATTCTGCGAAGTATTTAGATGCAAATCCACTGATTTCACCCAAGCAACATTGACTGACAAAAGCAAGTTTCGGAGTTCAGTTGTTAAGCACCACACACAGCTATATTCAAGCTGCATGACTGATTCTACACATGGAGCCTAGAAACACTGTGAAAATTAAACCATGATCGAAGATTTCGACATGACTAAAACAATAGATTCTTCATACACCACAGGTGTAAATTGATGAATGCTAAGAGATATACTAGCATACATTTACCGTAGAATAAAACGAAGAATGACTTACGATTGTTGAATTGGCCTGACTCATGCGTTTGTTGATGGCAGCGAAGGTACTAGTCATTCCAGCTGGGGTGTTGACAACGATGTTGCCAGCACTGAGGGTGCGTGGTATGGATACTGGCAACTTCTGCACCGCTCCAGCCTGCTACAATGTGAAACATTCACATCACGATTAAGCAAACATACATCTTACCATTACACAATGCTGTCTGTCCATTAGACTGGTGTATACTTTGAACAGTATTCGAGCTTTATGTGATAGGAAACCTGGAGTGATTCATATCCTACATGTACTGCCTTGGTGGAACACAGGAGCTGAGATAAGGTGCTCACAGGACCAGACATATACTAGACAAAATAACTTAGGGATATTGGTATTTTAATGATTGATATTTTATCAGTGTGACAATGAATAAATAGATCATTATTCATAATTTCAAAATTTACGTATATCCCTAACTATTTTTGTCCAGTATATAATCAAACCAAGACACTGAAATCATAAACGTTTCTTTTTGGAAGGTTAAGTTTAGTAATTTCATAACATGCACTCGAGAGTAAATCTTGTGATAGTGATGCCAAAGGTTATTTCATGTCAATTTAGGGGGATACCTGCCTTTCACGAGAGATTTGGGTGATTACTTTGTAGATAGATTACATTGAAATCTTGCATGGGGATAAGTGAACAGATATTACTGGGCAAAGTAACTTCAGTTTTCGGTATATCTTTTCCCCAAGACTGCTCGTCAATCAAGTTGGTTAGAGTTTGTTTCTTGTCTAACGTCACGCTGAACATCGATATTTGCAGTTGGGATACATTGACATGTGTCAACCAAGTCAGCAATTCTGACCACCTGATCCCATTAGTCGCCTCTTACAACACGCATGGGTCGCTGAAGACCAATTCTAACCCGGATCTTTGCGAGTAAGTTGGTCAGTTTTCTGCTCAACATTATAGTCCAGCTACACAGTCCTTAAATCTTTCATTTCTAATCTGAGGATAATGGACCTCGTATAAGTGACAGCAACTTCATCAGTGATAAATCTGTGTTAACGTAAAGGTGTCATCAAACCTTAATACCGGACAATACATGCTGACATAACTGGGTAGAAAAACATATTCCTTCTGTGAGATTCAAAGTCTAAAAGTTGAAAATGCAGTAGGTACAAAATAGTGAAGGAGCTTACAATGACGTTAGTTGAAGCTGTTGCCACGGAGACGAGAGGCTGAAGGTGCGAGGCCTGGAGAGCTGTAGGCACCACAGGAGTTGAGGTTGTACTGGTGCCTTGTACCACGGTCCCGGTCTGCTGCTGTTGTTGCTGCTGCTGTTGAGCTTGCTGTGTTCGATGTGCTGCAAGCTGCTGTTCGGCCGCCGCTGCAGCCTACAGTGAACAATCACAGTGTCAGGTTGAGGTCAAAGTTCAGGACGAAGTGAGGTGGTTGTTTGACATCATGTCCAGGTAATTGCAGTGATATAGTGACATGCAAGCAGGTGAGAATGTTGTGGACTGTACTAGCCAGGTTACACTATACACAGGAGACATTTTAGCAGATCAGTCCTATTTTTTTCATCCTTTTAATGTCAAGTATTCATTGCAAAGTTCACAGAATATGGAATCATGTGATAGGTATTACACTTCTATTGATTAGGGACTTAAACCTGATGAACAAAGACTGACTATCATTAGAAACTACTCCATATGGTGAATCTGATGACACTGAAGTGACGGACACATTCTATGTAACTTTGTGACAAAGGAAACTGAACTCACAGCTGCAACTTGGCTCTGTTTCTTCTCCCTGGCAATTCGATCAGCCCTGTTGGCTGCCACCTGTAGGGGTGTCAGAGGGGTGTCATAGATGATGCCACTCTCCTGCAGCACTGCCGCGTGTTTCGGGTTCTTCATGGTGGGGTTGACCAGGGTCTGTCTCAGCGTCGGGGGCCTCTTGCCAGCGATGCCCTTGACGGAGTCGAAGCGGAGGGAGTACAGCATGGTGACGGAGTTGTTGCTGTCTTGGATATACAGTTGGCTGGTTCGCATTGGACGGTTGTTCTTTGTCTGGGGAATGAGGGCACGATAATCAGTCTTCGATGGAGAAGGAATAATAACGTATAAACGTATGAGCTCAACTATACTACTCACACTTTACTAATCACAAATTTCACAACTTTGCTTAAACGTAGATTTATAATTTGAAATTGTATCCATTTAAAACTGGATAAATAATTATATGGTAACCCCTCTTTAATCTAACCTTATGCACTTGATACATGAGTAACCATGAAAATGGTTTTCATGGCACCAATAAACCATTTTGCAAATAATGGAACGAGTCATTGACAGTATAAACAACACATGTCAATAGCAGGTATGGGATCCACAAGATGCAATAACATACTGAAACCTAGGATCATGCTTACAATAAGATTAGGTATTTAAACCAAATTTGACCCCACATAATAGTTTTCTGTTGAATCCATGATTTGATCCTTAGCAAAGTGTAAATAGTATATTATGTACTGTGGCACTTTCATTTACGCTAAGTTTTCATATAACAGGCACAGAAATACACTTATAACATATAAAATTACTAACCTAATCTTCAGTGTCTATGCTACTATTTTATTTGGATGAAGGCAAGGAAATAAGTTCCTACTTTAACATTTTCTCTCACCTTAGCTAGTATTTACAACAATCATTATCTTTCAAAGATTGTTTTGCTTATTTTTGTTATGTTCAATGTTACACACCACATTATTATTGAAGCAAGATTGCATCCCTTAAATAATGAGGACCAGACCAGACAATCGAGTGATCAGTATTATGAGAAGCAGACCACACTGTCACAAATCTGTTTTCCAATGATTTGTAAAGTTTCACATCGTCTTGCAGGCTGGTGAAACTGGCTGGTTGCGATGAATGTCAGTCACAGTACACAGAAATCTTGCGCCTCCTCTATATGTACATTTATGCACATCAGTGAGTTTGACATATCCTACCTTGTATATCCCCTTCGTCTTCTTTTGTTTCCGAGGGCTGATATCATACAGTATCCTGCCCTCCTCCCTGGGGATGATGACGTTCTCGTAGCGACTACGACACTGTTTGGGGGAGCGGTACACTCGGCTGCAGCTGTTGACAACATCGGCAACGAGGTCCCAGTTTGGAATGTGTGCGGGGGCCACCACCATCAAGTTGAGTGGCAGACTCAACAACGTCTGCACAGCCTGTAACAGAAACATCACTGGAAGATATCAAGTTCAGTCCAATAAAAACGGAGTTCATAGAACATGCCATTACTAAAAAAACACTAACATTAAAAAAAGAAAACACACTCAAACTGGTGTCCTTTGCCTTAGCTAAGTAATTTATCAAACTATTATGGCTGCCTAGAAATGTTGTTAATGTTGAAGGGAAAAAATAATACTGATTATCAATATGAAAATAGAAAATTTCTTACATGAACTAATGTGATGAAATAAAGTTTGAATGTACAACCATGATATTCAAGGTTACTAGTGACTGTTACTTCTTGATTGTTGACTTCTTTATGAAGAATAGAACATATTTAGTTGACAATTAGTGAGTGAGTGAGTTTGGTTGAATGCCGCTTTTAGCAATATTCCAGCAATATCACGGCGGGGGACACCAGAAATGGGCTTCACACATTGTACCCAAGTGGGGATTCGAACCCGGGTCTTCGGCATGACGAGCGAACGCTTTAACCACTAGGCTACCCCACCGCCCAAGTTGACAATTATGGATCTCTATGATCTATACTGACAGCCAGCTGTGCACATGTGCAAATTAGTGCTTTGTGAAAGGAGGCCCAGTTCTACAAAATGATCAAAGTGCTAAGACGATAACTTCTATTCCTTAACGCTGCCTTACAACAGTCATAGCACACATCACCCGAACACCTAGGCCTTTCAATGATCCATAATCTCACATCACACCATAACAATATTGCAGGTAACTATTGCACACCTGAAGAAGTGCCCAGTCCTCATGAATGAGCCATTCTGGGTGGTCTGGTGCAGTGTCGAGGACAGGCTTGCTTGGCACAGCGGGTGCTGCTGGACGGTAGGGTTTGATTAAGCCTTGCTTCAGCTTCTGCAGCTTGGCTTCTCTCCTCATCTTTAACAAGGCAGCAGTTGGCCGATCAAACAGGGAACGTGGAACACGAGGCTGTTCTTCTTTTCGTTGTTTCTGTTTGCGAGCTGAGGGAGAAAAATTGGTTGAAAATTCAAGAAACATGAAAATCATAATATTGCTTGCAAGAGAGGGAAATTCTCAAAACAGTTTTCATGACAAAATGAAAATCTAATACCAATTCAGCACATCAGAACAAAACCTTTCACAGTATTGCTATAATGAAGTGATCAAACATGCCAATTGTGGCATGCCTTTTAACTGGATTTTATTAAATCTTCAGCAAAATCATTGTTGGGGGGGACACAAAGTACACATTTCACCCATGCAGGTATGATTCTACCATGCGGGTATGATTCTCTGCTTATGCTTTAACAACTGGGCTATCCATCCTTTCCCCAGTAACTAAACGACAGTGGCAACACAATCGACTTACTGGTGACAGTCTCTATACGTGGCTTCTTGTGCTCCTTCCTCACATACACAGGTGGGAGCTGCGTCTCCGTCATCACCGCTGGCTCGTACAGGAAGTACATTGTCTGGTCGATGTACACGTCGTTGTCGTCCTTTGGTGGTGTTGGTGGTGCCCACATCTTCACAAAGCAGTCAGTTCAGTTATTTAAAACAGCAGGAAAGAAACTCTGGATTTTCTCAGAATTAAACCCCAATATAGCAATATTTGTATGCAATCTTTTGTTACCACTGAATCTAAACATAACCATATCATCATGACAATAACACTTCACGAAATGCCTCATTATATAAATATTTAATCTGTTCCTCCCAATTTATATACTGACAAGGAGACTGTAACAATTATCTCATGATATCATTCCCTCTGAACTTATACCAATACTGAAAGAGGTTCTTTGAGCTTATATGTCACACTTGCATCTGAACAAATAACTACTTAATACTTTGGTCATCCAATTTGAGGCCCTTGCTTTTTAACCATCATATTTTCATGACACCCCTTCACTATGACATTATCACAACTGTCCCAGCAGTTCACGTATGACCATCAAACCACATGTACCAGTACACGCAATAGGATTCATCCATGGCACCACAATTTGCAGAGTTACATCCCTTGAGCACCTGATTGTGTTTGAATCCCTGTTTACCCTAACTTTTATTTGAACCATTCCCTTGCTCATGGGTTTAACCAATGTGGAAAGAACCCAACACCTGCATCACTTCCTACAAACTTAAGCTGACATGCCTTCACTGGAATCCTTTTCAAGACAGCTTTAACCCTAACCCACTTATACAATGTTCCAACTCTCGTACTGTTACAGTGAATGGCACTCAGCATGAGGATAAGCAAGGACTGGGGTTCATTCACTCTGTGAGCACAAAATGTGTATACACTGTCATGACCAAATGACAATAGCAAATTATAGCTCCACAAAGTAGCCAATGTGGACAGCGCCAACACCTCATACCCTGTGGCAACAGCTTTATGTCCAGTTGTTCTGTGGGCAGTTATGGAGTCTTCTAAATAGAAAACAACTCACCGGCATCGTTTCTGGTCCCAAGTCCGATACATACACCTGTAATTAGAGGGAAATCTTACATTTCTTGTGATCGGAACCTAACATAAAAAACTCTTACACTATTATCTCTAAGAATCTTGTCATGAATGTTGTCATTTTGATGTTGGAGCAAGAGGACAGTTTGTACCAGCAACATACAGCCCGACATTTCCACCCATGTGTGTGGACCCACCCTCTTCAATGGAGATATTTCAGATGTGAATGGTGGTTCCCTCACAATGAGTTCAAATCCAATTATTTCGACATTCATATATCTCTCTTTTTCTTAAACACAGGAAACAACTTGATCTACCTATCCACTGCTGATTTTCTTTAAAACTGGACCTTTTCACAAATGTTAAACTGGTATTTCAGAACATCTCGCATACCAAAAAACACATTTGCTGCTAGGTCTTTATAACACACCAATCCTACCTTACATTTGATAATGTTTCTGAATACTGAAAAAGGCTCATTTGACTGCAATGATCAGTCTGCGATCAAATTTGCCCCAGTGGCAATACTCTCGTGTTAAAGCAGCCTGAGCAGTGACAAACGGCTCCCAGAGCAACAAGAAGACACTCTTTCAAAGACTAGATGCATTTTGATTATGGATCCTTGAGCAACTTGACTACTTCAAAGCGGACATGAATCTGAAAAACCTGTGGACACTATTTGAAGGAGTTTGGTTTATGCCGCTTTTAGCAATATTCCAGCAATATCCCGGCAGGGAACACCAGAAATGGGCCCACTAATTGTGCCCGTGAGGGGAATCGAACCCGGTTCTTCGGCGTGACAAGCGAACGCTTTAACCACTAGACTACTCCACGGCCCCTGAAACATTGCGAAGATTTGATAAATTTTTCACTGCTAATGTCTAGGTGCTGGGATTTAATGTGTGCAGGTATTCCAAGTGTTCAAAAACAATCATAAAAACATTGACCAAAAAATTGCCTTTCAACCGAAAGCTATTAAAGAATTCAAAAGTCGCAAATTTTCAGCCAGAATTGTTTTCAACAAATAATTTAGATTTTCTGTGACTATCAATAAAGCCATAACAAAGTACAGCCACGTGTAGATGGTAACTGCTCACATGTAGTTCATCTTGGATGTCATACGGTTTCCAGTCGAGTTGAGTGTGGGTGTGTGTTGTGTGTGTAGTCTGCATCTCACTTTGTGGCATGTGTAATGTGGGCCAGTGGCACAGCGGACAAGGTGGTTTGGTGCCTATCACTTTAGTCTTAGCAATCAAGGATGAACATCAAATGAAATCGCATGCCTGGCCAACCCAAATTACACTCAACCTGCACTAGAACAGAGCACTGTTCGTGCAATTGAAGGGCTTTCTCTTGACTTATCATGAACATGCCAAATACAATATTCATTAATGTAACAACCATATAGAGTTTTAAGAGTTAAACTTCCCTTGATTTTAAATGCAAAGTTTTCAGAAATGTCAAACTGACTTACCAAAGAACAAGAGTTCAGTTAATGTTTTAATTTGTTAGACAAATGTTACCAGCATTTCACTTAACAAGAATAAAGCCCAACAATAATTTTGGCAGTGCATAAGTGAGACACAGAATACAGATTAATTGGCGTAGTTGTTCATGGAATTTCGTTGAGACACCAAAAACCTTGAGCAGATCAGTGCTGTGGCTACCCGGCCGGTATTACACATGCACAACAGAGTGAAATGAGATGCACACACAGGAACATTTACAAAATCTTTTATTCTCAGAAAACATTATTTTGACATTTTCTCAGACATTTTGCATTATTGTTTTCATACAGATGCCACACTTCCTGAATCATGACTATATACATCCACATCTCACAACCGCACTATGTCAATATGCAGTCCGCTGAATAAGCAGATTCACACACTTACTCATTGTACCAAAGTCATAAAATTCAGGCTAACAAAACAGATAAAGCATCATTCTTTCAAAAATAAAAATCTTTCATGGACAATACTTGATCATAAGAGCAAATAATCATACTAGCATCAATTTATGGGTGGAAGAAACGAAGGTAGCTTTTTTGGCATTATTCGGGTTTGATCAATTTTACAGCCTTCTAGGCCAAGATGCTTCTCTACTTGACAAACAAGCACCAACTATGAATCACCTTTAACAGAAATAGAGCAGAAAGTTGTAGGAGGAACTGGCACATGCAACTGTCATGATAAATTCCAAAGATATTTTAGTGACATGTTCAGTTATCACCCCCACATTGAAATCCCCCCTCCCTTCAGATGTGACCATACAGTGTACACGAGTACCGACTCCCCAGTACTGGAACTTCTATATTACAAATCGAGGTAGCATGATCAAAGGCTTGCAAAATATCCAACTTAATATAAGTTTCTTTTAGGCTTTCCCATGAAGTTCTTTGTCAGATATGAATCGTCAATGACATTCATATAATATGCACAAATAGTTGATTATGTAGCATCAGTTAACATGGTTAACTGGTATAGTCCTACTGAACACATTTCCTAACACCAGCTGTAACAAGGGGAGATCACCCCGTGTCACGAATCTCATTCACTGGATGGCCATTGCTCTCTTGGGAAGCTGACCGAGTCTTCTTCGGATTGACTATGACAAAACTCTGTCCTGGAATAGCTTGATTCAAGTTAGCCTGAATAATCTGATGTCTACTCAAAGACACAGCTTGGTTGTTGCTGAGAATAGGAACATGGAGACTATTTGTTTTGACAATATTGTAGGCAACTCCTGGTATTGGTGACGCTATGACATGTTGGGTGGGAGGGGCGGGGGCTATAGACACAAGGTTGACCCTTCCCCCAAGGATGCTGGTTTGAGGAAGAGGTTGTTTCGCCGCTTCTTGGAGAGAAGCTCGACGGGTACGGATAACAAGATTAGGATTGGACCATGGAGGGGGCACAGAGTTCTCCTTTGGAGAAAGAGGAGTCGGTTTAGCACTGATAGGGGATCTGATACGTGGGGTATTATTAAAAACCTGAGTTTGGGCAGGTGCAACCAATCTAGTCTGCATTTGGGAAATAACAGAGTTTAAAGTTGCTCCTCCAGGGGAGATAACCCGTGCAACAGGGGATGACACAATTACTTGCCCTTGCGCAGGCCCTGCAATGACCTTGATGGGTTGGGGAGCTGCATAGGCCTTTCCCTGGGTTATGACTATCCGATTATGGGGAACAATAGCCCTGCCTTGTGGTGTGTTGATAATTACATTGCCTTGAGTAGGAAGGGTCAAGGGAGTGCCTGGAGTAGTTGCCAGTGAAGAAGCTAAGGTGGGGAACTTTGAGAATGGGCCTGGAGCCAACCTGCTGGATGAGTGGCTGGATCACCTGCTGTGTGGCAGCTGGTGCTGTGGCTACAGATATCCGTGCTGGATCGGCTGTAATCTCAACCACACCGGCAGTTTGGGCATTGGGAACAGGGTGGGAGTTTAGTTTCAATGCATCGGCTATGTTAACAGCCATGGGCAGGGATGTGGGCGACAACAGTGAATTAATCTTAATTTCTTTCTTGGCCTCTTTCTTGGCTGACTTAACAACTTCTTTCTTTGGTTTGGGAATTTTGGGAGTTTTTTCCTTTGGCTCTTTTGGAGTAGTCTTAGGCTCTTTAGGTGTACTTTTATGCTCTTTAGGGGTACTTTTAAGTATTTTTAGGCTCCTTGGCAACCTTAGGTGTAATTTTAGCTGCATCTTTCTTGGTTGCTTTAGGAGTGTCTTTCTTAGGGCCAGGTTTTGGTTTTGGTTTTGGGGTAACTTTCTTTACTTCTTTCACCGGGCTGAGATTAGGTTTGATAATTTCATCTCCTGAAAGTCTTAATTCACCGGACTTCTGCCGTAACCTCTGTGACCTAGGGCTGACATCCTTCACCTTCTCCTTGGCCTCGTTCAACCTTGCACTACTCTTTAAAGGCCTGGACTCTGAGCAACTATCAAGGTCATCACTAGTGTAAGATGAATTTTTCTTTAGTCGGTATTTCTTCTTTTTCTTCACCTGGTTATATGCATCATCCCGAGAGTATGTGTACAACATCTCGTCTTCCTCTAGTTCAAGGCGGCGTTCTTCCTCCTCCTTCAACGCCTTCAGCCGAGCAAGCTCCCATTCCTTCTTGGAATTCTCGATGTCCTCCTGCAATAAGCAATCAAAGGTTACATGCGTTGAGTGAGTATGGTTTAAGCTGATTTTAGCAACATTCCAGCAATATTGGGACAGCAGGGGACACCAGAAAATGACTTCACACAATGTACTCATGTGGGAATCGGCGTGACGAGCAAAAACTTTATCCACTAGGCTACCACACTGTTACATGGAACACATCCAGGCAGTGTCAGTTGCTGGTTGTGTAATGCTACACCGAACAATATTCCAGTCACACTACAGCAGATTGTAAACATGTAAGTGTGGACCAGAGAAACTTGTGACTGATATTATAAGCACCAATCTAGATTATTATTAGGGGTGTCATGATACACCAATCTCACGATACGATACGTATCACGATTTTAAGGTCACGATACGATACGTATCGCGATACATAATTTTCGCGCCTTTTCATAGCATTACCTTACCGGCAACGTACGCGCTCGCTGATTGGTCCAATCACAAAAGCTGTTACTTTCCAACCTATTTTTTAAGTAAAGCTAGCTACATCTATTTATCGGAGCGGTCTCGTATAATTTTACTATCAAGACTTTGAAGGAGATGGATATAGCATAAAAATTTGAATCGATAAAGTTTTAAAATAGGAATCGATACACGCAAGCATGTATCGCGTATCATATCGTCAGTAAAAATGTATCAATGCATCGATACATTCTCGTATCGCAACACCCCTAATTATTATGAGTTTTTTTAATTTCAACCGCGTCACCAGTCAGACAACCGAATCAATTACTGTACATCTGATTGCTTTTAAATATGTTTCAACGTGGGTAAATATCAAATGCAGTGGTATCCAGTCAATAGAGGATTCTTTCCCAAAACACAGTACAATGTACCTCTGCAATCATGAGTTCTTCAATGGTCTCTGGTTCCATCTCAGCTTCCATCACGCCAACAGCATACCGCTCGATAGGGGTCAGCTAAAAGGAGGTAGGCACGCTCAATTACAGTTATTTGCAAGACTATTGTACATCAATGACTACTGAAGATTCACAACCACCTACTGAATGAAACAATGCAAAACAGGTAAATCATCAAAGCTTCCAGGATGTCAAAGCTTTCGGTGCTAATGGATGTCAACTTCAATATTCTGAGAAACAAAACCTTTTGGAGTATATTCACCTGATAAAAGAGTAAGAATATGCTCTGAAACATCATGTTCTTCAAAATAAAGAAGGAACATCCAAAAAATCGAACCTTTACATGTATCACTTCTAAAACTGTTCAAAACCTTTGAGTATGTCATTTATCAAGTTCCTTAAGCTCCAAGTACAACTTATATTAGGAGATTATCCAGTGTGTTGCAGTGAATTACAGATTATCTGTTCATCAGTGACAACAAAAAGAGAATGAAGCGATGGTGCCATCTGGGACATTTACACCTTAACTTCAACACTTAGAATTACCTCCTTGTCCATCTGGGACATTTACACCTTAACTTCAACACTTAGAATTACCTCCTTGTCCATCTGGGACATTTACACCGTAACTTCAACATTTAGAATTACCTCCTTGTCCATCTGGGACATTTACACCGTAACTTCAACATTTAGAATTACCTCCTTGTCCACCTAACTTCAACATTTAGAATTACCTCCTTGTCCAGCTAACTTCAACATTTAGAATTACCTCCTTGTCCAGATAACTTCAACATTTAGAATTACCTCCTTGTCCATCTGGGACATTTACACCGTAACTTCAACATTTAGAATTACCTCCTTGTCCAGCTAACTTCAACATTTAGAATTACCTCCTTGTCCATCTGGGACATTTACACCGTAACTTCAACATTTAGAATTACCTCCTTGTCCACCTAACTTCAACATTTAGAATTACCTCCTTGTCCAGCTAACTTCAACATTTAGAATTACCTCCTTGTCCACTGTCCAACCTTTAGAATTACCTCCTTGTCCAGCTACATTTAGAATTACCTCCTTGTCCATCTGGGACTTTTACAACATTTAGAATTACCTCCTTGTCCAGCTAACTTCAACATTTAGAATTACCTCCTTGTCCATCTGGGACATTTACACCGTAACTTCAACATTTAGAATTACCTCCTTGTCCACCTAACTTCAACATTTAGAATTACCTCCTTGTCCATCTGGGACATTTACACCGTAACTTCAACATTTAGAATTACCTCCTTGTCCACCTAACTTCAACATTTAGAATTACCTCCTTGTCCAGCTAACTTCAACATTTAGAATTACCTCCTTGTCCACCTAACTTCAACATTTAGAATTACCTCCTTGTCCACCTAACTTCAACATTTAGAATTACCTCCTTGTCCACCTAACTTCAACATTTAGAATTACCTCCTTGTCCACCTAACTTCAACATTTAGAATTACCTCCTTGTCCACCTAACTTCAACATTTAGAATTACCTCCTTGTCCATCTGGGACATTTACACCGCACCTAACTTCAACATTTAGAATTACCTCCTTGTCCACCTAACTTCAACATTTAGAATTACCTCCTTGTCCAGCTAACTTCAACATTTAGAATTACCTCCTTGTCCACCTAACTTCAACATTTAGAATTACCTCCTTGTCCAGCTAACTTCAACATTTAGAATTACCTCCTTGTCCACCTAACTTCAACATTTAGAATTACCTCCTTGTCCACCTAACTTCAACATTTAGAATTACCTCCTTGTCCAGCTAACTTCAACATTTAGAATTACCTCCTAGTCCACCTAACTTCAACATTTAGAATTACCTCCTTGTCCACCTAACTTCAACATTTAGAATTACCTCCTTGTCCACCTAACTTCAACATTTAGAATTACCTCCTTGTCCAGCTAACTTCAACATTTAGAATTACCTCCTTGTCCACCTAACTTCAACATTTATAATTACTTCCTTGTCCAGCTAACTTCAACATTTAGAATTACCTCCTTGTCCAGCTAACTTCAACATTTAGAATTACCTCCTTGTCCAGCTGTGCCAGCTCCAGCTCAACCTTAGAAACCTCATCATCTTTCTTAGATTCAGCCTCTTTCTCATCCCAAGGAATGGTTTCATCAAACTCGGCCAGTTCTGCCTTTTGTTCTGCTTTCACAAGCTTCACCGCAATAGCATCCGTCTCATCTTCCGCCTTGCACAGAGCCTGAAACACAATCAAGTAGGAGAATGAGTGGGCCATATCCTTTCTTCTTTTTCAGCTCATCTCCAACAACGAACTCTATATACTGAACCAAACCATGCATAATAAAATATTTTAACATGCGAAATTCATTTTTGATTCACAATCTTTTGAACCATTTACACTGCAAAAGATCATTTATGTACCCTTATTTGTTTTGTTCAGTATTTATTCCCTTGGGGATAATTTGGTATAAAGCTTGAACAGGAAAGAGCAAGATTTTCTGATTGGTTATAAGAAACGACATGCTGTTTCATTTGAGTGTAGAACTGCTGCTGCTGGCAACTTCCCACCTATAGGAAGTCATCTAAACAAACTTAACATGTTTGTTGCTTAATGACGAACTCAGCAACATTCCAGCTATATAATGGCGGTCTGTAAATAATTGATTCTGGACTAGACAATCCAGTGATCAACAGCATGAGCATACAACTACGCAATTGAGATACAATGACATGTGTCAACCAAGTAAGCAAGGCGGACCACCCGATCCTGTTAGTCGCCTCTTACGACAAGCATTGGTTGCTTAAGATCAATTCCAACCCAGATCTTCATTGGTAGATGACACATGTACTGGTTCATGACGGTCCAAGGTGACACAGTTACCACATCATCTGATCAGCTGGTCAGTGTGGGCTACTTGGGACATGTCACAACAGGACATGGTGCATATCTACCCAGAAGGGCTACTTCTTCACTGATATGTTTGCAATTACTCACCTGTTCAAACTGTGCCAGCACATTTGTTTCTCCTTCGGGCAGTTTCTTGGGAGGTTCTTTATGAAGTTCCTTCACTTGTTTCATGGCAGCCTGGGCTTGTTTCTCCTTGGCTAGTGCGTCAAGACCAGACGGTTCCTCAAACAGTTCCTTGATTGTGTGCTGCAAAGAAAGTAAAATTTTGCATCTGATTCTATGTCATTATATTTGTTAGCCAAGCAATTGTTATTATGTGTCTAATGAAGAAAATATAGATATAGTTACACACCACACTACATTGTGACAATTCTCAGCGACATACCAACAGAGAGTATTCCTTGCATGACTCTGGAGGTGAACATCCTGACATCAATGTGTTTCTATAGTAGTAACCTTACACAAGACACTTGACAAGTAGCACCTCCAGGGACAGTTTGTTGTATTACACCCCATTAAGGGAGAGTTCAGCTAACAGTGACAATCACAAGATATCATAAGCACTGATCCTCTCCATCAGTGGTATGAAGACACCCAAACCAAGTCACACAGTGATGAGTAGGGGTGAGTATTGCAGAGAATTTTCATATTGTGATATATTGCGATGTTAAAGCATATACTGTGATATGTATTGCAATATATTGCAAGAAGTATTTTTAAACAAAAAACTACTTATAATCAAGTTAATGCTTGATTTATAAAGTATGAACACAACAAAATCACTTGATTAAGCTTTAATAAAAACATTTAAAGATGACAAAATTAAATGTAAATAATATTTGGCACAAATGAAACAAGGAAATATCCGAAGACTTCCGAGTGTTATGAAGTTTTCAGAATGCAAGTCAAAATACTGTTTTTGGATCAGCATGTTGCAATACGTATCGTTTTCATGTCTTCATGTATCGGTTATATTGTGCAGCCCTAGTGATGAGGGTGTCAGATTTTACATTGCCTTCAACAATATTCCAGCACTATCACGGCGGGATACACCAGAAATGGGCTTCACATATTGCAAACACGAAGGGAATCAAACCCTGGTCGTCAGCCCCAACAAGTCACTGAGCTTGACAACACTTGGATTCATACGACGCCTCTCAAACAAGCATAGATGGTACCAGTTGTAAGCCGAGGTAGAGAGCACTGCTTACCTCCTTGAAGAATGCAGTGGTGAAGTTGCCTCCCTCAATAGCCAGATCACCTAATAACCTCTTTTGATTTGCTTTCTTGAGAATGTTCTCCTCAATGGTTCTCTCACTGATGAGTCTACAAGAGGAAAGTACAGTGAAATGTCAATCACAGATAAACATGGCATTATATATCTACAGTCTCAGAAGGAAAGTGTGGTAGAACAGAGTGCTAAAAATACCGCTTGAGCTCCCTTAATGATACCAACATTATTATTAATAACAAATCATTGCGTCTTAAAACTGAGCAATAAAAGAAAACAATTCATCCATGTTTTCACACAAACTGCTACCGCAACTACTATAATGGTTTGTTGCTTAACGCCGCACTCAGCAAAATGTCGGCAGTCTGTAAATAATCGAGTCTGGAGCAGACAATCCACTGATCAACTTCATGAGCATCGTTCTACACAATTGGAATACAATGACATGTGTCAGCCAAGCCAGTGAGCCTGACCACCCGATCCTGTTAGTCACCTCTTACAAGCATGGGTTACTGAAGGCCAATATTCTAACCCCGGATCTTCACGGGTCACTACTATAGTGGAGTGTCTCCAGGCCAAGTGCTGACAAACTGAAGACCAATGTGAACGTAAGATGGTGACCCGAACGCGAGTACAAAGTTCCATCAAATAGCTAGCCTTGCTCTAAGTATTCTTAACTTCGATTGTAGCCAAAGTGTTAAGAATGGGCATCCTAGGGCTACTTAACGCTTCTGAATAGCTAGCCTGAGTCCGTATGGCATCCCTGGTCTGACCGATCCGATGGCATCTGTCCTGAGCCTGGGCATCCATGGTTGGGTTCCAGTCACTGTCGTAAAATATCACAGTATCTGCCCCTGTCAGATTGACGCCAATGCCGCCAGACCTTGTTGACAGGATGAAGCAGAAAATACGACGATCCATGTTGAACCGATCCATTAATGCCTGTCAACCAGTCAGAAAATGATTTGTTAGAAGCATATTTCTCCAAGTCTGTTGTGAAGACAAGCTGGGTGCTGCTGAAGTATTTGTTCAAGAGTGAGACCAAACACATGTCATCTTTTCATCAAATCTCGGTTTTACTCTTCACAAAATAATCACAAAATGTACTAAATCAACACAAATCTGATTATATGATGGCAAATTCTCTATCTTAAGCAGGTCGTCTTTACTCCACAGTGACAAGAACGAGAATGACTTCAGTAGGGAGTCATGTGGTCAGCCACATCGCAGGGGTTTCCTATGACTGCCTGACAATAATATACATGGAGCTGGGATATGCTCAGAGGAGGTGGTACTCAATGCTGAAAACTGCACCACGGCTCCAGATAAGTTTTCAACAGCAGGAGTACGAACTCATTTTTTCAATACAGGAGTACAGGAAAACCTTAAGAGTGCATTTAGTGTACTCGGCCTAGATTTTCTAGATCTTAGCACTAAGATAGTGGTAAGTGCCATACATTAACATTAAATTACGCAGGGGTTCAATTTTTTTTATAAATAGCCACTTGCCACAGGGCAAGTGACTTTAAGAAAGTAACTTGTCCTGACTAATTTTCCACTTGCCCTGATTTTATGACATAATCATGATGATGTAATTATGAAAGAATAATCAACATGGTATTTGATGTTAATGTTTAAAAGGGTTATTTATTGAAAAGTGATACATAGCAAAAAAACGATAACTCTGCTTTATTATCATTGCGAAATTTAATAGCTACATTTTGAACAGATATGAAATTAAATCCAAGTTTATTTGCAGTTTGAAACCATAAGTGGAAATTATCTAGTAGCCCACGGACAAGTAAGATACCATTTTTGAACCCCTGAAATTACGTCTATCTTAGCGCTAAGAGCTTCGAAAATCTACGCCCAGAATGGAATATGGAAAGGCTAATAGTCTCAAACAAGTATGTGCTTCAAGTGTGGGGTACCTGTCTCTGTTCTACTTTGGTTGTGCCATCCAGCCTGAGATATCGATGACCATGGTAGCTGAGAAAGGCCTCCAACACATCCAACATCTTCGTCATCTGGGTGAAGATGAGGACTCTGTGACTTCCTGATTTCAACCGATGGAGCAGTATGTCCAGAGTCTGGAGCTTACCTGAACAATAAGAAAATTATGTCAGATATTTCCAGGTGACAATACATGCACAAAAACCTAACTTCCTTTAAACCGCAGACAGGACACTCGCTCAACTAGATATGTATAGTTTAGGCTGAATATTTCAGACAAGGTGTCCAACCACTCACATTGTGTGATCAGGGCATATGTATCTGATGTTACTCTTCCGAGATCAATAGCAACTTGTCTTGCAAGATTGGCAGATAAGTGAATCCTTTTAATGTCTCGAAATCACAAACCAATCCACACATTAAAATCCTAGAAATAAAAGGCTAAACTATGACCATACTTGAAGGTAACAATATCCAGTAACAAGCGCTTTGAACACTAAGCCACCTTACCGCCCCACAATCCAGGTGAATCAATATACACAGCATAAGAGACTGATGACAATCACGCAAGAACCAGCATACACCATAAATACAAGGCCAAACTAACGTACCACAATCATACTCTATAAGCCTGAGCTCTGGGAACTGGACCATCATTTTTGTTGAAAGACTGTGTAGACATGCTGTTTGGGGTGAGACTTCCTGATGCAGCATGAAAGACATTCTCTTCTTGGCTTGCTCAGCTGATGGACAGGGATGAGAAACATGCATCTTTATGGTGGGAGCGACCACCGATGGAGTGACGAACAAGTACCTGAAACGTCATTAACACTCATGTTAACCTTTTACACTAGGTACCACATGAAACCTTCACACAAAATGGCCAACCGACTGACATATCACAAATCAACATATGGCATGACATCAACAATGAATTTGGTCGTTTTAGCTTCTTTACAGTACCATACCATATTATATTTTACCTCACTCTTCACATTTAACAGGTACATACACCATTCATTTAGTAAAACTATCCCGAGACTCTTTCAGACAAGTGGTATTGTAACATGACTAGATATCTCATTAACTAGCAGTTGCCTTGTCAATAAGTCTCATGAAATCAGGAACAGTTTCTTCTAATACTGCTGATTTCTTGACTCTGTATCATCCCAATCTTTCTGTATAATTCACAAGACTGGACTCACCGAGAGAGAATGTCCCTCAATTCCTGTAAATACTGTTCTGGAGTGTGAATTAATTCCTTGAATATATCCGACTGTTGCCAGTAAAAGTCTGGGTGATCTGGATTCTGACAATGATGAGCACACAAACACTGTACATAACCAAGCCCATGCCACAGATTGTCAACAACACGGGTCCTTGATAAAGATTGGGTCACATCCACTGCCTCACACAAATCTTGTCCATACACTGGCTTCATCTCACAATGTTTCTTATTCATATTTGAAATATATTCCAGCTTGTTTTTCCGTCTTTCGTGTTTCTTTACCCTCAGACTCCGCTACAAAAGGAAAAAGAAGGTTTGACAACAGATCATAAAACACAACTTGAGGATTACTGAATGTGTGAGCATAATACCAATATTTCCAGTGTTCAATCTTTAGAATTGTGAATGAAAGAATACCTTCTCTAAATAAATCTCCTATAATATGTCATGCAGCAGACACCATTGTGAAAACCGAACTAGCCTGTAGCTCCTTTTGAACTTGTGCTTTGGATGTTTATTTGTTGCAGCACTCAGCAATATTCCAGCTTTATGGTGGCTGTCTGTAAATAATCGAGTCTAGACCACACAATCCAGTGATCAACATCATGAGCATAAATTTACGCAATTGGCATACAATGCCATGTGTCAACCGAGTCAGCAAACCTGACCCATTAGTTGCCATTTATGACAAGCATGGGTTGCTGAAGCTATTTACGACAAGCATAGGTTGCTGAGGACCAATTCTAAGCCAGAAGTTCAAGCGTTGTGATGGATTTTCAGGGACATCTTTGTTTCTCAATTGTCACTAATCCTGAATTGATGGACTTTAGGGCTGGGACGATTCATCGATGCATCGTGATATATTTAAGTTTGATACAGCTATCGTATCGTGGACTGGTGTATCCATACACAACTTTTTTTCAAAACAGTATTATCTTAAACATTTAACAGTACTTATTTAGAGAAAATATGCAAGTATGACAGAGTTACTTGTTTGTTTATTACAATAGTGTTATTGTTAAACAGAAATACCTTGAAATAAATCATTTTAAATCTTGATACCATGTCATTCTTTCAAGATGTATGTATTGTGATACGTATCATATCGCAGGTAAAATATCGCGACATGTATCGTATTGGGACATAGTGTATCGTCCTAGCCCTAATGGACTTGCAGTCTTAACTATGTATTCCCTGATGGTGCATTGGACACATTCTTGAGGACCCGGACTAGGAAGGATCTTCGAAGGACTGGGTTTGATTGAACACAAATTATACTGTCAGTGCCAAGATCACTTCGACCCTTGTAGCTTTCACTTACCAAAAACAATTCAGATTTTTCCTCTGCTCTTTCTGCTTTCAGCCTCCGCTCCCGTTGGTCATCAGCTGGAACACTTTTTGTTGCCATAACAACTGGGGCTATGGAATCGGAAGGTTTGCTGGCGACCACACTGACCTGAGCCACAGTGGCTGAAGGCCGTACATTAGTACTGGGGACAACTAAATGAAAAGAGAGCATGAAGATTAATGTACAAACCTGGTCAAATCTTTGAAGGGCATTTAGAAGTGGAATACATAAGAAAAGAAAGATTTATGGACATCAACTTCTTTATTGTGAATAACAACGTTTCGGAGTGTATGCTTCATAGTGTTATTCACAATGAAGTAGTTGACATCCTTAAATCTTTCTTTTCTTAAACAAATCTGGTGTTCTCCACTTCTCACATTGAGTGATGGCAGGAAGCACAATATTCTTATCTCAAAGTCAAAATATTTGGTATTGTTAGGAATGGTCAGAATCTGTCTAAATAGCCATTATTTCTTTCGTGACAGACAGTGAATCTTTTCAACCAATTTGTACAGCTTAATAAATATAAAAATCAATTTTACAACAAAACACTACACAGGGCAGTACATGGGTAAACATGAAGATGAACAAGATTCTCTCCTAAATAATAGATCTGATGGTGACTTCAAGGGATCATTTCAGCCAAACTACATGACTGTCTTCACAAACCTTTTGTAACTGTTGCCGTGGAAGCGGTACTGGAAGAGATGGTTGTGACGGGCGTGATAGCTCTTATTGTGAAAGGCATACCCTCTGAGCTGACGGCCATTGGGGTGACCCTCATGATGGGTTTCTGAGCTGAGAGGATGCTACCGGATGGCAGCTGTACGGCAGGCACACTCTTCACTTGAGTAACGGTTGGTGTAACTGTCGTATTAGCTGACATAGGGGAGCTGGCTGTCAACGAAGAAGCAACATTTAATGCTGGGGACCGGGCCATTGACTGAAAAGAAAGTTGCATGAGATTGAGACACATGTCGATTTACAACACTGATTCACTGTTTTATCAGTCAGCAGACTCCAGCCAGGTCATGGTGACCTGGAATCAAGAGTTTGGGTCAGCTATGTGTTTAATGATACACTGTCAAATTATCATTACAATCTTCAAAAACAAAAATGGGAAAATGGAAGATCTACAAAACTAAAACACATCTACCAATACCTATACATAATAGAGTCAAAGATTTTTTTAAAAATACCAAGTTCATTTTGAATTTTAACACAATATTTCAGAGGCTTATTCTTACTACATACTTTAACATTAGAAAGACATTTATAGACATAAATACATCTAACTAAAACATACTTATCTAACAAATATACTGACTGACTGACTGACTGAGTTTAGTTTTATGCCGCTTTTAGCAATAGTCAAGCAATATCACGGCGGGGGACACCAGAAATGGGCTTAACACATTGTGCCCATGTGGGGCATCGAACCCGGGTCTTCGGCGTGACGAGCGGATGCTTTAACCACTAGGCTACCCCACTGCCCCTCTAACAAATATACAAATTATTTCTTTGTCCAAGAAGTGACAAGACTGAGTAAAGGTTGTTGTGAGACATATATACCAATAGAGGAGGAGGTGGTAGAGGTGGTGGCTGCTGCAGTGGAGGATGAAGTGGCAGTGGACGAGGAAGCAGTAGACACAACATTTTGTACAGGTATCACAGGCTGTATGGGAGCAGCAGGGCTGGACGTGGCTATTAACTGCTGACCAGACGATGTCTGAACTATTTGGATGAGTCCGGCTGAAACAGATTCATGGCATGGTGTAATGTTTCTTTATTTCAAGTGAGTGAATGAGAATGGTTTTACGCCGCTTTTTTGCAATATTCCAGCAATATCACAGCAGGGGACACTAGAAATGAGCTTCACACATTGTACCCATTTGGTGAATCGAACCCGGGTCCGCAGCATGACAAGCGAACACTTTAACCACTAGGCTACCCCACCGCCCCGTTTCTTTATTTCAAAAGCTGCATTTGGCAATATGCCTAACCATCCACTCCAGTGATCAATGCTGCGAGGAACTGTCTATGCTTTCAGTATGATAACAATCTAATAAATGAGCTTGCAATATTTACACATACACAGAAAACGATTGAGTTTTTCTGTCAACAATTAAATGAAACTTCTACTTGTCAAAAGTATACCGTAAACATTTGTCGGACACTGGACATGTGTCAAGCAGTACTATGCACCATACTGTGTATAGATTGACATACCTGGCAACTGCGACAGCTGGCCGGTGGGTATCATCAGTCTGGTACCCTGTTCTGTTTGCTGAATCTGAACAGTAATGGGCTGAGAAGGTATCACAGATGAAGAACTTGAGTGGAACACGCCTGCAAGCATCGATACACAAGTGAAGCATGGAAACAGCTCAATAAACATCGTAAAACTTAGTCTGTCACCTGATATGTGCTTTCAAAAGACTTATTATTTTGTCAAGTCAAAGTCAAAGATATTTATTGTATATACAAGTAATACAAGTATATATACAGCACATGTTACAGACATTTTACAAAAGAAATTATAGTTCAGATAAGATATTGCTTCTAAGGATAACAGCATGTTTTACATAAAGCGCAAGATTACGTATTACATTTTCATTTTTGGACGATAGAATGGAAGCAAAGGCAGATGAAGGATATTTTAACAGGTAATTATTTGGGATATATATTTTTCTTAAATCAGCATAATGTGGGCATACAAAAGCGAAGTGAATATCATCTTCTATAGCCGAGTTACATAATGGACATATCCTTAAACGTCTCTCTATTGAAAATCGTCTGCCCTTATTTACTGATAAGTCTAACAAGCCCAATTGAAAATTGACAAATGTGAGTGATATTTCTAGATGTCAATACAGATAGATATAGTTCTGGTTGAATTAAGCTCTTATGTGATCTATACAACTGATATCTTGAACTATTGTCTAGATAGGAATGCCATTCTTGATAATACATGCTAACAGATTGTTCTCGAAATTGCCTAAGAAATAGATTAACTCTTTCAACACCAGTCAACCAGAGGCATTTACTGCCATGACACCGAGTTCCCAGAGACTCTGAGGTCATAGATGAAGCCTATGTTTATGAAGGAAATTATAAGCTTGTAAAACGTTATTGCTACTACATCCCATACACAATTTAAAAGATCTAATCCTACTGTTGATAAATATGAAGTTTATTTTTATAATATTATTAAATTTATACAACTACAACTTAAATAAATATATATTTGAATGAAAATGCAAGCTTACATTTATAACGTCCAGATAAACCACGAAAGGAGCAAAAACTATGGCGATTTTTTCCATTTGTGACATGTCACAATATGCCCGTGCCTTTTTCTTTTATATTTTCATCTTTACGTAATCAGAAAATTATTATAAAAAGATTTCTTAAACAATATGTATGGTCGCCTATTTCCCGATATCTGTGGCTTTCCGCCGGTAAAATGACATAACAACTGAAAATACCTCCGTTTTCGCTTCAGATGAATAACATGCTGCAAATCGCTTGATGTCGGGCATTGTTCGAAGCTCTGAACATCAACAATATCACTGTACCCTTGTCAAGAGTATTTTCACAGTTGTAAGAAGCGATTTTATTGGATAAAATTGGTTTCTAATGACGCTTTTTCGCCACAGTCTGCTATAAGGGTCGCCATTGGTCAAAATCAGACACGGACCTAAGGCAGCCAATCATATTACAGCAATGGATATCGCCCTCGTGAACTAAAACCTTTAGATTTAGACAAAAGTTTTGGGTAAAATAATGGTATTCTGAACATATTAAGCAAGAAATCGCTACCTATAATGTGAATTATGGAACTTATTGGATGTATCGTGGCTTGGTTATGACCTGTGACAAAAATGCTTCATGTATGTATTTTCGCATGATTAAACATCGTGGTCCGAAAGCTGAAGATTGAGGCGGCGAGAGCCGAGATGTCACTGTCAGTGACTTGACTTGCCTTACATGATCGCACAAAAAGATGGAAATAGTAATTTTATATGTACGCTTTGACAACTTTAATGAATGCTGTTGTTGATTTTATTCATTAGTTATTCAATTTAATTAATAATTTCCTCAAACATCGCTATTTTGCTCTTTGACAATGTTTATTGTAGACCCGCCGTCAAGCATGTGTCCGAGAATCGTTGTTTTCAATAACATTGCGAAAAATAGTTTATAATTTTAATTCTGCTGATAATATATGATAAATTGAAATTTAATAATTGTTTTCAGACATTGTGAAATGTGATAGATTTGATATATGAATCAAAAGTCAGGTAGGTTCCTAAAATTATGTCTCATTTTGACGTGACTACTGCCTGGCCGATTAATCGGCCTCCGGTGTCTGGGGACTCATAACGTTGTGGCCGATTATTCGGCCTGCGGTGTTGAAAGGGTTAATATTACCAACTGTTTGATTTAGCTACACAAATCCAAAGCCATGGGAAAATAAAAGATTTCTAATATGAGACGCCCATGTTGTCTCACCCCTATCATCTAAATGTACAAACATGTTATAAGCTAGTTTTGGGATTCTTTGTTCGTGCATTCCAAGGATAATTAACCGATATTTAAACATCTGATTTGTTAATTTATATATATTGGATATCTACCGCATTCTCCATAAACCATACAAGTTGGTGTTGATTGCGGTACATTTAATAATCTTTTACATGCTAAAAGGTGTAGTTTCTCTAGACATTCATGACGTTGAAATCCCCCAATTTCAGACCCATAAAGCATAATCGGTTAGATTTGTGCATCAAACAATTTAGAATATATTTTCGGGGTTAAAATTCCAAAATTCTGTGAAACTGGCATAACATTAATAAGAGCCTTCTTAGCATGTGATATCAGATCTATAACACTCTTTCTAAAGTTCACGGTATGGGAAAACACAAGTCAGAAGGGTATAGTGATTAACAATAAATTTTTCCCAGTCAGCAATATTTGAGCCAGAACAGATCAGCATGTTTAGTGTGTGGCAAATCGGTGATTGATAGCAAGAGCAATATGTTACCATGAATCCCTATCACTAAGATCACACATTGAGATCAACGGACCGTTGCATGGGGGGTTATGGAAACCTATTCAGCTGTTGAAACCTCATGCCCGACTTTGAAATAAAAGAAATGATAAGTTCCTCTTAACAAGGAGCATTACTTTCAGGTGTCTGTCAAAGACTACCTTGTAATAACTGCTGAGGCACCACTTTTGCCTGTATTGTTGCTTGCATGGGCACGGCAGAGGCTGAAGTTACACTTGCTGATGAGACTATAGTGACTGTCTGGGCTGTGGCTTGAGACTGGGGCTGGGAGACAGCGAGAGACTGCACAACAGGGGCTGTAGTTGTAGTGGTCGCTGTTGACTGAGCCTGGCTTACAATGCCAAGTTTAATCGGGAACAGCACCTGCAAGTCACAGAAATACAACTGATTAAACAAAGTCAACATGTCATCGAAATTTGGACCAGTAACCCCTACATCAAACAGAATTAGCACAAGTAACATGAACAAAGTATTTGACATTCAGAATTCATTTAGCACAAACCTTGAGATGTTTGCACTGGAGTTGGATGCAGGATCTGACTTGGTGTCGAACTGCGCACTACTGTCCGCACCAATTGTACTGGAGAAGCAGATCTCGCCTGGCTGATTGGCACCAAGGGAGAAGAGCGACCAGACTGCAAGATGAAAGTTAATACAATGCAGCTACCATGAAATAGATTGAGTGAGTGGGTTTAGTTTTACGCCACTTTTAGCAACATTCCAGCAAAGGCCAGAAATGGGCTTCACACACTGCACCCATGTGGGGAATCGAACCCAGGTCTTCGATGTAATAAGCGAACACTTAAACCACTAGGCTACCCCTCAATTTAATATAAAAAAAAGAAAAAGGAAGAAGTTTACAAATTTATACTATCCAGCATATTCAATTGAGCCAAGGGTTAGTTGTCAATTGTTATTTTCTCTTAGATTATATACTACTTATCAGCTGTGCTACCAATAAAAAAAGTATTCCACAAGGAATTTTCACCTGTCCTCTTTGAAATTGATAACACTTGGACAAACAACATGCATTAATACTGTACACAGACAGATTGAAAAACCAAATTCCTAAACAGCACAATCCAAGAACAATTTAAACCAGGAACACAGACCGTCTGCTAACACCTACCAAACTTGGAGATTTTAAGGAAACATTTGACGGAGCAGACATCTGTTGATGTTTAGTGTGCTCACCTGAGGTGTTGCTGGTGAGACACTTCTGAAGGTGAGAGGCTTCAGTTTCCCAGGTTTGAGTCTGGGCGGTGGGTCGGGTTGGTCGTCAATCTCCACTATCAGTCGCCGTGGTGTTTGCAGTTTTTTCACTCTGTGGGCGATGAAAGCAGGAAGGTCGAGCTCCATCTCCGCCAGACTCGGGTACAGCGACCGCAGATCAACATCCTGATAAAGATAGCATTATAGGGTGTCTTATTTCAAAGAGTAGAAAAATCAAAAGTAGCTGATATTTTTAATGAATTTTATCACAAGAATGGCAGCTTATGCTGTAGTCAGAGACCTTCAATATAAAGAATGAACATGGAAGGCACACACCCAAGGAAGATGAGAATAATATCTGAGCAGTCAGTTGTTTAACAATGCACTCAGCTGTATTCAGCCATTTATAGTAGCCTGAAAATATGTGAATTAGCTGATCAACAATGCGATTCTTCCCTGGTGATCACGCTTCCAGATATCCTATGTAACTACTCTTTTGTATGTTCTTGATCAAAAGAACAAGAATCAAGCCTGGAGATCCTCAAAATCCTAACTGGAGATAGGAAACATCGTGGAGTGACACGAAATGATGTGTTTAAGCAAGGTGCTGTGGATGCAGTAAATAGTACTACTTTAGGATGCGTCAAAGGGACTTTTGTAACTTTCAACCGGAGGTTATATTTGTTGGTGTACTCAGCAATATTCCAGAAGTATGACAATGGCTTCTTTTAGTCACTGATTTGGTAACAATCCATAACGTTGCGTTTAATGACATGGAATCTTTAAATTCTGAACATGGTGTTTCTGCGAAGGCGGTCCTGTAGCCAACACGGCAACAGGAGACATCAATGAGGAGTTCTACACACTGCTTCATGTGGGAAGATGAACCCCTGGAGTGTATCCATAGACAAAGCAAATGCTACACCATCTGGGCACCAGACCCAGGGGTGGAAATAACCCATTGCCCGACGTCCGAGTCCAGCGTTTTTTTCTGTCGGGCAAGTAAATTTGTATATCACACTGTACTGGTGTCCAGTTGACTTTCCAATGTTATTATGTTGTTTATTTTAAAAAATCAACAAGAAAAGGCCGGTATAGTGGAAAAATTATCAGGGCAAGTGATTTTACATGTGCCACTGTTCCGGAGTACACTAGCAATTTTAAAGTTATTTCCACCCCTGAGACCACCCATCTACTTATAGAACATCAAGCAATAATGTTACAGTAGCTCTACTGAATAAATGACTTTCACAGATAATAATGGTAAATATTGTCTATGACAGGAATCATATGCTGGGATTACCTCAGCATATGAGTTTTAAATAGACTGTTTTCTCTATCCCAGTTAGAAAGTCCACATATGACAATAGAATGCCATTGTGGTTTGTGAGCTTAGGGAAATCCTTATTTTGGCAATTCTATTTGTTTTTGTGTGTTATTTGATGGAGCACTCAGCAATGTCTGCAGTTATGTATAGAGCTGCTTGTAAGGAAGTGATGACACAATCCAGTTACTGGTATCATCAGCATCTTATCATTAATCCTGACAACCCAACCTATTTTGAACGGAACATTGGGTTATTCCAAGGCCCCTTTCACCATCATGATTAACTTCAACCCCTGAATACACAAGAATGAGAGTTGGGTTATAAATTGGAATTATTTAAACACAAGAAAAATGGAAATTGAGACCTGTATGAGAAGACTCACCTTGAATGGGTCGTATTCCAAGGCTCTTGCAGCTAATGAGGATGTTGTGTATGCAATTCCTCTCATTTGGAATGGTGAAATTATTGGTCTTGGATCAAAGAGGTTTGGATGGTTGCACACCTTCCTCAGTTGCATCAGAACATTTATCACACTCATGAAGTGGCCTTGGGAAAGTGTCTCCCTCGTTCTGGAAAAAAACAAAATGTATCTTGTATCAATATCATCAGATGTTAAAAACAATTCAATGCAATATATTGTGATACATGTATACACACTTAAACATATTGGTAGCTTAAATGCTTGACAGTGATTGACACTGATACATACACCACAAATGCACCCAAACACGAGCATAATCACTTGCATGTTGACACTATTTGTCTACCAATTACTTGAAACATTTATGAGTGAGTGTGTTTAGTTTTACGCCGCACTCAGCAATATTCTAGCTATATGGCGGCGGTCTGTAAATAATCGAGTCTGGACCAGACAATCCAGTGATCAACAGCATGAGCATCGATCTGTGCAATAGGAAGCTGATGACATATGTCAACCAAGTCAGCTAGCATGACCACCCAATCCTGTTAGTCGCCTCTTACGACAAGCATGGGTTACTGAAGGCACATTCGCGAGTACATCATTTGTGAAGGGAATTGAGTGTAGATTTTAGGTTGAAAGATACCTATTAATAATGGAACTTATTTATTCCCCCGAGCCCTCAAGAACACAGAAAACCTATACTATACTGCAATATGCAATATTTGAAAGGCATATTGCTGTACATCGGTAACACCATGTAGTGTTAGTGATGACTGACGTTGGTATGTCTTAATTACTTTCATGTTTTGCAGACAGGTTTTTTAACAGGACTTCCTCCAGTCTTCAGTTTGCTTGTGGAATGTTTAAACATTTGACATTTGAAAACACAACAGTATGTTCTCTTGACATGCTTAAGTCTATATCTGGCCAGGGCTACAGATCAGGTACAATCGTTGCAACTGTCTTTGGTATTGGCCATATATAACAATGTCATGAAACTAAACAAAACATCTTATCACAGCAAGACACTTTAGAAAAATGTTTGCAATACTTGCAGAAACAATGCATTGTTATTGGCCGTATATAACAATGTCATGAAACTAAACAAAACATCTTATCACAGCAAGACACTTTAAGAAAGAGTTTGAAACATCTTTTTCAACAGTGACACTTGAGATGCAGGCATTTCTAAAATAATTTTCAAACTAAACCACAACACAAAAATGTACTGTGGTCCAGGGATTTACAGGACACGAATTCCTGCGTCCTATATGCATAAACATTGACAATGGACGCAACAAAATTTATAAGCGCATCCACAGGGACTCAGAAAAAGTCCAAATACTTTTTGTAAAAATTCCATTCAAGTGACAATAAGTTATCAGTGAGTTTGCTACTAGCTGGGTTATGGTAATATTTGCAATTTAATTACTGTAACAATGTGATGATCATGATACACAATACAATAACAATATTATCCCATTCAACACCGCAGGCCGCTTAGGCGGCCACAACGTTATGAGTCCCCAGACACCGAAGGCCGATTAAGCGACCAGGCAGTAGTCACGTCAAAATGAGACATAATTTTAGGAACCTCCCTGACTTATGATTCATATATTAAATCTAACACATTTCACAATGTCTGAAAACACTTATTAAATTTCAATTTATCATATATTATCAGCAGAATTAAAATTATAAACTATTTTTCGCAATGTTATTGAAAACAACGATTCTCGGACACATGCTTCGGCAGCAGGTCCACAATAACATTGTCAAAGAGCAAAGTAACGATGTTTCAAGGAATTCATTAAATAAATTGAATAAACTAATGAATAACATCAACAACATTCATAAAAGTTGTCAAACGTACATATAAAATTACTATTTCCATCTTTTTGTGCGATCATGTAATGTAAGTCAAGTCACTGACAAGTGACATCTCGGCTCTCGCCGCCTCAATCTTCATGCTCGGACACGATGTTTAATGCGAAAATATATACATGAAGCATTTTTGTCACAGGTCATAACCTAGCACGATACGTCCAAAAAGTTCCATAATTTATGTACAGGTAGCGATTTCTTGCTTAATATGTTCAAAATAGCATGATTTTTACCCAAAACTTCCGTCTAAATCTAAAAGTTTTCGTTTACGAGGACGGTATCCATTGCCGTAATATGATTGGTTGCCTTAGGTCACATGTCTGATTTTGACCAATCACGACCCTTATAGCAGACTGTAGCGAAAAAGCGTCATTGGAAACCAATTTTTATCCAATAAAATCGCTTCTTACAACTGTGAAAATACTCTCGGCAAGGGTTCAGTGATGTTGTTTATGTTCAGAGCTTTGGAAAATGCAAGCTTACATTTATAACGTCCAGATAAACCACGGAAGAAGCAAAAACTAAGGCGATTTTTTTCCATTTGTGACATGTCATAACATGCCCGAGCCTTTTTCTTTTATATTTTCATTTTTACGTCATCAGAAAATTATTATAAAAAGATTTCGTAAATAATATGTATGGTCGCCTATTTCCCGATATCTGTGGCTTTCCGCTCGGTACCATAACATAACAACGGAAACTACCTCCGCTTTTGGCTTCTTCAGATGCATAACATGCGAGGGGAATCGTTTGATGTCGGGCATCGTTCGAAAGCTCTGAACATCAACAATATCACTGAACCCTTGCCAAGAGTATTTTCACAGTTGTAAGAAGCGATTTTATTGGATCAAGATTGTTTTCTAATGACGCTTTTTCGCCACAGTCTGCTGTAAGGGTCGTGATTGGTCAAAATCAGACACGTGACCTAAGGCAGCCAATCATATTACAGCAATGGATACCGTCCTCGTAAACGAAGACGTTTAGATTTAGACAAAAGTTTTGGGTAAAATAATGCTATTCTGAACATATTAAGCAAGAAATCGCTACCTGTACGTAAATTATGGAACTTATTGGACGTATCGTACTAGGTTATGACCTGTGACAAAAATGCTTCATGTATATATTTTCGCATTAAACATCGTGTCCGAGCGTGAAGATTGAGGCGGCGAGAGCCGAGAAGTCACTTGTCAGTAACTTGACTTACATTACATGATCGCACAAAAAGATGGAAATAGTAATTTTATATGTACGTTTGACAACTTTTATGAATGCTGTTGTTGATTTTATTCATTAGTTTATTCAATTTATTTAATGAATTCCTCGAAACATCGTTACTTTGCTCTTTGACAATGCTATTGTAGACCCGCTGCCGAAGCATGTGTCCGAGAATCGTTGTTTTCAATAACATTGCGAAAAATAGTTTATAATTTTAATTGTGCTGATAATATATGATAAATTGAAATTTAATAAGTGTTTTCAGACATTGTGAAATGTGTTAGATTTAATATATGAATCATAAGTCAGGGAGGTTCCTAAAATTATGTCTCATTTTGACGTGACTACTGCCTGGTCGCTTAATCGGCCTGCGGTGTTGAATGGGTTAAATGGTGTATGGGATGTAGTAGCAATAACGTTTTACAAGCTTATAATTTCCTTCATAAACATAGGCTTCATCTATGACCTCACAGTCTCTGGGAACTTAGTGTCATGGCAGTAAATGCCTCTGGTTGACTGGTGTTGAAAGAGTTAATAATAATATCTAAGTGTCTGGGACCCCAATTTTGTTGTCCAGGACCCCTGAAAATTAAGAGTACGAGTCCCAGGGACCCTCAAATACAGGACTCCAGGTAAATCCCTAGTCGTCTGGTGTAGATATAACAAAGTTTTCAAGATCTGCTTTTTCAAGCGGACAGGCAGACGGGCATGGGGTAATAATGCATCAGTTCAAGCCACAAAACATGAGCACTTTGGTAAATGTTAAGTATGATAAATCTGATACAGACAAACCTTAAGAGTGAAACGAGGCTTAACCGTAGCATTCTAGATAATTGCACGGACAGAGTTACACATCCTGTTAATTGCATGTATGTCGATGGTCTAACACAGGTTCATAATGACATATTATGCCACATTTTAACATGGACACTGCACATAATCCAACCAATGACTCACTTTGTCTGGGACATGAACTCATCATAGAGGAACCTCTGTCTCTTCGACAGCCGACACATGACAACATGCTCATATTTCTTTGGCATCTGCTTCTCAACATCATCTTTCAACCTCCTCAGCAAGAAAGGCCGCAATACCTGAAAAACAAGGCAATACATGTAGAGTGACTGAGTATGATTTTATGCCGCTTTTAACAATATTCCAGAAATGTCATGGCAGGGGACACCAGAAATGGGCTTCACACATTGTACCCGTGTGGGGAATCGAACGAGGGTCTTTGGCGTGACAAGCAAACACCTTAACCACTAGGCTACCTGACCGCCCCAAAATACATGTAGAACACACTTCATCACAATGCCCAGAAAGTAAGGCAACAGCATTTTATACTATTAGCTGTCTCTTATGTCTATGGAAGAATATCTGAATGCGAGAACTTGTTTGAATCATCTGTACAACTAGGTTGGTTTGTAGTTCAAAGCTGCAATCAGGGCAAACCAACCAGATACAGATGATTCAAACAAGTTCTCGCATTTAGATATTCTGAGCATTCAAGCAGCTTTCTCTTTATGACCACTATTAGATATGAAAGGCAAGTTGTCTCCATATATCTGTAATCTATTTGACTCCAATGTTCGTGTTAAAGGAGTCACTGTCTTATGGATTGAGTTGAAACCCAAAGCGTGCACGCTGAAGGGAGACCCTCAAATATGTACTTGATTGTAGTTTTCGAACGAGTTAAATTGTTTGACTTGTTTAGTGAGTTAGGTTCACTGCCGTGTTGGCACTCAGCTGTAATTAAGGTTGCTACTGTATTTATCTTTAACATATTACTCCTCAGAGATCACTCTACTTCACAGGACACTACATTTGTTATTCACGAAGCATTACCGACAGTTTCATTTATAGAAAACAGATAGTTTCATCTATTTTCTCATTCAGTGTCTCAGACAAGGTGTCCAACCACTCACACTGTGTGATCAGGGCATAGGTATCTGAATCCTTCAAGTGAATCCTTCTTCGACATCAATAGCAACTCGTCTTACAAGATTGTCAGACAAGTGAATCCTTTTAATGTCTCGAAATTGCAACAAAGGCACACAATAAATGTGCACATGAAAACACATGTTCAAAGTTGATTAAAAAATGTCCCACTGCACGTCCATACTTTATCAGATATAATACAACTTGGGTACAGAAGAATATGTGCTAACACCAAGGAAAGAGTCATGGTATGGTGAAAATAAGATTTGTTTATATGTCACGCCTGAGACTACAAATTCGAAGTAAAGAACCAATACACATCCTGTCATCTTTTTCAAAGGAATTCCTGTTTTCCAAACTTCTAAGGTGCTTAACAATGTACTTTGTCTCAGACAAGGTGTCCAACCACTCATATCGTGTGATCAGGGCATAGGTATCTGATGTTTTACTCTTCGAGATCAATAGCAACTTGTCTTGTAAGATTGTCAGACAAGTGAATCCTTTTAATGTCTCGAAATAAAAACAAAGACACAGCAAAATCCCTTGAAAGAAGTTGACTGAAGAGACTGTCCCACTTTGTACCCATGCTTGGTCACATAAACGCATGTTTGAAATTACTGAGGATGCACAAATCCCTAGGAAAGAATAATGCTGTTTCGAAAACGTTACTGGTTCAACCTGACACCGGGATGGCAACAGGAAAATCTATTTTCAGTGGAAAACTCAATATCGTGTCATAGAATGGGGGTTTCAATGACACAATTTATAACCAATTAAAAAATGAAATTGGCAGAAATCTACCAAGGACTAGCTGATCACGTACAGCTGATCTACACTTTACCAATAGCAACTTGTTGACAGTTGTAGGTTAGGCTGCCACACACAGCAACTGATACTTCATCTGTCATGTCAGGAACCACAGTGCCACAAAAACATTTCCTATCTTTCAGTCCATGTTAGATAAAATGATTAAAGATCAGCAAATGGAATATGTTCACATTGAAAGTTTTCATGGACAACAACTTGAACATGTACCAAAAACAAACTGAATATGGTCTATGTTCAATGTCTTAGTTAAACTTTGAACTTAATATTCAGTGTCTCAGACAAGGTGTCCAACCACTCACATCGTGTGATCAGGGCATAGGTATCTGATGTTTTACTCTTCGAGATCAATAGCAACTTGTCTTACAAGATTGTCAGACAAGTGAATCCTTTTAATGTCTCGAAATCACTTTGGTAAAATATGCACCAAACCCATTGCAAAAATATATAAAAATCAAGAGCACGTTTTGGAAACAATGAAGATAATTTGAAGCCATATCTGTTTACACGAGTCATCACTTATCAGGGAAACATCTTTCGGCAACATTGTAAAATGGTTTTGTGGCACCACAATGTTTTAGACAGCATACACCGGTGGTTTATTTATTAGACGGGATTATCACAATCATGCCATTGTCTTACCGTCTCCATTACACTATCCAGCATTTGATAAATTAAAAGTATCCTCCTAACAATGAAAACACATTTAACAATGACAAACTTTTAATATGTGTAGACTTGGCTGATGTACAAGCAGCCATGAGATATAACAGCTCATGTTGTCTATGACAGGAATCATATGCAGGAGTATCACAGCACATGAGTTTTAAACAGACATTTTCTCTATCCCAGTTAATAAGGTCCACATACGGCAATGAAATACCACTGTGGTTTGTGAGCATAGGGAAAATCTCTTTGAACATCGATCGAGAACAGATGATTTTCTAGCGAATGTGAACAGTGATTTTGGTTGAACACAACACAAGAACTAATTTGCATCGAAGCAACACAGCTTGATGTAGCTGAATAATTGAAAAAAGATCTTTGGTAAAAATCCAAACACACTGTCAAATTTAAACCAACACCGACTAGCTGATCACGTACAGCTGATCTACACTTTACCAATAGAAACTTGTTGACAGTTGTAGGTTAGGCTGCCACACACAGCAACTGATACTTCAGTCTGCCATGGCAGGAACCACAGTGCCACAAAAACATTTCCTATCTTTCAGTCCATGTTAGATAAAATTATTAAAGATCAACAAATGGATTATGTTCACATTGAAAGTTTTCATGGACAACAACTTGAACATGTACCAAAAACAAACTGAATATGGTCTATGTTCAATGTCTTAGTTAAACTTTGAACTAAATATTCAGTGTCTCAGACAAGGTGTCCAACCACTCACATCGTGTGATCAGGGCATAGGTATCTGATGTTTTACTCTTCGAGATCAATAGCAACTTGTCTTACAAGATTGTCAGACAAGTGAATCCTTTTAATGTCTCGAAATCACTTTGGTAAAATATGCCCCAAATCCATTGCAAAAATAATATAAATATCAAGAGCACGTTTTGGAAACAATGAAGATGATTTGAAGCCATATCTGTTTACATCAGTCATCACTTATCAGGGAAACATCTTTCAGCAACATTGTAAAATGGTTTTGTGGCACCACAATGTTTTAGACAGCATACACCGGTGGTTTATTTATTAGACTGGATTATCACAATCATGCCATTGTCTTATCGCCTCCATAACACTATCCATCATTTGATAAATTAAAAGTATCCTCCTAACAATGAAAAAACATTTAACAATGACAAACTTTTAATATGTGTAGACTTGGCTGATGTACAAGCAGCCATGAGATATAACAGCTTATGTTGTCTATGACAGGAATCATATGCAGGAGTATCACAGCACATGAGTTTTAAACAGACGTTTTCTCTATCCCAGTTTATAAGGTCCACATACGGCAATGAAATACCACTGTGGTTTGTGAGCATAGGGAAAATCTTTTTGAACATCGATCGAGAACAGATGATTTTCTACTGAATGTGAACAGTGATTTTGGTTGAACACAACACAAGAACTAATTTGCATCGAAGCAACACAGCTTGATGTAGCTGAATAATTGAAAAAAGATCTTTGGTAAAAATCCAAACACACTGTCAAATTTAAACCAACACCATAACTGTGATAAGAAAGTAGCTTCAATAATTCAGTTCAATTTCTACAACTAGTAACTTTGTGTGTCTGAAGTAATCTGTGTGTTCTAATAAGAGTTGTCAGAACAAGTCACGAGGCAAAAGGCATTTTATGAGCTGCATCAAATCTGATTGTGCAGAGCTGGAACAGGACTGAAGAAGCCATTCTTTCCTTATCTGGCTCATTATTAGCACTGTGGTTTTAGGCATCTCAAGCAAGATGGTTATAAAAAAACTTGTAATTAATAATAATCTGACCAATTCATAAGTATGTATGAAGCCCACTAATACCAGAGTTTCATGTACTTTCAGATGAATTATTGTCTGTGACAGGAATCGTTTGCAGGGATAATCACAGCATACGAGTTTTAAACAGACAGTTTTCTCTATCCCCGTTTGTAAGTCCCCATATGGCAATAGAATGCCACTGTGGTTTGTGAGCAAAGGGATTCCATTCTCGTGTCCTTTCTATGTGTTATGTTCTATTATCTTAAGTAGCAGTCCAGCTATATGACTTTAGCCAGAAGGAGCGAGTGAGCATGGTTTTAGGCCGCTTTTAGAAATATTCCAGCAATATCAAGGCAGGGGACACCAGAAATGGGCTTCACACGATGTACCCATGTGGGGAATCAAACCCTGTTCTTCATCGTGCAAGCAAACCCTTTAACCACTAGGCTACCCCAATGTCCCAGCCAAAAGGAACTGATACTATCAATCCACGGGTATCAGTTTATGGTCACAAGACAGCGAGTTATCACTCGATCCTGTAACTTGCCTCATACAACCTACAGCATCGGCCGAGGAAGACCTACTCTAATCGTGAACTTCTTTTGTACCGCTGCCGTGCTCACCTTGTGTAATCTCTTGACTAGACTGTCATTGTACTCCTGACTGCCCTCCACCATCCCTGTGAGTGGGTTGGAGAACCATTCCTTGAACTCCTTGTGCGACTGGAACACGTGCGGCATCAGGAAGTGCATAAGTGACCATAACTCCATCAAACTGTTCTGCAGGGGGGTACCCGTAAGCAGAAGACGGCGCTGACTTGAGAAGTTCAACAGCATCTGCCATCGCTGAGACTTGAAGTTCTTGATGTTTTGAGCCTGAAAATAACATCAAGTGTAACGTCTAGTCCAATGAAAGGTTCTGACTGCAACTATACCATTGAATTAACACAGAAAATCATTTGTATAGCAGCAAACAAGAGGTTGATCCAAACCATTCTAGTAACATTGGAGGATTCAGACTACCATTTCTCAGTCATGTATGATATCTGCACTATGACACCATTTCTTAACCAGTTTCTGACAAGTTGAGGTGTGCCCCATGATCTCTACAGTGATACAAAACGAAACAGATCTAGGTGAATGTAAAAACATTTGACATTGGAAAACACAACAATATGTTTTCTTGACTTGTTTCAATTTATATCTGGCCAGGGCTACAGATCAGGTACAATCGTTGCAACTGTCTTTGGTATTGGCCATTCTGCTGTACAAAATTACCCAATTTTCACAACACAGTCTTGTTTGTTCTAAATTTATTATGGGTTCTACACACAATTGTGACATTACCAGTTATACCTTAAAAAAAACTATAATACAACAGACTGAACTGTGAGTATGTGTTCAGGTCTCACCTCATCCAGGATGAAGTACTTCCACTTCTTCCTCCTGAAGGCTGAGTGATCCTGCACCACCAGTTTGTAGGACGTGATACACACATGAAAGGCATTGGTTTTGGTCCATCCCTGAAACCAACATGGAGAAACGAGTTTATATCTGCTCTAAATTCTCAGTTTATCTCATTATTTGAATTGTTCATTGCAAAACGAAGTCAACCACTTGGCAAACCTACAGGTACAAATCCACCTGACTGATCACATATTCAAACTTCTTTTAAAAATAATACTGATTAAAGCACTGAACAAACTCGGGCCTCACAATCAACATGACATTCATACACGGTTAGATCTCTTTGAACTGTAGCTATCAATAAAATTTGAACTTTAAGATGTAATTTTTATGATTGTACATTCGATTCAAGGGAATTGAAGGGATTCAAGTTTCCACTTGACTGTTTGGAAGAGAGGATGAGAAAGCAAATAAGCATGAGTCAGGATAAGTATAAAAATACAATATTTATATTTGGAAACAATGAGGGTCAAAAAGGTTGAATCAATACTGAACAAAGCTTATGCCACTCAATACTGAACAAAGCCACTCAATACTGAATTATGCCGCTCAATACTGAACAAAGCTTATGCCACTCAATATTGGACAAAGCCACTCAATACTGAATTATGCCGCTCAATACTGAACAAAGCTTATGCCACTCAATATTGAACAAACATATGCCCCTCGAAGAAGGTCTTAGTTTTCAGTTAGGTGGGTGAAATGCCATAGCATTACTTTACAAACATTATTCATCCCTTTTCCTGTAGCATTGGTTATTGTCCCAGGCACAATACAGCAACCAAGGACGCTGTACGAATGCAGTAATTTACCACCTTTTAATTGAAAGTAAACATTTTGTCTACTTACAGAATGAGAAGTGGATTAAAGTCTGAAGTTTATAATATACTGAAGAAAAAAGGTTAGGGATCAAATCATTTTTTGGGGCAACATTATGAATTTCTTACCTTAGTCTTTACCACAAAAAGTATACCCAAAATTATTCACGACTCCAATCCATTTTGTTCAGTATATACTCTGCAAAAGTAGTTAAAGAAAACGCAATGTTTTCCTGACTAATGTTAATCGTCATGACAACACTAAAGAATTCATAGTTTCTCTTACCGTTCTCTTCTGTTTCCTCTCCTTCTGGCTTCCATAGTATGTGAGTATTTTGAAAGCAGGACACCATTTCTTGAACTCCATTTCCCAGTTCAGCATAACACTTGTTGGGACGACGATGAGGTGAGGGCCCCAGACACCTACAAGTAGACAGACATCACTATCACTCTGAACGGATGGCATGAATACATGGAACTTTACTTACAATGTAGTCGAAGACAAAGGGCTTGGAAAGGTATCTGTCATTATCTGGATGAGGAATGTATCAAATTGTTTCATTACTGACAAGTCCCACAGCAAAACCTTAATATAGTTAACAGTGTTTGTGAGTATGGTTTTACGCCACACTTGGAGATATTACAGCAATAACTTGGCAGGGGACAACAGAAATGAGCTTCACACTGTGTAACCATGTGCGGAATCGAACCCTGGTGTTCAGCATGACGAGTGAATGCTTTAACCACTAGGCTATCCCAACGCTTTCTAATGAAAGGTTTTGATTACAACCAAACCATTGAATTACCACAGAAACCGATCCAATGGGGAGCAAACAGAGATTAATCAAAACCTTTCAGGCAACATTTGAAGATACTGACTAACATTTCTCAGTCATGTTTGATTGAACCCGAATCTTCAGCCTTATGAGTGAACGCTTTAACCACTAGGCTACCCCACAGCCCAGGTCAACACAGATCATGTGAATCGTGTCAACATGAGTTGACAGTTTGTAGCCAGGTGTATCTGTCTAGGCCTAAACAGCTCAAGGAGTATCTACCTTTTTCACAGGCAAGATGGGCCAACACTGCTATTGTCTGAATGGTTTTGCCAAGTCCCATTTCATCAGCCAGAATGCCATTAAGCTTCTTCTCATGCATGGTTGCCAGCCAGTCCAGGCCAACATGCTGATACTCTCTCAATGTGTGTTTCAGCAGAAAGGGGACCGACGTCCGAACCTGGAACAAAAGATTTGTTTTCAGCTATTGACTCTCTTCCAGTGCAGCATCATATCTCCAATCTGTTAAATAACTTGAGCCAAACTGCTACCATACTGCAGGGCTAGACCCAGTGTAAGAAATAAGGCGCGTCCGACCGCCCGAGACGGGCTAGATTTCTAGCAGGTCTGGTAATTTTTTTTAGATGTTCCATACATCTGAGTGTCTGGTCTGGTTTAATCCATTTTGGGCAGGTATATTTCATACACTGGTTAGACCTTAAAACTGGTGTGCTAGCTCTGGGCTACAACTTATTCCTGTGGATTTCCTCCATTTTTGTAACATTACAAAAGGATATTATCTCTACCTGTGCAATTTAAATCCAATTTTGTATGGTGCAATATCATGCAATGAAACTACTCAGCAAGAGAAATTCTTGGCAGTGTTACAAGCTTGAAAGTTGAAGGTTGTGAAGTCACTTCTCAACTTGCAGGGAACAGGTCCGGTAAATTATGACATTAGAAAGAAGATATAATAAGGATGGTGACTGGATGATAAAAACTGTTATCAGAAAATCTGTCTCAGACAAGGTGTCCAACCACTCACATTGTGTGATCAGGGCATAGGTATCTGATGGTTTACTCTTCGAGATCAATAGCAACTTGTCTTACAAGATTGTCAGACAAGTGAATCCTTTTAATGTCTCGAAATCGCAACAAACACAGAGCAAACTACCCTTACAACACCAAAAACATTTTAAAGTGTTGATTCAAGATTCCATGGTCTCGAAAAAGCAAACAGGTTCGCACATTGAAGAATAAAAATAGAATGCTAAATTAAAATCAAAAGAAGGGAAAGTGAGTGAGTGAGTTTAGTTACTCAGCAATATTCCAGCTATATGGCGGCGGTCTGTAAATAATCGAGCCTGGACCAGACAATCCAGTGATCAACAGCATGAGCATTGATCTTCACAATTGGGAACCAATGACATGTGTCAACCAAGTCAGCGAGCCTGACCACCTGATCCCGTTAGTCGCCTCTTGTGGCAAGCATGGGTTGCTGAAGACCTATCTACCCCGGATAAAAGAAGGGAAAGATATGTATCAGTTCACTGACCAGATTAGTACAAAAAAGGAGGATTCTATTTGTTTTTTTTATTGTGTTACATAAATATGACCCTGAAGACAAGGTTTCTTTGGCATCTGGGGCCTGAATAATTGGGATTTACAATGTATTGTTAAGTGGGACATTGCCAACAATACAGTTAAAAATGAAAGAATTTATTACAAAAACATTTTCAAAAACACAAAAGGGTAGATCGTATAAAGAAGCAAGCAATGTGTAGAAACAGTCGGAGAAATTTGTCCACAGTTATCTAAATGTGTCATTCCAACCTTATTATAGATGCCCAAATATGTTTCAGTACTTCATTTCATTAGTAAGCGGAACATGGTTCGTGTCTCAGACAAGGTGTCCAACCACTCACATCGTGTGATCAGGGCATAGGTATCTGATGTTTTACTCTTCGAGATCAATAGCAACTTGTCTTGCAAAACTGTCAGACAAGTGAATCCTTTTAATGTCTCGATAACATTTCACATTAAAATATTAAAGGTTAACGTGTATATACCAGTTCAAGCTAGGCCCAATACTTACCTCCGTTGTCTCAAGAGTGTAGCCTTTGGGCTGCAGGCTCTGGGCTTCTGCAGCTATGTCTGTTATTTCCTTCCCTGGGCCAGTCTCCGTATCCGTTTGCTACAAACATCACAACGTTTCAACAGAACATGTTTTTTAAGAGTTAAGTACAAATTCTGGTACAATAATGAGTCCAATCTGTGATTCAAACTCATAGTGTCAGAGTAAGGCACATAAGGGACCGTTCATAATTTATGGCTAGGGGGGTGATGATTTTTATGGAGAAGCACATACAATGTGAATGACCCCCCACTAAAATTTATGTACAAAACAAGTGACCGCCCCTGCATGTCATGTACAAAATCAATGACCCCCCCTCCCCTTCCCATAATTTCTAATTTAAAAATATTATCATGTACAAAATTGATGACCCCCAGTACATGTGTACAAAATTGATGACCTCCCTCCCCTCTTTAAAATCACCCACCCCACCCCAGCCATAAATTATGTACGGTCCCTATTCAAAGGTCATCAGACCAACTCAGCCTTTGAGACTTCCAACATTTATACGTCACTGTAGCTTAGAGTTCATTCCGCAGCCTCCTGAGGTTGCAATGTTAGATTGTTGTCTATGACAGGAATCATATGCAGGATTATCACAGCATATGAGTTTTAAACAGACTTTCTCTCTATCCCAGTTTTTAAGTCCACATATGACAATAAAATGTCACTGTGGTTTGTGAGCATAGGGAATATGTATCAATATGTACCACAGAGACAACAGGTTGGTTGGTTGGTTGGTTGATTGGTTGGTTGGTTAATGCCGCACTCAGCAATATTCCAGCTATATGGCAGTGGTCCACTGCCGGGCAAATTTGTATTTCCTGAAAACATGTCGTGTTCTTACCTTGACAGGAGACTTCTCGGCCTCTCCCTGAGGTTTGAGTAGGAACTCCAGACCCGTATCTTCCTGTGGCTGAGAGGATTCTCCTTCTTCTTCAGTCTCTTCCTCCTCTTCTTCCTCCTCTGTTGTTTCATCCTCGTCACTCTGAGCTTCTATATCTGGAGATGTCACAGACAAGTCCATTACATGAGCAATGTATAGATCACGACTAAAGTCTAAGGTCAGTGTACTTGGAATGTTAAAATGCTATCTCAAAACTACTCAACATAATCCAAACAGAATTACACGAGAGCAATGTTGATATTTCTCTTTGGTCAGGTTTTAAAGGCACAGTCTGTACAGAAAGACCTCGGTAACTGACCATCCATGTGATTTGAAATCTTATCTTGCCTCACACATAAATGTCGTTTTCTGAATGGCTGAGCGCTCTTCTATTATTTTCAATTTACCCCACTTACAACCAAGTAACATTTTCTATGTACCCCGCTGGAAATGCTGACCTCATTTGGTACTTCGTAGTAATAATTCTTTATCTCGAATAACATTGAATCATGTAGGATGTGCGGAAATTACCAATGTTTTTCAAATGGAAATCGATGGAAGGGAGATAACTATAAATTTGTTTTTCTTGTCGTCTTGATCCGAGACCCATGCTTCAAACAGTTTAAAATACCATTGAGGTGTTTGGTAAGATAAATACGTTGTTCACTGGTCCCTCGGGGCCCATGGGTTGATGTACCTCTCGAAACCAGTGAACAACTTATAATACAGCTGAAATGTATACTATGTCCAAGCCAACAGTCTTTTTATGTGAACCGATCTTCTTCACAAAATTCAGGAGTCGAATCTTGAAGTGACAGAGTTGGGACTAACGCCGGTTTAACGGTGTTCCTTTTACATGACTGTGTTGTCTTAATGTGAAAGTGATTTAGGTCTAGAATGTAACACACATGTGATGGGTATGGTGCTGAGACCTACCACTGAAACACAACACCTATAAGTTTTACTGAAGGGTCGCAACTCTTCAGACGACCAGCAGATTCAAATTAATTTGAATATATTTTAGTCTCAGATCAAAAGAAATCATCCTCTAATATTGTCAGAATCAAGCTCTAGAAGTTTAAAGGTCACTTTTGCAAGTTTGGCAACAATTAAGGCTGAAAAATATAAACAAAAAAGGTCATATGAACATACCATCATCTGAATCATCTTCAGATGTCTCTCCTTCTGAACTTTCTTCTGGCACATCAAAGTCACTATCATATGCACCTGCATATTTATTCACTAGTTCTTCCATTGACATTTCACCTGCAACAACCAGAGTTAGTCATATATGAACATTCCACAGAAGAAAATATCGGACATACTTACAGAAAGTAAATGTTGTTCACAATAACCAGGCAGCCTGCAAATAACGGTGTGGACCAGATGATCCTGTGATTGATATAATTGATGATAATTGCAATTCCTCCCACTCAGAGTCCTTGCTTTTGGACTATTCCAACTAGGAAGGTAAGAATAACTAAGCAAGGCATTAATCTAACAGTCTTTGTAGTCTGTCACAGGAGTCCAATGCATAGAAAGTACATGCACAAGAGTTTTAAAACAGACATCGCTCTGTCCCTGAAATATTGTTCCACTCATGACAACTGCTATCATTGTGGTTGTGAGCTACGGGACGACTGGTCCAGTCTACAGTGATAAATTATTCACAAACAATCACCTTCAGCTTCTAAATCATCAAGTTCCCGCTTGTAATCTTTCTTCTTTTCATGTTTCTCCTGTTCTTCTATTGTTTCTTCTAAATCCCCTTCATCTTCACTAGCTGTGAACTCTTCATCACTTCCCTGTAAACAAAATCCAAAAATATTTATCAAGAATATTCTCTTGACATAAATGGAATTGTCTACATTACAATTTGGAACAAAGTTAAGGGAGACTGGTTTATATCTACACACTTTTCAATGTTACTGTAAATGAAACGGTGGCAGCCTTCCTAAAAGGCTAGAAAGTAAGCCTCAAACAACATAGCAAATTTCAAAGAAGTACATTCTTCTGTGTGACTTTACAAGGAAGACTTATTTGACATGTGTTTGTTATGAATGATAGCTGTGGTTACACCTACACAGAGTTTAAACTGTAAATGTGTGTCAAAATCATTCCAGATAATTCAGACTGAATTACAACAGAACAAAGTTGATATTTCTCTTTGGTCAGGTTTTAAAGGTACAGTCTGTACAGAAAGACCTCGGTAACTGACCATTTATCCACAAACTGTCAGCATTTCATCTTTTCACACACAGTACTACCTTATATCGCTAAACAGTTAAATCAGGTCTTTAACTTAACTCTTTCAACACCAGTCAACCAGAGGCATTTACTGCCATGACACCGAGTTCCCAGAGACCCTGAGGTCATAGATGAAGCCTATGTTTATGAAGGAAATTATAAGCTTGTAAAACGTTATTGCTACTACATCTCATACACCATTTAAAAGATCTAATCCCACTGTTGATAAATATGAAGTTTATTTTTATAATATTATTCAAATAATACAACTACAACTTAAATAAATTTATTTTTGAATGAAAATGCAAGTTTACATTTATAACGTCCAGATAAACCACGAAAGAAGCAAAAACTATGGCGATTTTTTTCCATTTGTGACATGTCATAACATGCCCGTGCCTTTTTCTTTTATATTTTCATTTTTACGTCATCAGAAAATTATTATAAAAAGATTTCTTAAATAATATGTATGGTCACCTATTTCGCGATATCTGTCGCTTTCCGCTCGGTAACATAACATAACGGAAAATACCTCCGTTTTCGAAGCTTCATATGAATAACATGCGAGGCGAATCGTTTGATGCCGGGCATTGTTTGAAAGCTCTGAACATCAACAATATCACTGTACCCTTGCCAAGAGTATTTTCACAGTTGTAAGAAGTGATTTTATTGGATAAAGATTGGTTTCTAATGACGCTTTTTCGCCACAGTCTGCTATAAGGGTCGTGATTGGTCAAAATCAGACACATGACCCAAGGCAGCCAATTTAATTCTGCTGATAATATATGATAAATTGAAATTTAATAAGTGTTTTCAGACATTTTGAAATGTGATAGATTTAACCCATTCAACACCGCAGGCCGCTTAAGCGGCCACAACGTTATGAGTCCCCAGACACCGGAGGCCGATTAAGCGGCCAGGCAGTAGTCACGTCAAAATGAGACATAATTTTAGGAACTTACCTGACTTATGATTCATATATTAAATCTAACACATTTCACAATGTCTGAAAACACTTATTAAATTTCAATTTATCATATATTATCAGCAGAATTAAAATTATAAACTATTTTTCGCAATGTTATTGAAAACAACGATTCTCAGACACATGCTTCGGCCGTGGGTCCACAATAACATTGTAAAAGAGCAAAGTAACGATGTTTCGAGGAAATTATTAAATAAATTGAATAAACTAATGAATAAAATCAACAACAGCATTCATAAAAGTTGTCAAACGTACATATAAAATTACTATTTCCATCTTTTTGTGCGATCATGTAATGCAAGTCAAGTCACTGACAAGTGACATCTCGGCTCTCGCCGCCTCAATCTTCACGCTCAGACACGATGTTTAATGCGAAAATATATGCATGAAGCATTTTTGTCACAGGTCATAACCTAGCACGATACGTCCAATAAGTTCCATAATTTACGTATATGTAGCGATTTCTTGCTTAATATGTTCAGAATAGCATTATTTTACCCAAAACTTTTGTCTAAATCTAAAAGTTTTCGTTTACGAGGACGGTATCCATTGCCGTAATATGATTGGCTGCCTTAGGTCATGCGTCTGGTTTTGACCAATCACGACCCTTATAGCAGACTGTGGCGAAAAAGCGTCATTAGAAACCAATCTTTATCCATTAAAATCGCTTCTTACAACTGTGAAAATACTCTTGGCTAGGGTACAGTGATATTGTTGATGTTCAGAGCTTTAGAACGATACCCGACATCAAACGATTTGCCTTGCATGTTATTCATACGAAGCTTCGAAAGCCGAGGTATTGTCCGTTGTTGTGTCCTGTTACCGAGAGGAAAGCCACTGATATCGGGAAATAAGCGACCATACATATTATTTAAGAAATCTTTTTATAATAATTTTCTGATGACGTAAAAATGAAAATATAAAAGAAAAAGCCAAGGCATGTTATGACATGTCACAAATGGAAAAAAATCGCCTTAGTTTTTGCTTCTTTCGTGGCTTATCTGGACATTATAAATGTAAACTTGCATTTTCATTAAAAAATAAATTTATTTAAGTTGTAGTTGTATTATTTGAATTATATCATAAAAATAAACTTCATATTTATCAACAGTGGGATTAGATCTTTTAAATGGTGTATGAGATGTAGTAGTAATAACGTTTTACAAGCTTATAATTTCCTTCATAAAAATAGGCTTCATCTGTGACCTTAGAGTCTCTGGGAACTCGGTGTCATGGCAGTAAATGCCTCTGGTTGACTGGTGTTGAAAGAGTAAATATATGAATCATAAGTCAGGTAGTTTCCTAAAATTATGTCTCATTTTGACGTGACTACTGCCTGGCCGCTTAAGCGGCCTCCGGTGTCTGGGGACTCATAACATTGTGGCCGCTTAAGCGGCCTGCGGTGTTGAATGGGTTAAACTGAGAAGAAGTGTTTGTAAATATTCTCAATTTACCCTTGATTCTTTGGACTTTTGGGGAGTTTCATTTCCTGTTTCATCTTGAATGCTTGCAGGCTTTTCCAATACCTCCTGAGGTAAAGACTTAATAAGTTCTTCCAAAGGCAGTTCACTTTCCTTCTGCAATTCTTCTAATTCTTTCATTTCTGCTTCCTGGAATGAAGAAAGGGGATTAACTCAAGTTTAGATCGATGTAGGATTTTCAAAAAGCACGCAAGCCAATTACTTGTTATATAAACATGATGAAGGGAATGTGTACAAACCTCGTCAATCCCTGCTTCATTTTCTTCTTTCTCAATTGTTTCTTCATCATCACTAGCGGTTCCCTGTGGTTCGAACTCCACTGAAATGAAGAAATATTTTGGTGTTTATTTCTTATACAGCTACATGTTTCCTAGTGTTTTCATTAACCTGGTGAAAGAGTAAAAATACTCTGAAATTTCACATCTTGTTCTAACACAGCCTTATGAGTAACTGAATAGAAAGAGTACGCACATCCATTGTGTGTTTTAAAAAAATATGAACAGCCACTAGGCTACCCCACCACCAAAGCAAACCTGTGATTTCTCAACAAAATTTATCAACACCACATCCACCCCTCTTTCTAAGAAAACCCCCACACAGAATAGCTGGAAAACAAAAGTCCCATAAACGTTCTTCTCTCATGGACAGGTCTGTTTACATATGTTTCTTGTGAAAATGTTGTAATACAGATCTGGCAAATATATCCTGATTATCATAATAATCAGATCAGGAAGAGGTATTGCTGGGGAAAAAACAACAACAAAACCCAGTAAGGACACAGTAGCAGCTAGTCCAGTCTATCTTCAAAAGAAACTAAGTATATGTGATTAATCAGTTTTATCAACTGTAATGATAGTTGTATCAGATGACTACTTATCTAATCACCATCAACAGTGACAAGAAACAACAACATCTGAGTCTATGTTCGAGATCTTTAGCACTACATGTGTCATTGAAGACAAAATAGTGACTTCAGTCTCGGTCTAACTTTAAGATCGGACAGGTCATGCAAACATTTTACTGTGTATAGGAAACATGATCCAATCATTTCAACACACACACACAAGAGAAGCCTTCTTTCACCCTTGAAATGCTGATGTGTGTACAAAAACACTATTCCTATAAACTGGATTTTAACAACAAAACATATGACATGTTACTACCATTTAGTCAGTTTTAACAAGTTCCATGGCACTTCAATTAAAAACATTATTCAGCATTCTTACTTAACATTAAAAATATAAGCTTACTGGTTATAAACTAAAGCACAAACTAATGACTAAAGGCCAATCCTATTTAACAACATCAGTAGTACGTACAACACACATAACCTCATACACTGCTAAATCGTGAATCCACATGTGTTCATAATACTGATCATGAAATGTTACCCTTTTCTACAATTGGATATTTCACCTTTGTTATCCTGAAGATAGTAATGGTACCAATCATGAAGGTTTTCAACAAATACAAATTCACCAATGTATCAGATGACTACTTATCTAACCACCATCAACAGTGACAAGAACATCAACACCTGAGTCTATGTTCGAGATCTTTAGCACTACATGTGTCATTGAAGACAAAGTAGTGACTTCAGTCTCGTTGGATACAGAATTCACAAATAAACTAGTACATATTACAAAATGGAAAATAGTTAACATCATGACTACCCTCTCAACTGATAAGCACCGCTGCATGCACTTGATAGTCTTTCACAGATCCCTATGGAGTACACAAACTAAGCTGCTTATGAGGCACTATGAGGTTTTCACAGTAAAACTAAAAAATTGAAAATTTTAATATAAATTGTATATTTATATACTTATCCTATGTCACGGTATGCACTTCTCTCTTGATTCGACACTGAGTGGAACAATGTAAACTTTTTTCCCTAGGCCTCTCTTGTCCATCCGCCCAAGCACTCCTTGCTACCCTCACTATAAGACAGCTTCCTAACTCTCATGCAAAGCATGCGGCATGCACCACTAGCTGCCCACGTGACTATCTCCGAATCATCATTCTCATTCTTGGAGCCACTGGATAATATCCATCTTGGAGAATCTGCATAGCAGGGAGGATGGGCGGGAATCCGTCGTGTGAGATAGGATAAGTATATAAATATACAATTTATATTAAAATTATCAAATTTTTAAACTTATTCTATCTCACGGTATGCACTTATCGCACAGCCGGATGGCGGGACGCAGATACCCAGTGTCTTCACAGTGCGAACAGCAGGAACTGTGTAGACTGGAAACGACCGTAGATAGCGATGCACAAGGGAGGCCTGTTATGCATGCATGATACTCCTATGCTTGTGCTGAGTTCTCTTGAACTCCTTGGCTTACTAAGCACAACGTCTCCCAGGGAGATGGGTGCTCCCGAGCGATGTGGTGTTCGGCCGCAACCTCCGAAGAAGGACGCAGCTCAGTGAGAAAGTATGTCACTTCGCCACGATTTCCAAGGTACCCCGTAAATTAAAGTCGGTTGACAATAATCAGGCCAGCCCCTGCTTCGAGAAGAACCCCCTTCCACATCGTGATACAGAATCTAGCTCCAGATTCGTCCAACCACCGAGGTGGTAGTATCTCTGTGTCTTAGTATAAAACTAAGTGAAGTAGTTCTAACCCATGAGGAATCAAAACATAAGGCAGACAGCAAGTTCAGACTTATATTCAAGAAAATACAGGGAAGCAGCAACCGCGAGGGACCATTCCCTATCTGCGTTGGTGGGCCGTGGACAGCTGTTGTGCGAGCACAAGGGGTCCTAACTGGTGCAGGCCTTGGACACCCTTGACTGAGAGGTCTCAAAGGTAGTGCGAGGAGAAGACCGAGTCGGATCGCCAGAAATATCCTTCCATAATGGCGCAAAGCTGCAGGTCTTCATTGTCATGCGGCCCAAGGATCGTGGACAACGGTTGGATAGTAAAAGTACGATCGGGTTGTCCTGGCAACTGATTCTTCGCTACAAAATCCCAAAGGAGACCAAGGAAGATTTTGCCATGCTTCTTCCGTTCAAACTGGACTCTGTTAACGTCCAAAGCGTGAAGTTCAGATATCCGAGCAGCTGTAGCCAAGGCCACAAGGAAGAAGGTCTTGAAGGAGATCTTCTCAAAGTCCTTCTGAGCTAGGGGTACATAGTCCGTCGAGGCCAAATGATGCAGCACACAGATATATCCCAAGCAGGATGTCTAAACTTCTTAGACTGATCGGCCAACATGAAGGACCGGAGCACATACTGAAACTGTGGAGACCTTAGAGCCTGTAGTGGTAGCCAGGACCGAGTTGATCGCAGCAAGGTAAGTGGCCAAAGTGGAACCCTTGAGCTTGGACGACCGCAATTGCTGCAGAAACTCAGCGATGATTTGAGGCTAAGTAGAAACAGGAGATGTAATGCCTCTGGACGTGCAATATCTCTCAAAACATTTCCACTTCTCATCAAAGTGAACGGGTGGAAGTCCGATGAGCAGAAGTGATGGCCATAGCCACTCTCCGTGAATACCCCTTGGCGATTAAGGACTTCTGCAGATGCGCCAAACGTGCAGAGACAGGGTGTGAAGGGATACACGACGCCGATCCGAGTGAGGGTGTAACAGTAGGTCGTCCTGATCGGGAAGAGGAACTGGGTTTAGGTCTGCGAGCTGTGCAAGATCAACAAACCAACTCATGACTGGCTAGTAAGGCGTGACTAAAGTCAGTAGAATCTGCCTGGAGTTTCTGGATGACTCTGGGTAGAAGAGGCGGAGGTGGAAAAGCGTGAGCGTTGAGTCCCTCCCACGAAATCGCCAGAGCGTCGAGATCCCACACTAGTTGGTCTGGTATCGGCGAGACAAACTGCAGAAGCTGATGGTTGAACCGCATGGCAAATAGGTCGACTTGGGGCCTTGATAACGGAAGACCAGTTCCCGAAAGATCTGTGGGTTCAATGGCCACTCCATGGGAGATGGCCGATCGGAGCGTGACAGCGCATCTGCGATGACATTCCTGACTCCGGGAATGTGTCTGCCACCACTGAAGAAAAGGACACAAGGGTTCGGGAAGACGAATCAACTCCTGGAGATTCTCTGAGACGAGATACGGACGCAGGAAACGCTGCAACGGACGCAGTTGCAATTGCCCCCGCCGTGTCAATGCTTGTGCCAATGTAAAGAGGCCGAACAGTTCCTGCCACTGTCGTATGGTCCTGGCCTGCGACAGTGCTAACGAGACACAGATAGCGTAGTTCGAAGGTCCTTCTGTGAAGAGGTATCCTGAGGGGTGGTAGCAGTCTCGACAACCACTACCCAGGACGTGGTCGAAGACGAAGGACTCGGGCTGGAATGTTGAGAGCCCAACAAATGCCGAACATCTTCCGATAAGTAAGAATCTGACGACGCTCTCATGAAATCCTCTTCATTCAAGTGAGGGGACTGTGACCGCCGAGCAGACAAAGTAGGACGCTTAAACTTTCTTGGAGGGACTGGGTCCGTCAAGTGAAGCGGCATAACGAGCCCTGTCAGCAACACGATTAGCCCAAGCCCGAGTGTAGTCACCAAACGCCTCGAAGGTAAGATCCTTGCATTTATCGCAACGAGAGTCCCATTTACACTGTCCCATACAGTCAACACAATACGCAAGCGGAGAACACTTTATTACACTGGGAGCATTTTTTCCTCTTCTTTGGTTGGTCAACCTTCCCCATGTTGTAGACTAAGTTGAAAACGTTGAGCAAAGTAACATACGTCCACACTTGTGTGCGACAAGAAAGAGAAATGATTATTCGGGAGTCACGTGGGCAGCTAGTGGTGCATGCCGCATGCTTTACATGAGAGTTAGGAAGCTGTCTTATAGTGAGGGTAGCATGGAGTGCTTGGGTGCTTGGGCGGATGGACAAGAGAGGCCTAGGGAAAAAAGTTTACATTGTTCCACTCAGTGTCGAATCAAGAGAGAGAAGTGCCTACCGTGACATAGGATAAGTTTAAAAATTATTTCATCCTTTAATTTTAATAGCAGATAGATTGAGGTGACAAGTAACAGATCAAAACATGTTTAACCATAGATTACCACCTTTCATAAATTGATAAACAGAGCACGCACTGACAGGAACAACTTAGTGGGTGGGGGCATTAGACTGCACTGTACAATTAGGGAGAAAGTTAAGACAAATAAGTAATTTTTAGTAGACATATACCAGTCAAAATACATTTTGCAAATTCATCGCATCAGAATTTATGAATTGCAATCAGTGTATCAGATGACTACTTATCTGATCACCATCAACAGTGACAAGAAACATCAACATCTGAGTCTATGTTCGAGATCTTTAGCACTACATGTGTCATTGAAGACAAAATAGTGACTTCAGTCTCGGTCTGTAACAATGGCTGATTATTTCTGAAACCTCGATTACAAAGTGTGGAACTTGAACTTGCGCTGGCTATGATCAAGCATAACGATGATGTCTTGGTTGATAAATCTTTGTTAGAAAAAGCCCCTTCTTACACAAGTTGTCTCTAACAAATCCTTGATTGCTTTTCAACACTGGTTAGAATGCAGCAAAGGTAAAAAGTCATCTGAAGCTTTGGTTATTATCATTGCTTTGGTTACTGCATGATTAATTACTGGAATAGTGGGCAAGTCTCAAGACAGTGCCTAGATGTTGAAGCAGCTTCACAAAATTGATCAATAGACTCCAGTACTTCCATAACCTAAAATGTTGTAACTCAAAGCATGTCTAGGTGATTATCACAGGTTTCAGATAGAGTTCATAATAATCAGATCAGGAAGAGGTATTGCTGGGGAAAAAACAACAACAAAACCCAGTAAGGACACAGTAGCAGCTAGTCCAGTCTATCTTCAAAAGAAACTAAGTATCTGTGATTAATCAGTTTTATCAACTGTAATGATAGTTGTATCAGATGACTACTTATCTAATCACCATCAACAGTGACAAGAAACATCAACATCTGAGTCTATGTTCGAGATCTTTAGCACTACATGTGTCATTGAAGACAAAATAGTGACTTCAGTCTCGGTCTAACTTTAAGATCAGGCACCTGTAATCCCCAAGGTCATGCAAACATGAAGTAACATTTTTGTTACGATACATTCAGGAATCAGATCATCAGTGCTTGGTTGTCTTGATAAACATGAGAAAACCTTTCATTTCGATTTAGCTGTAAGGTTTATTGGTCCATAGAATATAGCAAGAAGTTATATTTGGGATTACACTTTCTAAGTAAAGTACAGATTCTAGTACTTTTTGTTGGGTTAAGTCCCATCTGGGATTCGAACCCACACCCTCAGAGTCAGGCACCTAATCGCCAGCACACAAAGTCAGCCACCTAACCCGCTCAGCCACTGCGACTAACACAAAAACAGAAGTCGGACAACTGGTAGTCTAGACTGCAGACTTTCTGTACCCTTCTGATACGTGTCAACTGGCACTGATCCCACGGACGAAAGCTATGATTACACAATGCCATTTAAAAAGTGGTCAAAATGTAACGTGTTATATTTGGGATTACACTTTCTTAGTACAGTACAGATTCTAGTACATTGTGTAATCAGAGAATATACCAGCCCCTATATCAGCAATTATAAAGACATGGGCAATGACAACAACCCTTCACCCTTTATGAACAACTTCAAACACAGCCATCTAAAACATGAAGAGATTTCAAAGCAACATAGAAGTTGGCTGTCTGAAACTGCTGTCTGTTCCATACAAACTTAACCATTAGCTAACTAAAACATTTCATTTATTTTATGACTACACCTTGCAGCCCTCCATGAATCTGACCAGTGGAAAGGGAGAACAGAGTGCAATTGTACAAAGCAATTTCTGTGCTAAGGTGATCATAATTCACATGCCTTAACTTAGGCTTAAGGGATTCATAGTCTTAAGGTTGTATTGTCAGACATTTGTCTCACATTAATTAATTAATGAATATTCCCTTTTAAATAAAGCTACTTGCCCTTCCCCACTTCAGCTGTATACATTAACATGTGATCATACCTAGTCCAAGGCTGACCATTGCATATCCCTCAAGCAGTCACCAAGAAGCATGTGTTTCAGACCACTACTTATCAAATCACTATGACAGTGACCGACATCGAAATCTGGAACTCATTTGTGAGACAACAAGCAATACTACAGCTGTCATGAGGACAGAGTAGTCACTTCAGTCTCCAACTTCAACTCCGCTATCATAAACTCACAGAAACAGAACTGTTCACATCGTTTCATTCAGTTGTTCGCTACACAATGGGTAACAAGTACTTCCTTCTACTCCGCACTGGTTTTACAATGGGGTTCAGAACAAGAAGTTTCAACTTGGGTCTCAAATAGTCAGTAGCCAGAGAATGGTCATAACAGCAGAGTTTACTAAGCTTACCAAGTTCATGATACTATGTCCATCAAATCTACTGATAACGTCCTGTTCAGGCAAGTAGATCAGAAAGTCTTTAGACTTTAGTTTTACGCCGCTTTTAGCAATATTACATCAGGGGACACCAGAAATGGCGTCGGTGTGACAAGCAAACACTTTAATTACTAGACTACCTCACTTCCCCTGGAATAACTTGAAATAAAACGCATTCTTCCCGCAAGCCAGGTAGTTACAAGACGTGCTTGTGGGATTTCCCATGTTATGGGTGATATTTACTCTGAGATAAACAGGTAGATATCTTACCGTCTCCTCCCTCACTGGAATGTTCAGGCGAAGTGGCCACAGATGATCCTGCCGCGCTGCTGGCTGTGTGCAGTCCCTCTGTAAGCCATGTGGAGTACTTCTCCGTCTGATCAACTATGAAGTTCAAATGCATGTCTAATGCTTTTCTCCTTTTTTCTTCAAGTCGACTTTGTTGTTTATATTGCACTACCTGTTCAGGAGAAATACAAATATAGAATAAGAGTTGTGGTTTAAGCTACGTGAAGAGTATTGCGTTTACAGTACAGCATGTAATTTTTTAAGTTGGAGGAAACGATAAGGTCACACTCTGCATAGGAAATTTGATTGCCTTTAATTGACTCTCCCCCCCACACACCTAAAGATGTTTTCTGAAGATGGTATATCTTTATAATCAACACCATTCTTATTTTGCAAGTGCTTCGCACAGATTTGCAACATATTTTTTACCCTATTTACAGAGACACAACAAGAAGCCTCTCAGCTGACTTGTGGAATGTTTAAACATTTGACATTTGAAAACACAACAGTATGTTCTCTTGACATGCTTAAGTCTATATCTGGCCAGGGCTACAGATCAGGTACAATCGTTGCAACTGTCTTTGGTATTGGCCATATATAACAATGTCATGAAACTAAACAAAACATCTTATCACAGCAAGACACTTTAGAAAAATGTTTGCAATACTTGCAGAAACAATGCAGACCCCTTCACCACTATCCTTGACAGAAAACGTTCAAATGGTTCTGGCATGACAAGACCGAACCTATGTAACTAGGGCTCTTTCATATGTTCACAAGTGCTTATTCAAAACAAATATTGCAGCACCTTCATAAAAAAGAAGAAGAAGAAGAATACAAATAGAGGAAAACAAAATACTTCTGATTGACCTCCATACCTTTTCAATGTTAGACCAAAATTCTTTGACACTCTTTGCCATTTGACCAGCAATCTTCTTTAGCTTGAGTGCTTCTTCTTTCTCGGCCTTAATTTCCTTCTGCTCCTGGTCCTGATGGTACTTCTGGACCATGCGGGCAATCTGGCGGAACAAGTAACATTTCAATACATAAACACTTTACATAGGAACAAGTAACATTTCAATACATAAACACTTTACATAGCAACAATTTGTAACATTTCAATACATAAACACTTTACATAGCAAACAATTTGGTTCTCTACTGGCTTCTTCAGCTGGGGTACAATGTGTCATTAATAGTCATTGTCAAGAAAAACCTTGCTTTTTTTCTACATGACCACAGTTAATTTGTTATAACATGACAATTTAAGCCATAAGAAATATATGGTGTTTTTGATACATGCATATTGCACTGAATTGTCCTAAATTAGTCGTGGGGAGCTTGATTTCATCTGGTGTAGTATCTATGGACTTTAACAGCACGGTTATGACAGGGAGCTCTCATTAATGACCTCGTAATTTATTAATTTCTAACACGGCTTGGATTAAGTCTTACCTACAAGCGCGCAGTGAGTCATAAAGACACTTTTAAAACTACCCCTTCTACAAATGTGTTCGTACTTTTCTAGCAGCAGCTTTCTTCCACTTGCGTTCTTGAATGAAATCTGCAGCAAGCCATGTCATCTCTTCCAAGAGGTAGTCCCAATGTGCTTTGTTTCGCTGAGGTTCCTGAACTTTGGGGAGACGCCTGGCTGTCCACATGCCATCTTTCCGCAGTTCAGTGACCCGTTGAACCACTTGTGCTTCCTGTTAATGAATCACAATCTCATTGTAATATCGGAATCACTTGGCAGTGCAGAACTCAACCCCTCTTTCAGTCATGTAGCATTGGTTATTGTCCCAGGCACAATACAGCAACCAAGGACGCTGTACAAATGCAGTAATTTACCACCTTTTAATTGAAAGTAAACACTTTGTCTACTTACAGAATGAGAAGTGGATTAAGTCTAATTTATACTGAACACAAAAAGTTAAGGATCAAATATTTTTGGGGACACATTTATGAATTTCTTCACCACTAAACATGAATGACTCCAAACTATTTGTTCCGTACATACTCCTTAAAAGAAATGAGAAGTGGATTAGTCGAAAGGTTAAGAACCTTTATGACGCCACATGAATAACACCATCGGTGCATCATTGTTTCATTCATTCTCACTCAAGCTTTCATATCATAAGCGTATCAGTTACCTGTTTGGCTCTTTCCACAATTGCTTCTTGAGAACCTATTGTGCTGTCATACACAGCTGATATGGATTGCTGTCGGGTTTGTAGTCGAGGAGAGGTTGGGGACTTGGGAAGTCGAGCAGGCGCAGCAACAGTGTGACCCCTGGAAGTTGACGGTTACATATTGTCAGTATCAACCAATGTCAGAACTTGTATTGAGTTCACAGGGACATCATTGTTTCAGACAAGGTGTCCAACCACTCACATTGTGTGATCAGGGCATAGGTATCTGATGTTTTACTCTTCGAGATCAATAGCAACTTGTCTTACAAGATTGTCAGACAAGTGAATCCTTTAAATGTCTCGAATTTAAAAACCACTTTGAGCTCTTCCACAAAAAAGTGTCACACTACATATAAACCGCCTTAATACAATTTTCTTGTTTTGAAAACATTTTTAAATCTCAGTAACTCTCCATGATGGAAATTTTTTTTCTTCCAAAGTTTTCTCTGTAAGATTCAGAAGCGACTGAAAACCATTATGAAGTATTCAATTCCAGTTTTCTGTAAACAGTACTTTTCAAAATACCTAATAGGTTGCTAAATTTTAGATACTAAAACCAAGATTTGACGACAAGGAATTATTTCCAGCACCAACTGCCTGCAGAAACAAGGAAGCTGTTCACACAATACATGGCATTGTCACTGTGTGTAGGTGTGTGGAAGGGGGGGGGGAAGGGAGAGAGAGAAAGAAAGAGAGAGAGGGGGAGGAGGGAAGAGAAAGAATCACTGTGGCGGGGGCTGGGGCATAATCACTGTGGGGTGGGGCAGAATCACTGGGTGTGTGTGTGTGTGTGTGTGTGTGTGTGTGTGTGTGTGTGTGTGTGTGAGCAAAATGTAATATAGTGCTAAGGCAATCCCACCCCCATTAGATTAAACAGTATTTGGGTGTAGATACTCATACTGTTATCAAGCAAGCTTGAGAAATGCTAATCAAACAAATCAAGAAATCAGTTACATACGCTGAAGTGATTGGAGTTTTAATAGCTTGAGTGGTTTGTATGTGAAGCTGCTTCTCTGGTATGCTCTTTGTAAGCTGCATCTGAAGTTGGGACGAGGCCACACATGTTGATGACAACACGGCGGTGTTGCTTGTGCCGCTGTGAGGCGTTGCTGTTGTCACTGCTGTGTTACCACCCAAAGAACCCAGTATAGCAGATCCAGGGGTAGCTGAAATTGTACTCGAAAGATGATTTACTGACAGACAATATGATAACTTAAACAAATCACATTTCAGCTCGAAAAAAAGGTTTGCTCATAAAATGAAAAGTCATGTATCAATAAACACGAAAATATTTGTCAGATATTAACTTCATCCAAGAACCTACAATTTACTAAAAACAGACAAGATAACACTTAGGCTAAATTGGTAGTATAGCCTTTAGAGTATCAAAGAGGCATCCTGAATCTTTCAAGAAAACTTGAGAAATGAGTTACTGTTATACACATTGAAACACAGATGACGGGTAACATGATTTAGTAACAGAAAGCAAGAGAAAGAGGAAACTATTAATTAGGAAAGATGTGTTGTGCCAGTGCAAATACTGTTTAAAATCCAAGCCGTCCTGATCAATATACTTGGGCCCTGTTTCACAGTGACTATGTATACTGACTCCCATACTTTAATATAGGCCCACAATAACGCCTTGTGGAATGTGATGCTCCACTTAAAATAGCCTAACCATCCATGTGTATGAGCACTGCAACATGGGTTGCTATTCAGCATTTAACTGTTGATCTTCCAACCATCATATGGGGATTAAACATGATTTTAGACAAACTTTGCGTTGCATATTTGTATACTTCTGGGACACTGACAATATTTATTTTAATTCACTAAGGACACAGAAGGTTAAACTTGTCAACGTTTAAAAAATTCGTAAAACATGCAATTGCTATTTGTCACCTGTCAAAATCACTTAACCACTTCTCATGTATAATATTTTAGAAGATTAACAATATCGGTAAATTTGAATCAGAAAATGATGTGCCATTTAACCAGTCATTATTTTGTGTTATAGAAATGCATTACATTTAGGCTCATGAGTGATCTGTTACAAACTTGGAATGTGTCAGAACATAATGGAATTGACTTGTCTTAGTTCATTATAACTTTCCAGTTTTTCGCTTTTATCAACATTCTACAGCAGCCCTACATTATTATAATCACAGCTGGAAATGTTTCTGTCCCCATGTCAGTGTTTCCGTTAAGTAAGTTTGCCTGTTTGACTGCATCCTCGGTCTCCAGGACAACCATTTCTACAGTAACCCCAGGATCCATTACTGTGGTTCCAACCATCACAAATTACCCACCCTAATTGAGTTCACTAGACAACCAGTTCCCTGAAATGCACTGTAGGTACTCTACTAGATTTGAAACATAACAAGATAACCATGTACCAGTGATGAACTCTTTGGCAGGGATTCTCTGAATGTTTAACTCCATCCCTTCGGACAGCTGACTGGCTAATGTGATAATGTCATGCCGTTGATGACATCACATGTATCTGTCAGGGTAGAGATTGCAGTAGAGATTGCGATCGGAGTCTCTACCAGTAGAGATTCTGATTATATAGAATAACCTATACAATTGCAATCTCTACCAGTAGAAGCTCAAATCTGATCCTACTAGTAGAAATTGCAATCTAAGTGAATATTTAGAAAAACAAAAATTATTTTCGTATGTTGTAGAATGACATCTTCCACTGAAAAGTGCACACTGTTTGTCCACTTAATGTTTACAAACAAAATGAAAATAAAACATTGTTACTTTGTTTTCACTTATGATTGTTATTGTAAATAAATGTAACTCTCAAATTATAACAAATAAAATTTCAATGTTTACTTTAGAAAATCTCACTTTAGTTTGAGTGCTAATGTCAGCTATGTCCATCAAGAATGAATGAGAAAGAAGAGTGAATGAACAAGAAGTAGTGTAAAATACATTTCATTCTTTAATATTCAGGTCCCATCTGACAAAGTTCTTCTCGGTATAGCATTTTGTTTTCATGTATCCATTATGACAGAGCTTGAAATCACCACGGTTCTTGATAATCTCCATCTTTGTTATTTGTGTTATTGTTTGCTGACGACATGGCGGTGTATAGTACAGTTATAGGATTACAAAAAAGGCTCCATAAGTAAAGTAATTACTGTGATAACTGGCAGCTAAAGGTAAATATAGAAAAAACTAAGGTATTCAGCTGTGTATGGGTTAATCAAGATGTAGGTTGTATTAACAGTTTTATTTCAAGTTTTAAGGAAAGGTGTATTGCTATTGATAACCAGTGTTTCTTTGAAAGCATATCAAGTTATTCCAAACTTCGGTTACATAAGTCTGTACAAAAGTGAAATTAAATGTGAGGATTATTTATTGCTAATTAGTGTACCAGTTTACCGTATTGCACTCTGTAAGCTCCTATGCTCTAATCATCAACTGCTGATCAAGGAAAGACGAAAGATCGGCCGAGCAAGGAGCAAAAAAACATGCCCTGTTTGCATTGTATCCTTTATTGAGTCTGAATATCACTTCTGCTTAGAATGTAATTTTTATAATAATCTTTGTCAGGCCCTGCTCCCAAAATATTCTTACACTTCTCTATCTGTCCATAAATTTGTACAATTGTTGTCATCTGATGCTTCTCTTCTTCATACTCTAGCTAAATATGTATTTCTAGCTTTTAAGAAACGTTCACAATTTCTCAACTGAATTGATGCAATGTGGTATTTTATCTCATCTATTATACATCATGTTCTATGTTCTATTGACACTTTACTGAAATAAACACAGTTTCACTGGAAACAGTGTTATATCTGAATAAAATGCACATTAATTGTTCAGCAAAGAAAGTGTCTTTGTTGTTTGCCCACAGATCAATCAGAGTTTCTACCATTTGAATTGGAAATGGTACTGGTAGAATCTCCGATTGTACCAGTAGAGACTCCGATTGCAATCTCTATTGGTAGAGACTCTGATCGCCGATTCTACCAGATCGCAATCTCTACCCTGACATATCCTGAGACTTCCCCAATTCCCAAAAATTGATAAAGAGATTACCATGTCATGCAAATGATCAGTTTATTTTTGAACTTTGAAACCTAGTCACAGATTGTTTTTGCTTGCCAGAAAGTACTTCACAGCTGAATATGAATTCAGTTTCCAGGTTAACATAAACAAAGGAATAAACAATTACAAGTGAGCTGAATCAGAGAAATTTGATGGGTGCAAGTATGTTGGACCGGTAGTGTCAAAGTGAACGGAAACACTGCATGTAGACTGACTTCTCTCACAATAAAAGTATCTGACATGGTAAAATAACTATGGAAACCTATGTAATCTGGCAGAAACATGAACATGTAGAGAATGAGTTTACCTGCAAGGGAAGGTTGTGCAGCACACTGGGTGCGGGGTAGGAGAGTACTAGGTTGTCTCCCTTGACCCAACTTGCTCTCTGACCCTGCAGAGCAAAAGGGCATGTGCAAGCTGTGCTTGGAAAGCCAGGAGAAAAGGAAGTCGAGGACAGTATGTTTTGCTACAAAACATTCTGTGGGATTGGGCACTTATCACAAAAGATCATATAAATTAAGATTTTGAATATTATCTCCTAGTTTATTTTAACTAATATATGTTTAATATTTTAACGAAATGCATGAATTAGCATATGGTATTGAAGATTTGCAAAGAAATTTTAAGAATATCAAGAAAAACATTTCAAAAGTAGAACATCTAACATTTGACACACAGAAAGCCATGATTAATCAAGCCATTCAAAAGCAGTTATTTGACAAATTATGGAAACATACTTGTTTGACTACTGTTAACATCTCCGACACTGTCAAATTTGCAAAATGACAGTAACTTATATTGCTAATTGAAATACAACAAAGCACCCAAATATGCACATGGCCCACAAAAGCACTGTGCTGTTGCAAAGCCTTGTTTTACTTCTACGTACCATGCCACCACGACTACCCACAACCACTTACAATACTCTTGGATCTATGTCAGTAATCAACACTTACGAGGACAGGCACAGAGTAGAAATTCAGAGGGAAAAAGGCTTGAAATAGAGAGTAGAAAGCATACACTGGCGCTTGCTAAAGACAGAAAAGCACATCAAACAGTTTGTTAGCATTGTGTAAAACATTGGTGCCCCTTAGTTTGAACATCTGCAACTTAGGACGACATGCTTTTAACAACTGAAGCATTTTTGAAGCGGTGTCTGTTTGAAACCTTATTTACATTTCAAGGAAAGCAGTGTAGACAACGCAAAGCCAGGAAAGAGATAAACTTAAACGAAAGTTCATGAGCTGTGCAATGTCCCCATAACCCAGCAATAATCAACTAAGACTGCGGTGACGTTCGGGTCAGTGGGACATGCAACAATTACTAATCGAGTTTCCACAAGTGACATTTCAGTGCATTATTTTAAGCACAGACTTTATTACTTCCACAGCTAACACCAGGACATGGACACTATATTTAGCTCATCATGCAAATCATGTTTGAAGGAAAAAATTCCCGAATACCCTTTGCATATGCAGTTAGCTGTCTGAGGAAATCCTGAATGTTGAAGTTGTCCAAACTACCGGGGTTCATGTTAGTGTTCTGGGAGGAAGGGTCTGCAAAGACTTTAATACCTTGTTGACTCAACGCTGACACAGAGGGCGGAAGTGTTGTTGAGATTGCAACAGGTGTTGCAAGAGGAACATTGCTCCCAGCACTTGTCAATACTTTCACCTGAAACCACAACTCTCTATCAAAGATAACCCTAGATCTCAATGACTTCATTCTACTTCAAATATTTTGACACAAGAAATTATTTTCAAATAACTTTTTTTAAAATCAACTCTGCAGTTTTCCATTGAAGCAATTTTAAAGTATACGAGGATACATCTCTTCTTTCTGCAAAAAGGATGAATTTAAAGTGAATACTGAAAAGAATTGAGAGATTTTAACTTTTCTATTCAGCCTTGCAATAAACAATACAAGAGATTATGTCACAGAGCGTGTGAATCACCTCATCATTGATTCTTTTTTCTTGTAAGTGTTCCTCTTCCTCATCACTGTCTAAAGCCCCAGCTTTTAAGAAAGCAACAAGTTGAGGGGTTGGCCTTTTCTTCCAAGCTAGATAGTCCATCAAATTCCTTCCATGCTGAAGGAAAAATAGTTCTGTCAAATGTTCAACATAGTTTTCTTTTATCTCCAGCATTTCCTTATACTTTGCATCAAGTATCATCTTTCTTTGCTGAGCTATTTCAGGGGGTAGCTGGCGGTCGTTCCTCCAATTTCGCCTTTTTCTTTGGTGGCTGCCCTGTGCTCTGCACGTGCCTTGTCACTGTTGATGTGATGTGACTCAGGGGGTGGGACAAGAGTTGCCGGGTATCAAGCACTACCCGTCCTGTTACTGGTGTCCCTGTGTTACTGGAAGCAGCCCCTTGGCTACTTCTTCTCTGCACAATTTGTGCAGCTTGGTTGACGTTCATACTAATTATGTTGTGAGGGAGGTTGGAGACAAGTGGGGCACCCCGTGTAGGGCTCTGACCATGGTGGTGGATGGTGCCACCGGATGCACTAACAGTGCTAACAGGAGTGAAAGACACAGAGCGCTGGACTTGCCGAGGATCGGAAGATTGGGTGGTTGTCACCACGGCAATACCGGGTTGGGTTAGGGAGGCAGTCAAGTTCTGAGGCAAGCCCTGAGTAGGTACAGCTGACAGACCAACAATACCTGAAAGTACAGGTATGTTCACATGACCAACTGACAAAAATCTTTGCATGAACCAAACAATACTTCATATTCACATCCATACATTCCACTTAACTTGCATTTTCAATGCAACTACAAGTTATTCCCCAGATTCTAGATTCAAATTTTGTTCATATTGATGGCCCCCATGTAACTTCCTGAATCAATAGCCAAGTAACACAGTAGATATTTCTCAAAAAGTACAGTGAAGTGTGAAAAAAAGCATTAAGTTTTATGCAACAATAAGCATCAAAAAGCATTTAGTATTAGGACAATAGCAGGCGACCACTGGATGAAAATGGAGATGTCCCTTGAGACTATTTGTAGCATTCTTGCAGAAGTGAAAATTACAACAGGCATTGCTAGCAAAAGATGTTGGGGTTCCCTGGGTGAAATACTGACAAAGCCATTAATTTTAAACGCCTTGGGATAATTTATCTTAATCTGAGCTCATGCTCTGGTACCTAAAGAAACAATCCGTTTACATTTCTTCTTATACTGGTATGGAATGACTGGGCCACAGAACAGTTCATTTTCTAGAACACAGATCATCTTCCAAATGTCTGAGTGGCATCATTTAAATTTGAGACACGGAAGGATCCCATTACAATGTAGATAATAAAAACCATGATATTGTCCCTGTTTCATTTTTCTCAGACAAACCAGCTGAATTACACCACAGAATTCCATACTTAATACACGCAACTAATACAGTTCTAGTAAAACACAGACTTCACCAAAAGATGGCGCAGTAGTGGCACATACTTTGTCCGCTGAGCTGCCTCTGCAGAACATTGATAGTCCTTGCTTGGTAGGTTGGAGTGGCAGCCGAGACCAGGCTCTGTACAGGGCTTAGCAGTCTCTGTGCTGCCTGGGAAACAGTGACAGTTTGAGGGTGTGCTCCCGGTCGAGGGTGCAGCTTGAGCTGTCAAGGTGAAGGCCGCTGTGACAGGGCCTCGCACACTATGGACAAGGCCTAGAAAGGAAAAACATATAGTGGTCATGTTTTGAAATTAATCTATATTTCACTGGTTCATAAATGCAACCTGCTGAGTCACAACCTGAAGGTAAAACTGGTAGTTCATATGTTTATGTCACCCACTCTTGCTTAATGTTACTTGCACTTCACTTCAACCATAGTCTTCCGCATAAACAATGTTGAAGATGCGCAATAACATGTCCCTGTTTCTTTCTTGTTTAACACTGCACTCAGTAATACTCCAGCTATATGACGACGGTCACTGAATAATCTCTCTGGACCAGACAATCCAATGATCAACAGCATGAGCACTGATGTATGCAATTGGGATACTATGAAATGTGATATCAGATATCACCCATTGTTCTCAATCTCAAAATAAACATTCAAAGAGTGAGTGAGTTTAGTTTTACGTTGCTTGTAGCAATATTCCATCAATATCATGGTGGGGAACACCAGAAATGGGCTTCACACATTGTAGTGTTGGGAATCGACCTCTCAAACCATAATCAATTATCCATGTCTTCTGTCGATCAAATATCGATAAATGATCGACTACAAGTACGGATTTATGAACACAAGACCAGCTGGATGAGACAACTGCTACAAGATCACTAAAAAAAACAAACTTGACTTCCTGTAATACTGCTGCAATGGCGAACCCACCAGGAGGTATTTACAAATCTTGTATGCACACACCAATCGTTTACGTTATTCTTGAAGATAGTATACAGTGGTTATTGCTTGGAATTATTTTAAATCAATAATCGAAATTTGATTGGCAAACGATCAATAAATCGATTATTTGATCGATCGGTGCACCACAAACACATTGTACCCATGTTAGGAATCAAACCTGGGTCTTCGGCGTGATGAGCGACCGCTTTAACCACTAGGCTATCCCACCACCCAAATATTCAAAGATATTATTTCTTATGCAAAATATGGAACAACTTTAATTCTAGGGCAAGATAAGACTGAGTGGCCATCTGTACACATTACCAAACCAAGTGTTCCTACCAGGTAGACTGGCAGAAATCATTATCTTGTTCTAAATTGGGGCGAAAAACGGTTAACATTTGTTATAAATGACCATATTCTTCAAAACAGCTTCATTTCTAAGGTATTTTTAACACTGAAATTTAACAGTGCGTTCAATCCAATAACATTAAAGGAAACATTTAAGCCCTTTATGTATGTTGGAGCTGCTATAAGTGAATACAACTCGCATCAACAAAGCTTCAACATTAAATGGAAAATTCTAATTTGCAAGCAATTTTAAAATTCTTCAAATGGGTCAACTCAAATAGTCACCAGTTACATGTAGAGTAATACGGACACCTATGACCATCCCATCAACAGTCCACATCCAGACCCACAATTAGCCCAGACTTGACCAGTTTTCAGTATCCCCTATGCCATGTTGAAGCCTACTAAGGTGTTGGTACTCACCAATAGTGGCAGGTGATGACTGGCCGGCCAGGGCCTGGAGCTGAGTAGCGAGGGCATACTGAGTTTGGGGCAATGTCCCTGGAGAAACTCCCACATTCTGCTGGGCTGCTGGGGTAGCAGTTGTTGCTGTTGCTGCATCTCCACCTCCACTTGCTGCATGTTGCTGTCTTAGGGCCTCATTTACATCACCTCTCTGCATGCTTTCCCTCTTCCTGACATACAAAACCAAACTATTACACAACACACAGAGGAAAAGACAGTTACTCATCTGATACAGATGAGTGGAAATCATAGGGACTCACTGTTTTATCTAAAACTTAGTTATTACGAACAAATTACCAAATAAGCTCTGGACAAGCTGCATATTACCGGTGGTATCAAGCCCTCATACTGGGGAAATGCAAATCTTAAACGTTAACTGACTGCAGTTTGGCTCTGGGTAAGCAAAATGGTCCCTTTGTTTGTACAAATTTGGACACCAACAAAGTCTATTTATAAGGCTGGTAAATAACCCAATGGAATAAAGGTTCTATTAGACTCAAAGCCACAATAATCGGAAAGATAACAGTGATCAAATCTTTAAACTCCAAGAGAAAAGACAAGAGCATTTTTAACATGGTTATGTACAATTTATGCATTCCAAAACACCACAATAGTGTGCATTTTCAGCCATTTGTAAAGCAAGGTTGGGGCGACAGTTTCATAAAGTGAAAATGCCTTGAATTTCAATATGTTTAAGACAAAAAAAAATTACATTCACTGAAGTTCCTGAACCATGACACAAACACATTACACATTCAAGGTTACTATTCCATTATGTTATTTTTCTAAACACAGCATTTATAGTTTAATTTGCCGAAGTTTTATAAATTAACTGACAAATTCTCATGACTAAATACTCAAACATTTGGATTACAATCAGACTGAATAATAATATGAAATCACATTAGTGTTGAATCAGTGACGAGAGCCCTTTCATTACAATAATCAAAATGAACATGGACATCATAATCATAAAATAATATGTAACAATAGTATTGATATGGAAATGTCCTCAGTATTAGGGGTGAAATTAAAGGTTCTTTTAACCTTTCCGATAACTGTACATACGTGTAGAATTAGCTTTCAAATACACAGTGCTTAGTGACAATATTGGGCAAACATAGGTGAAAAGTAATCCAGCCTAATTCGTGCACAGTTTTAAATGAATGTACGTTGATCAAATAATATAGGGAAACGAAACTCAAGATTTACTTAATGTGGCTACCATTTTGGCACCAACAATGATCTGATCAATACTGTCACAGGGCACACTAAATACATTCCAGGTATTCTTGAATGGTTTGAATGTGAGCTTCCATGGTTGCACTTCCAAAGCATGATAGTGATGAATAGCTAGCTTCCATATAAGCAAAACCCGAAACAATAACCCAGTGACAAGCAGTTTGAAAGCCACAATGTAGCATCTTTCAACAAGCAATGTTTATTTCACACACACTGATAGAATTATATTTTCATACCATTAAAATCAAACAAAATAAATCAAGAACCCTGAATTTGTATTGTGAGTCACCTTGCCCAAAATAACAAACTGATATTTTCCAGTGTCTCCACACTGAACACAGGTAAAAAAAAAACATTTTCCTTTCATTTTTGTGACTACTAAACTCTCTACCAACTTTGCTGATATTAAAATGTCCACTGTCAAATGCTGGTAAAATTTAACACTGGCTGCAGTCAAGGATTAAGTACATGTAGAAATCCCAAGTATTTTTCCTTTCAGAATACTATGAGTATGTGTGGTTTTACCCCACTTCTTCCAATAAGCTCGCCGCATTATGCCAAGGGAAACCAGGAGCAGGCTTCAATCGAATTCATTTGTTGGGAATCAAACAAGTTTTTGGCCTGACAATGTAATCACATCTGGCACACTATGAGATCAATCAGTTCAAAAATAACCAAGAGGTCCTTGTAAAAATTCGGAACCTGATGTGTTACTAGATTCAAATACCAAAAATTCCATCCCCTCTCAATTTCTCATGCCTAGTTTGCTGTATAGTATGCAGTAACAAAAATGTACAGCAGACATCTGAAGGCCAAATTTGTAGTGTAGACCCCGAATGTTTTGACCAAAGCTGTTGTAATGGTTCAAGAAAAACAACCAGTGGGAGGAACGATGTGCAGTCTGTCAAAAGTTACCTTTCTGAAGACAGTGCTTAGTTGAGGTAACAACTATGAACACAAATAATCATGAACAGTATCAATGACAATGAATGAAGAGTGTCTTGTTAATACAATGCTAATATTGTTGTTTTATCCACATAAATGGAAATGTAATTACCTTTAATCAATTCTTAAAATTCAGAAAAGTGACCAGCCATAAAACTACATATCCATTACTAAGAAATTATTTTTGAAGGTGCAGTTTCTGCCTGTATAATGTGCATAGCATTCTGTATATCACGATATGGAATCAACAAGAAATGTTCTGGAGCCACAAAATCATGTAAACCCAAGAAGTAAAAAAAGACCCTTTGGCCCACTAAAATGACACAATGGGTGGGGACGTTTTGCTTGTGTTGAATTTTAGTAAATATATTGCTTGAGTGTTTAGGCATTGGTTTGGGAGGAATAGTGGTCTTAAAGTTATTGTTTCAAACAATTCCTCTCCCTTTTTGTAATGGGTCGCATTTGTCTGCAGTCATGGATAAAATCCCTCGTAAATAATGTAGTGTCTTAGTTGCATTTTCTGAAAATATAATGCATTGGATGATTTACGCACCTATTTCTTTTAATTGTTGCGCAAATAACTCTTTGCACAGAAATATGTGAAATGTTTATCTATACTCTTACAAAATAATGCGATTTGCGCAAAATATAGATGTTGTCAGCATAAAAAAAATATGGCACCGAAAATGTCTCTTATTGTGTAATTTTTCTTGATATTAATTGATAAAATGTTCACTAATTCCGGTAACACATGGTAAGTACCATGGCGGGAAGCGGCATGCTTATGCACTGCGGCATTATGATGAGCGGGCGCCATTTTGATTGTGAAATCGCTGTGCTTACCTGACGGAAATTTAGAGGTTTATGGAGGTTTTACCATCCATCCTTGGCCATTAACCCCAATTCCAACCTTCTGGGCAACTTAGCTCAACATTTTCGCAGAATGCATTTGTTCGACATAAATTCTGCACGAATCCTTTGTGAAAATTGCTGAAACACGCACCACCGTCCTAATCAACTATGGAGGCTGTTAATTTCGTTCTGCACATGCGTGGAAATGTATAACGCTTCGTTTTCCCGTACGGTTTAGGACGCGTGATCTCATTGGTTGAAATGCACGTGGTAAAACATGGCTGCTCCCATGGATGGCAATACAGTGAACGTGATAAAAGAAAAAGCAACTTTATGCCTCGAAAGTAGAAAACAAATTAACAATGTCGTCGATATCATTTCACACATGGATGTAAGAGTTAACAGTTTCTGTTGAGTTATATTTCTGGGAACACGAACACCAGAAAAGAGATCCAATCCGAAGTCACTCTTAGCGATCTCGAGGAAGCAGACTGTGTTTATCTAGTACCGTATTTCCTCAGATTAATCGTCTGTGATTCTAATCACATTCTCTGCGCTTTCTTTGGTAGCCCCACCGTCGTGATTATTGTCACAGAATTATCACGGACAGATGTTTACAAATTATGTTACAAATATATAACAACCCGGTAAGAGTTCCTTCTGTTCCCCCAACCATAAACCAAACTCTAAACCTAAACCTAAACCTAACCCTAACTTAAATTTTGTACTTTTAGTCATTTTGTGAGTTCTCTAGTAATTGTTGTGTTTTGTTAATAATTTTAGTATATTTATACATATTATTTGGGATGGGGGAACGGGAGGAACTCTTACCCGGTTGTTATATATTTGTAACATAATTTGTAAACATCTTTCCAAAAAAGCCATGGGAAGGGTGTGCAGATGTCATTGCCACAGTTCTCGTAACTCTTTTACTAACTACACTGTCAATGCACATAGATGGAAACCAGACTCTGGCGTTCATGGTTTATGTTTGAAAATAGCGAATTCATTTTTGATCGGCTGTATGTCTTGACCAAGGCGCAGACACTTCTCAAACTTCATTTTATTTTGTTTTCAGTCTGAAAAGAGGGATGTCCTCATAGCTTGCATAAATGCACTGCTGAAAGTATTTGAAAGGTTTATCTCTACAGAAGAAATGTGTGGCATTTCAAGAGATACAGATTTGAAAGGTATGTTACATAGTGCTATAGACCACCTCAGTGAGCTTTAGGAGAGCTTTAGGTTGAGAGTTCAATCCCCGACCCCGTCATACCACAAGGTGTTACAATATGGTACTTGTTGGTCCCTGCCTGTCCTCAGCATTAATGGGTAAAACAAGGACTGGTCAGCTCAGAGTTAGCATTATGTGCCTGAGTGGGGTATTCATGCTTAACTGCGGCATAGTATCTCAGTGAGCTAAAGTCTGGGCTTGTACAAGCAGATACACACATGCACATTGTCATATGATCGAAATATTCTTAATTATGAAGTTAAACCACATTTCATCTCACCTTACATAGTGCTTTGTAACTACCAAGGGTGTAGCTACCTTTATGAAAATAAGCCCGGGCTTACACACGATAGTTGCTAAAAAGGTTGTGCAAGCCCTCAATACTCACAAAATATAAAGCTTTCCAATCCGTCGCGCTTACACGAAATAATTGGCTTGCTGCGCGCCTGACTACCATCATCTTTACAAAGTGGTAAAACTGTAAAAACACGTGGTTTCATTCTTCTGTTTTTTTAAATTTCATCTTAACTGATGGTTAATTTTTTATGGATATCATGATAGGACACTTTATCCCCATCTATCAGTCGAAAATGTTATCTGGATCTTAACCCTTTGATATCTGTGTTAGAATAGGTCCTTAGCAACCCATGTGTGTTGAAAGACGTGACTAACAGGTCAGGCAGACAGATTGTGATTGATGCATATCATTGTATCCCAGTTGCGTGGATCAATGCAGTCTGTCATTTTCTTTTGTTAGCTTGCTATAGTTTGGGTTTTTTCCCCACTTTGCAATTTCATTTGTTATCATTTATGTTTGAGGTAGAGACCAATTAGTAATTTGTGACTGTAATTTAGTGTAAATGACAGGTTGTTCAGAGTATGTATAAGTAAAGTGTGAGTGACCATAATATTGCTAAACATTTCCTTGTCAGTTGGTTTTGATTTGGTTCCTCCTGGAAGAGTTGAAAGTTTGAATTATTTTTGTGATTATATGTTCAGGGCTGGTCTGCTTTGTAAAAAGATGCAAATTGAAAAAATCTATGCATATAGAGCCAAATATAAGTAACAATGGCCATGAGGGGTTGTCAGAACTTTATGCAGAGGGGTACTGAATAGGGGCGTACATCTGATTTGAGCGAGATTGACTTAGACTGGAAGATATCATGACTTCCTCACATCACAGGGTGAAAGCGCTGTCCATGCGAAATGTGGAGTTGCCCCAAAAGCTACTCCATTTCCTCGCTGGACAGTGAAAGACGAACAGGTGGTGCAAGGGTAATGGTATGTTTTCCCTCTCATTTTCATTTTCAGGCAACCTCTTTCCCCTGGACTGAAACTGGCAGTCACACTTAGGCACCTTGAGGATGGAGACAACAATGGGTCCCTTGCATATGCCTCCAGGTGTGGAGTGTCCACCATCTCAGAGATGGTTTCAGAAGTGTGACAGGCAATTATGTTTAGCCTACCTGTGACCCCTGAAGCATGGACAGCCGTAGCTAACCAGTTTGAACAGAGATCGATATATCCCACGCCCTGGATGGCGAACACATTGCTATCAAGAAGCGACCTCAAACTTGCAGTCAATTACAAGGGCGTCTATTTGATACCACTCCTAGCTCTGATGGATGCAGATGGATCGAGCTTGGTAGAAAAGGACACATGTCAGATGCTAAGATATGTGGCGACTCAGGGCTAGGCAACGGCATGGAAGAGGAAGCCCTAGGACTTCCCCCACCCTGCCCTCTGACTGCAAGCCCTGATGACCACCAAGACATGCCCTTCTTCATCCTTCGAACTCAGGAACTACCTCATGAAGCCATACAGCAGAAGGATGTCCAGGAAGGAGAGGACTCTCAAGAGGGAGGAGAATCGTTGGGATCCTGGCCAATAGATTCAGGTGTCTCTTCATGACTCTAGGGCAGAAGCCCAATACTGTGAAGGATACAGGGGGCGGTGGGGTAGCCTAGTGGTTAAAGCGTCTGCTCACCACGGCGGGCCCGGGTTCGATTCCCCACATGGGCACAAGGTGTTAAGCCCATTTCTGGTGTCCCCCGCCGTGATATTGCTGGAATATTGCTAAAAGCGGCGTAAAACTAAACTCAGTCAGTCAGTCAGTCAGTGAAGGATATAGTGGAGGCGACAGTGGCTCTGCACAACCTATTGAGGCTGAGGCATCCAGGCATTGCAGCACAATAGGTGGACCATGAGGAAGAAAGCCACCATGTCATCCCAGGGGCATGGAGGACCGACTGGACTGGCTAGATGTGGATGAACCTTCTGCACCTCGAAGCCACATCAGCTAGAACAAATGCGGTGGATCAGAGGGAACGCCTAAAGGTGCAGTAATTCTGCTTTCCAGTACATATGTGGGCGCAAGAACAGATCGTGAGCGTCCGTGAAAAATACTCGTATCTACACACATTTACTGGTATCAACTCGTATCTGCTCGTAAGTCATTCGTGTCAGGCCGTGAGCAGTGGGACCAGACAGAGCGTCACAGATCGTGGCACATTGTGGCACATCGCAACACATCTCAACAGAGCGTGGTGTTTGTCTTGTCCTCGATTGATTTCGACCACTACGATTTCTAAGCAGGATTAGTTTCGATATGCTTTGTTATGATGCAATACTATTCGATGCGATGATCACAATTGACAATAAAATTGTGTTGATCGTAGACATTTTTCTACGATCAACACGCTTGCTACGACTGACCTCCAGATCTGATAAGATTTGATAGGATTACCACGATTAGTCCAAAATTAAAACCACGATTTCAATCGTGGTGCGAATCGTTATAGTGTGAACATGGCATTTAGGGGATCCATCACAACAACTACCGTTTCCAATGCCAAGTCTGTGGAAAAGGGTATCAACAACTGTGGAATTTCGACAGTTCATGCTCTAAAATCCATGCAACTACACGAACAGTTACTACAATGTAAACATTCAACGCAATGGGCAGTTTCAACACAACTCCATATAAAATGTACAGTTTGATTTTTCGACGATAACTAAAAAAATACTGACGCATTAAAGCCTAAACTCTGAATGAAGACCTAAGATAACTATTCCTAAGAAAACAAGGCGTGTCTGCTGATGAGGTTGTCATATTCATGTTGAAACGATCATTTTCCGCGATCTTGTTTTGACACTCAGGAGGGTGCCCTCGCTTAACGCACAATTGCAATAAATAGAGAGGGTGTCAAGCTATTATAGAAAAATCTGTAAATTTCGAGACCCCTCTGCCAAATGGCAAAACCTGATATACTTGCAAAATAATGAAAATGCGAGGGAAAACTTACCATTACTCTTGCGCCACATGTTCGTCTTTCACTGTCCAGCGTGGAAATGGAGTTGCTATAGGGCTTCCACCCTGTACACATGTGTCATCATGTTCAAGTTGCAGATAAGGAAGCAGAATATCGAGGATGGCTGAGACAACAGTACACTGCCACGGTGGTCTGTCTCCTGGATAAACTCACCTGTACAGACAGATATGTTCAGGTAAATACCCCAACTGTACTCCACGGCGTACCGATAAACTCACCTGTACAGACAGACATGTTCAGGTAAATTCACGAATTTTACTCCTACCTAAACCTGTTAATTTTGACTTTTCCTCATAATTGCAACATGTGCAATATTCCAGCTATACGTAACTAATCGAGTCTGGACCAGACAATCCAGTGATCAACATCAACAGAATCAAAATACACATCTGGGACATGATGACATGTGTCATCCAAGTCCTTGAGTCTGACCACCCGATCCCTTTACTCAGATATTAAGACAAGTCCCTGTGGGGCGGTGGGGTAGCCTCGTGCTTAAAGCATTCACTCGTCACGCTGAAGACCCGGGTTCGATTCCCCACATGGGTACAATGTGTGAAGCCCATTCCTGGTGTCCCCTGTCATGATATTGCTGGAATACAGGTAAAAGCGGTGTAAAACTAAACTCACTCACTTATGGATTGTTGGTGTGACTCAGTGAGTGAGTTAAGATTTAAAGTCACATCGGCAATATTTCAGCCATATCGTGACGGTGTGACTCGGTGACATGGTTGATTATGTGTCAGCATACCCCGCAGACTTGGATCACTACTAACATCAGTCACCTGATTGTCTGGTCCAGACTTGATTATGTGCCAGCATACCCCGCAGACTTGGATCACTACTAACATCAGTCACCTGATTGTCTGGTCCAGACTTGATTATGTGCCAGCATACCCCGCAGACTTGGATCACTACTAACATCAGTCACCTGATTGTCTGGTCCAGACTTGATTATTTGCTGGCTGCTGTCGTATGGCTGGAATAATGCTGATTGAGGCATTACATAAAAGCAAGCCAACATGGGTATTTTGTTTCCACTACATCTCCATCTTCCGTTATGTTTCAGAAACTGTCATTGCGGACCCTCATGAAGTTTGTTGCTGCAGAGGGTCGACACCCAATCACGACCAAGTCTTCATCTCATACACAACTCTTTCCTGAGTCTTTGTTTGCAGTAAGTTCTAAATTTTTGATACACACAAGTTCCAGTCTGAGAATATTTAACCCCAACACAAACTTCCAAGTGTCTGTGTTCAGTGTTGTATACCTCACACACACTCACTTAATCACTAACTACCCACCCACCCACCTCCCTCCTTCTCTGCCCCACCCCCACAGTGATTCTTTCTCTTCCCACTACTTCTCTCTCTCCCTCTCCTTGCTGTGCTTGTCCTGCCTAAGACCTGTGTTTGATTCCCCACATTCATACAGTGTGAGAAGCCAATTTATTATTCACCCGTTGAAGATATCACTGTTTAATAATTTTACAATGTTATAACACATTGTGTAATAACATCACATGGTGCCGTACGTATGACGTCACAGTGCTAATACCTCTGTTACTATAGTATTAGACATTGCTTGTCTCGCGGAAAGCTGAGAATCATCACACTCTTTGAATTCTTTGGAAAGAAGTACTTTGCTCGATATTATTTTGCTAATGTTGGGTGAGTAATAAATATAATGCTAAACTATGTCCCGTGTAATACCATATTTATGAAACTCGTGAATGGTATTGGTATCTAACTCGCTTTCGCTCGTTAGATACCAAAACATTCACTCGTTTCATAAATACGGTATTACACGGGACATCGTTTAGTATTCTCTATATCTGGTGTCCCAGGCTGACATTTTGCTGAAAGTGACGTAAACCCAGTGTTCACAGCTCACTCACGTTTCTGTTTGCAGGAAATAATGTCCCATTTCCTGTTGAGCGATGAGAGTACCTCAGCTCTCTTGGAACCCTTCCAGGAGTTTCTCCAGTATGATGATGTCCGATACCAAACTCTCCAGTTTATTCACAAACACCTGCAAAAGAATTCATCAAAGGTAATCTACAATTGTAAAACTTGTTTTATCGACATTCTAAAAGTTGGCGAGTCAGTAATGAAACATACGACTTTATGGATAAAAATTGTAAAATCATAAACATTCTGAAACATTTGTGACTTTTGGTAGGGAAAGAGCCACTTCCTGTTTGATTGAGTGGTCGATTCAACCAAGTAATCCAGGGTTCGAAATACCCCATATATTAATGGCACGGTTGAAAAATGTTCTCAGTGCCCTTATGGCACGCCTAATTTTTTAGACACATAACTCACCTTTAGTCATCTAATCCCCAAAGACATTGCCCTGGAAGTCCCTGGCACTGGAATTATGATAGATGATGTAAAGAAATCTGGTTCTTTTAGAGGGAGTACTGATAGTTAGGTTATCGAAGAGGAAATTGTGTATTCTAAAAACATGTGGGCACACTTGATTTCTGAAAGGCACATTTAAAATATTTGCCTGGCGCCCTAAGGCACATTTAGAGACAAAAGTATTTCTATCCCTGCAGGGATTGGGATAGAGAACTTTGACAATGGGCCATTTTCAGGATTACTAGCCATTTTCTGAATTTAGAATGGGCCACTGTCCTTACATCAATAGTAAACTTCAAATTTTTAATGGGCCATTTTTTATTCTTATGTGCAAACTGGCCCATGGCCCCTGCCTTTCCCACTCCCTGCCCTGTAATCTTAGTACTACCCCTGTCGTAGTGATGTTACAGCATGGAAGCTAGGATTGTCTTAGTGCTAAGATTGCCGTGTGGACCTAGAGCCCCTATCAACTTAGTATTGTATATTTAGTATAATTAGTTCTTCGGGCTGAGACTGTTTGTGTTGAAGTATCAGGGGTGGGAATAACTTTAAAATTGCATGTGTATGCCGGTTCAGTGGCACATGTAAATCACTTGCCCTGATAATTTTTCCACTAAACCGGCTCATTTTCTTGTTGATTTTTTAAAATAAACAACATAATTAACATTGGAAAGTCAACTGGACACTGGTACAGTGTGATATACAAATTTGCTTGCCTGACAGAAAACACCCCCACTGAACTGGGGCATCGGGCAATGGGTTATTTCAACCCCCGAGTATGCGAGTTATATCCTTCTGTGTGCTTAGATTTGTCCATACACTGGGATGCTAATGATTAGGCAGTTCATGCCAGTACACCTTTCCTTTCATTATTTTCACATCCTGAATTGTGTGTGGAGAATTAGATTGAGAAATAATGACTATGTAATATCACATGTGATATGATCAAAGGGAGATAACTCTAACACATATTTGGGATTACACTTTCTCAGTAAATGGCATTGTGTATTCATTGGTAGATAACTCCTTATAACTATTTTCCGGTATCAAGCCAATATTGATTGTGATAATTCATCAAGCCTGAATCTAATTTCTTCATTTAGATATTTTCTTTGATGACATGCCTATATCTCCAACGAGGAACCTCGATTAGAATTGTTTCCCAGAAACTTATGCTTGCTGTAAGGGTCAGGCACATGAAACAGGGGGTTGTCTTCTGTGTAGGACAGGGATGATACACCATGTCACGATACGATACGTATCGCGATATTTTACCTGCGATACAATACGTATCTCGATACATACACCTTGAAAGAATGAAACAGTATTAAGATTTAAAATGATTTATTTCAAGGTATTTGTTTATAAAAATAACACTATTGTAGTAAACAAACAAGTAACTCTATCATACTTGTGTATTGTTTCTACATAAGTACTGTAACATGTTAAAGACAATACTGTTTTGAAAAAAAGTCTTGTATCGGTATGTATCAATACACCAGTTGGCGATACGATAGCTGTATAAAATTTAAATATATCGTGATGTAACGGTGCATCGGTGAATAGTCCCAGCCCTACTTCTGTGACTTGTGTCATTGTGTCCTTATGCCATGGATTGTGGCCCATGTTATCAATCAGTGCGTTATTTGCATGCACACACAATCAACCAATGAAACGAAAAAGAAATAAGAATTGACTGGAATGTGGCCTTTGAAATATTGATACAGCATTATGTTCTTTGTGTCTATTCAAGAGAAGGTTTATCCGAAACTAACGTCACAGGTATAAGCCAAATGCCTTAGAGTATGTGCGCTTCAATCACTGAACAGAGGGAAGTAACAATATTTACCCTGTTTGTGAAACTATACGAGAATAGTCAATATCGCTTTTCAGATTTTAATTACAGGAACTAATTCACTGGTATGCAAGCTAAGATTTGAGATTTTGGTGTGTATGTAAGATCAAATCTATTGAGTATTTACAAAAATTCAAACATACTTGTACGCAATGGACTTAATAGGAACTGAGTTTTCACATACATAATTAAGTAATTATACCCCTGCTACAAAGTAACAGGGGTATATAGCGTTCATTCTGTCCGTCCGTCCATCCTTCCGTTGTCCGGAGCATATCTCTTAAAGTTTACATGCTAGGTTCACCAAACTTCGCACACATGTTAATCATTACCCATTGATGTGCCTTTTGCTATTTTAAAGTTTTTTTCAAAATTTGTTTTGTTGTTGTTTCCATGGAAACATGACTTGGTGCAAAATGTGTTTGATGGTTACCTGGCCACAGCATATCATCGAAACTATACATGCTAGGTTCACCAAACTTAATACACAAGTTAATCATGACCCACAGATATGCCATGTGCTAAAAAATAACAATCTTCATCTACATCCACTTCATTGTGTGCAACAAGTTCAATTGTATGTCAGGTTTCCCCGAAAAACACAAAAAAATAATGTTTCCATAAATTATTACTGTAATCAGTACATGGCAAAACTATTATCAAACATGTATATAAAGTTTAGTAGAGTCAAAGAGAAAGTCTTGTGAGCTGCTGATCCTTGTCACATTATATGTATCAATATCAGTCATTTCCATGTCCCAAAGTGGGAAGCAGGGGTATGTGAGCTGTGCTCACTTCTACACTTGTTTATACAGATATGCAGCGTATCTGTACCTCTGACAAACATTGGGGTCCCAATTATTAGTTTTAAGGGGTCCTAGCAGGCAAGGCCTGTGAGAGTTCTGTGAGTAACGGTGTAGAGAACTGTACGTTTCAATAATTTCTTTCAAACCTGGAAGGCGCATTTACGCATCACGTAAAACCCTGATAATATGCTGGGGTTTTTTTCTAACCCTAAATCCCCTTCTTAAATCAATACTCAGAGTCTTGGGTGTCGTTTCAGACCACAACTGATGTCTACTTGACCAATGTGTTCGGACTCCTTGATAAATGCTCCAGTCTTAAGTGCAGAACAAAAAGTCTCCACTTTCTCGGTGAGTTTGTTGCAGAGACAGGACCTACTACTTCCTGTACGCAGTTAGTGAAATCACTTCTGCATGTATTTCATTGGCTGATGCAATGCTATGATTGGATAGATCAAGCTTCTTGTGCAGGTAATATTAATGGGAATGTGTGCCTCCAGGACATTATGCTTTGTGATTGGTTGAACAACATTACTGAACGGGATACGAATAGCAGAAGGTTTTGCACTTCTCAGTGCATATGACTACTGTTGTGGTTTGAGACCGCCTCTGTGGTGTAGTGGTTAGAGCGTCCGCCTGGAAAAGCGGAAGGTCGCAGGTTCGATCCCTGACCGTGTCATACCAAAAAGACGTTAAAATATGGTACTTGTTGGTTCCTGCCTGGTGCTTGGCCTTAATGGGTACAGCAAGGACTGGTCAGCTCGGAGTCAGTATAATGTGTCTGAGTGGGGTATTCATGCTTCACTGCGGCATGGTATCTCATTGGGCTAGCACTATAAAACCAGCTTAAGTCTGGGCTAGTACAAGCAGCCGCACATACACATACACATGCATGCACGTCGTCATATGAGGAAATATTCTCAAGCACGAAGTTAAACCCAATTCCACCACCTGTTGTGGTTTGTGGCGAGATCAGAAAAACCACCCATCAGACAGCTGTTTTCTGGTCATTTATCAACATATCTACCCGTGAAGATCTGGGTTAGAATTGATCCTCAGTAACCCATGCTTGTCGTAAGAGGGGACTAATATATCGGCTGATCAGGCTCGTATCCCATTTGTGTAGATCGAAGCTCATGCTGTTGATCACTGGATTGTCTGGTCCAGACTCAGTTATTTACAGACTGCTGCCATATAGCTGGAATATTGAGTCCAGCGTAAAACTAAACTCACTCGCTCACTCATTGGGACTGTCTCAGCCATATTCCAGCTGTATGATGGGAGCAAATAGTCCAGACATTCCAGTGATTGACATCATGAGCATCTGTCTGCACAACGGGGAGGTACGACTACTAAATCAACAAAGTTATCAACTATGACCACCCAGTCCAACAAGCAGCTGAAGACAATGTCTAACACAGGTCTGCTAAGAATATATCCTGTCTAACACAAAAACACTAACAGACTCAATGTTTTTATGAAGGTTTCAGTCCCGTGATGTGACGACCATATACTTGTGTTTCAGCTATGGACACGGCAGGCAAGATGGGGTCTTCGAAGGAACACACCAAGTTGTTCACCAGTAAGTGGCTCCAGTTTCTCTCTTGCAAGGTATGACGTGTCTCAGGACTGTCACATAAACATGGATAGATTAGGTCCCAGTAAAACATGCTTGTCTCCCCTTGTGAATCAAGGGTATTGATAGGTCCCCAGTTCATCATGCTTGTCTCCCCTTTGAGATTTTAGGTTGAACAGGCCTCTAGAACAATGTACTTGTCTCCCCTTGTGATTTAAGGGTACTTATAGGTACCCAGTTCACCATGCTTGTCTTCCCTTTGGGATTTTAGGTTGAACAGGCCCCTAGAAGAACACATTTGTCTCCCCTTGTGATTTAAGGGTATTTACAGGTCGTCAGTTCACTAAACTTGTCTTTTTGGGGGGCATTCCAGATGGAGGTTATCCGCAGTACACCATGCTAGTTTCTCCAAGTGAACTCAAAGGTAGAATAGGGCCCCAATGGCTGAGTTGCTCTTCACCATCTGAATACTGAATTTACTTAATACAGTTGCACACTATATGTTTATGTACTTTAGTGTTACTGGTTTGTTACCCAGTTATGTGAGTTTAAATGTGAGTCCAAATAACCTCATGCTGAGTGCAGTGTTAAACAACCCACCACCTCATGGTCAGTCATCTTGTGATTACAGTTAACACCATCCCTGTACAAGAAGGTGCTCATCATAGCTAAAGACAAAGTGATGCCACGTCTGTCAAATCCTTTGGTGCTCAGTGACTTCCTTACAGAGTCGTATACTGTGGGTAAGTACTATTTAATATCCATTCACTCAGTGACTTAATTACAGAGTCGTATACTGTGGGTAAGTACTATTTAATATCCATTCACTCAGTGACTTAATTACAGAGTCGTATACTGTGGGTAAGTCCTATTTAATATCCATTCACTCAGTGACTTCCTTACAGAGTCGTATACTGTGGGTAAGTCCTATTTAATATCCATTCACTCAGTGTCTTAATTACAGAGTCGTATACTGTGGGTAAGTCCTATTTAATATACATTCACTCAGTGACTTAATTACAGAGTCGCATACTGTGGGTAAGTACTATTTAATATCCATTCACTCAGTGTCTTAATTACAGAGTCGCATACTGTGGGTAAGTACTATTTAATATCCATTCACTCAGTGTCTTAATTACAGAGTCGCATACTGTGGGTAAGTACTATTTAATATCCATTCACTCAGTGTCTTAATTACAGAGTCGCATACTGTGGGTAAGTCCTATTTAATAAGTAAATACACACTGACTTGCTTATGGAATGCAATGCTGAGCATAGGCTAATCCAGAAATTTTCTTTGGGTGGTGTGTGGGGGTTGGGGGGGTTCCAGGGCGTTGGAACCACCTGAACCCCACCTTGGCTCTGCCATTGCAAAACAGTAACTTCAATATCAATCCACCACTGACTGAGGGTACATACTGTTAAATATCTAGTGACTCTGTTATTATCCCCCACGACAAAGTGGGAGGGGGATATTAGTTTGAGCTCTGTCCATCTGTCAGTCCGTCCATCCGTCCGAGATGACGGGGACAGATTTTCTCAGAAAACGATTAGATAGGGAAACCAAATTTGTTATATGTTTTCAGGACGTGAATATCTTGTTGGTTTAATTACAATGTTGTACAGCACTGCCAACTGATGACACATTTTGGACTTTGTGAACTCATGTTGTTTAATTTGAAGTTGAAAGATACAAGATTCTCTATTTATTAGTTCAGGGTTTATTTTTAACTTACCTTACCTCATGGTAATGTGCATATTACCTTTGCTCATCCGAAGAAAGATTGGAAACGTGATCGATAAGTATCCTTGTTGAATGCTATCATGAAACTGGTGACGTGTCGATCTCGTCTGGCGAGAGGAAGCACGCCCCCTAATCCCGTCATGTGACAACGAGAACACGTCACTTTATCCTTTATCGCACTGCGAGTTGGACGTGTATTCGATATTTCTGTTTTTTCTTTTCTTACTGTATTCTTTGTGTTTTGCTACGTTTGCTGTGGTTAGTTCATGCCACGGGTTTACTGCAATCAGTGCAAGTCTCAGAAGTCGGCTAAAGACCGCCATCCTGCTTGCCCGGATTGTCTGGTCGACTCAGTGTGTACTTGGACCTCTCGGTGCTTGTTTTGCCGGCACCTACTTTCCACCGACTTTAAAGCGTTCTTAGCTGCTCGGAACAAACGTCTTACTCAACGCAAGCACCTCATGTCTTCTAACGACACCTCTGAGACTGCTCAGGTTTCTTCGACGCTAATGGCTCAGCTTGGGAACGTCTCTACACCTTCAGCGGATCGGCGATTTACGACTTCGCTCCTTGCCAGTCCTCATTTCCGGAACGCTCCAGAGCAAGCCTTCTCACACAGGCCCAGATCGACAATGCTGTGAACCCAGGCGCTCCATCTATTCTTCAAGATTCCCGGCTTATGGAGCTCTTGGTTGGTTTACTGGAACGGGAGGATCGTCAGCGTCCAGATGATCGTTCTAAGGAACGCCAGCGCTCCTCTGATCGTCCATTGTCCGGAGATGACCAGCTTTTGCCCACGAATCGGCAACGCTCCCCTTAACCTTCACCAAGCCGCTCACCTGCGCAGGATGCTTGGTGTTCTCCCAAGCGTGCAACGGAGTGTGACGCTGGGCATTCTTCACCTAAACGTTTGCCTCGGCGCTCCCGTTTTCCCAGGCGCTCTGCTGTACGGGACGTTCGACGCTCCTCGTCTCGGCGTTCACCTCGAAGACAACTTTCACCTCTTCATCAGTGTTCGCGTTCACGATCACCTTTGTTTAGGTCGCGGGATTCTTCTTCTCTTGTGTTGGAGGCGCAGTTTGTTCCAGATTACGAGGAAGAAGACAACCAGGGTCTGATGCACTTGGGCATGGAGAGTGTTTACGCCTGGATAGCTGACAGACTTATCACTTGCCCATTTCCAGGGTTGGATATTCCTCGTGCTAAATCTATTTGGGATGAACCAGAGCTCCTTCTGCCACCGCAGCCCATGGTTGCTGATGCCATTGCTTCACTTGATGAGGATTTCCAAAAGTTATCCCTTAATCCTTCCATAAAGCCTGCTAAACATCACCGTCAGGATTACAAGGTGCATTCTTTTGACTTTATGGATATTTGGCGCTACACAAGATGAAGCGGCCAAATGATTGTCGGATGCTTCTCAAGCTCAATACAAGGTCCCAGATGCCAAGTTGTTGGCGATTGATACGGAACTCCGTCAACCTTGAAGCCCCTCTCTGTGCTTGGTTCGGCCACGGAGGCCATGTCTCAAGATCTCTCGGAGGATAACCCTTCCCGCTTAGATCATCTTACCACTTTTGTTTAGGTGGCAGGCTAGAGTTCTGTCTGATGTGGTTGATCACGTTCGTTCGGCCTTAGCTACCACCAGTGTGACTAGGAGGACTGGGATACTCGCTCCCTGTACCTGGCAGGAGGAATTCAAGAAAAGACTGATGTGTGCCCCATTTGCGGCTCCCACCTTATTCGCTGAAAAGATGCCGGATGTCTTTTCAGAGCATGCCTTCTTGACCCAAACTGAGATTGAGCTCCGATCTTTTCGTCTCTTCGCCACTTTGTCAGCGCAAGCTACCAGGACCACCAACCTTTACCAATCCAGGAGGATGTCAGTTAGTGGAGCCTTTAGAGGGCGTGGCAGGGGACGTCCCAACGACTTCCAACCGCGTCCCGCCGGTAACCAAAAGGACTTGGGCAAGACCGGCAAACCCAAGTACAAGCGCCGCTGATGTTTTGGGCGGTCACGACTTGGACCTCCGCCCCCAGCCATCCATATCCGCGATATACCTGTAAGGTGGGAGACTCGGGGTCTTCTGGCCCAACTGGACAATCCTAGGAGACCCCTTGTCACCAATCTTCTCAAGACAGGCTACAAGTTGCCAATAGCCATGTCGCCGCCTTTGACCACCTCGCCCTGGTTTCACGAATATTCCATCGCTTAACACCAGCACCTGTTGACCAACATTCAGGCGTTGTTGGACAAGAAGGCCATAGAACAAGTACTAGAGCCAAGCAACTCCCCAGGGTTTTAATCTCCCATCTTCTTAGTACCCAAAAAGAATTCTCAGAAGATGAGGATGATACACAACATGGCGGTGTTCTCTGATCCAGCTACGAACCAAACTGTCCCCCAAGGATTGGTTGGTCAGTCTGGATCTTCAAGACGCCTACCTACTTGTTCCCATTTTCGAACCTCAACGGAAGTTCCTGAGGTTCATTTTCGACGGTCACCATTACCAGCGGAAGGTCCTGCCGTTTGGCATCTCTATGACCCCGTGGCTTTTCACTCGAATTACAGCACCGATTTCCCGGTATCTTCATCTTCGGGGGATAGAGTTCGACCCATACATTGACGACTCTCTCATGAGCCACAAGGAGTGCCTGCTGCTATGCAGACAGAGGGACTTTACACTCAAGCTTTTTCACCAACTCGGTTGGATCGTCAACCTCGAGAAGTCCCACCTAGAGCCATCCCAACAGTTGACTTTCATATGGGGTTTGTTCCTGACAGATGGCAAAGAATCCTCAGTCTTGCTCGGCGGGGTCTGTCACACCTGCTTACACTCAGGGAATGGCAGTCCCTACTAGGTCTGTTGACGTCGGCTCAGGATCTTACCACCAGAGGGAGATTAATGCTCAGACCGCTTCAACGGTTCCTCTCGCCTTTCATCCTCTGAGACAACCTCAGGTTGCGGTTTCCGCTGCCCCTTCATCTTCATCCCTTTCTTCAGTGGTGGACAATCGAGTCAAACATTTGCGGCGGCATCTCTTTGAAACTGTTTGTGGATGCCTCTCTGCTGGGTTGGGGCGCTCACCTGGACTCTCAGACAGCGGCAGGGCTGTGGTCAACCGCACAGGCAGGTTGGCACAGCAACAACCTAGAGCTTCAGGCTGTCATCTTAGCCATTCAGCACTGGATTCATTCGCTACGAGGGTCCAAGCTCTTGGTGCCTAGTGGTTAAAGTGTTGGCTCGACACGCCGAAGACCTGGGTTCGATTTCCCACATGGGCACAATGTGTTAAGCCCATTTCTGGTGTCCCCCGCAGTGATATTGCTGGAATATTGCTAAAAGCGGCGTAAAACTAAACTCAGTCAGTCCAAGCTCTTGGTGGCGTCGGACAACTCGACAGTGGTCAGGTTGATCTGCAACCAGGGAACAACCAACTCGGGTCTTCTCCACGTTTCGTCTGTTTCGCCTTCTGGACGACAACAACATCCAGATCAGAGCTCGTCACATTCCGGGTTGCAGGAACGTCTTGGCTTTTGGTCGCACCCCAAACTACGGACTTCGCCGAAGGAGATCCTCAACCGCAACCACAGTGGCCGCACCTTCTTCGGCATCCTCACAGCCGCCTGTTGCACCCAGATCCGGACAGGGTTCATCTATGCCCTTTGGTCATCTTCAGAAAGCTTTGAAATCGAGGGGTTATTCGGCTGGTGTGGCTACGATCATTGCCCGTGCTCATAGAGTGTCCACCCGCAGCTTGTACGATGACAAATGGTCTGCATTTGAGAAGTTTTGTGCTGATCTCTCTAAGAATCCAGTTTAAGCATCTCCTCAATTTATTGCAGAATTCCTCCTCTACCTACACAACACTCATCATCTGAAGGGTGGTACGATTTCTACTTATTTAGCAGCCCTTAATTCAGTGCTGGCCGTCAAGTCTGATAGGAAGGTCTCCAAGATCCCGGATTTACTGGCCATGCTGTAAGCGTTTAAATTGGAGGATCAGAAGTTGAAGTTCTGCCCTCCAGCTTGGGATCTTAACGTGGTTTTACAACACCTTCGTGGACGTCCTTATGAGCCTTTGTCTGTGGCCTCCTTGAGGACTTGCCCAGGAAAACAGCTTTTCTTTTGGCGCTTGCTACTGCAGCCAGAGTTAGTGAGCTTCACGTCATAGATGTCACTAGGATTAGGTTTGAACAGACTCGTCACGGTTCCGTCCATTTGGGACTTCATTGCCAAGAACCACTTGCCTGGTCAACCAGATCGTATGTTTGTCATCCCTCCTTTGTCTTCTATAGTGGGCAGTGACGACTCCGATGAACTTGCGTTGTGTCCCGTCAGGGCCCTTAAAGAGTACATCAAGCAGTCAGCAGTCAGGAGACATACCATGAAACGCCTTTTTATTCCGTTTTCTTCTGCGTCGAAGGGTGAGGTCAACAGAAATACCATCGCTTTGTGGCTTCGCTCGACTATCCTCGCAGCTTATGACTCAGCTGGTTTACCTCACCCAACCGCCAACAACCCGCACGAGATCCGGGCCTTAGCGTCCACCATGTCTCTGCACAGAAACTGCTCGGTCCCCACTATTATGGAAGGTTGCTTTTGGAGGTCTAACACAGTCTTCGCCAGCCATTATCTCCGGGATCTGGCAGTCCAGGATGTACAGGGGCTTCAGTCCTTTGGCCCGCTCGTGAAAGCTCAGCAACTGACACGGCCCTCTTTTCACTGGGTGCTTATTTTTTTTGTCTAATCATCTTAGTGATAGTTTTAAGGTTAACCCACATTCTCTCGTGTTGTGTTTTCCTTATCAGGGGTCCTACCGGTGGTTTACTGTTCTTGTTTCAACGATTCCAGTTCAACAACAAGACAGTTTCTACGTCCCCGGTTGTGCTGTTGGGTCTGATAGTTTTGGCTGGTCCTCGCCGGTGTCTGTCGGATCAACATGCACTTTACCATGAGGTAAGGTAGGTTAAAAGTTTATTAAAATCTAAATTTTTTAGATATTTAAATACTTACCTTACCTCATAGCGTCTTACGGCCTCCCTACGATGGATCATCTCCTCCCCGCTTTGGACTCCGCTCGGACATCAGGATTCGGATAAAGTGATGTGTTCTCGTTGTCACATGACAGGATTAGGGGGCGTGCTTCCGCTCGCCGGACGAGATCGCCACGTCACCAGTTTCATGATAGCATTCAACAAGGATACTTATCGATCACGTTTCCAATCTTTGTATTGGATGAGCAAAGTTAATATGCACATTACCATGAGGTAAGGTAAGTATTTAAATATCTAAAATATTTGATTTTGATAAATTTATTTTCAGGTGGAGTGATCAGTCTGTTGGCTTTGGATGGGCTCTTTGTTCTCATCAACAAACACAACCTGTAAGTAGGATATCATGGTGGTAATCAGTGGTTAAATACAATCACAGGTCTGTGAATATGAATATGTTTGATTGGCTTATTTGGATCCTGTGTGTTGTGATATTATTATTTATATTTTGATTGTGATCATGTTTGATTGGTGAATAAGAATAATGTTGATTAGTTGACATTACCACATTTTGATTGGTTGAATGTTATGATTAGGTTCTCTTGTCAGAATGTGTTTGATTGGTTGAATGTTATGATTAGGTTCTCTTGTCAGAATGTGTTTGATTGGTTGAATGTTATGATTAGGTTCTCTTGTCAGAATGTGTTTGATTGGTTGAATGTTATGATTAGGTTCTCTTGTCAGAATGTGTTTGATTGGTTGAATGTTATGATTAGGTTCTCTTGTCAGAATGTGTTTGATTGGTTGAATGTTATGATTAGGTTCTCTTGTCAGAATGTGTTTGATTGGTTGAATGTGATGATTAGGTTCTCTTGTCAGCATGTGTTTGATTGGCCAAACAATTGTTGCTTTGTTTAAAATGGAGTGTTACAACAGACTACTGAAGTGGTGCTTCCTGTGGTTTCAGGGAGTATCCTGACTTCTACGAGAAGTTGTACGCTCTGCTGGAGCCAGCAGTGTTCCATGTCAAGTACTGCTCGCGGTTCTTCCATCTCACAGATCTCTTCCTCACATCCACGTAAGTCTGGTCGAGGATCATCCTCAACAATCGAGGGTATTTTGTGTCTGTTCTACTAAAAGTCCTGGGCCCCGTTTCACAAAGCTATTGTGGAGTGCTATGTAAGTCTATGTTACAGTATAGGAGGTACGACAGTCATAGTGCTACCATAGCAACATCAGTTTTCCCCAGGTTTAGGTCAAATGTCACGATTATGTTCCCGAGTGGAATTAGATATAGTTCCCATATTAGATGATCAAAAGTAAATTACCTTCAAAACAAAGACTTTAATCCTTCGCAGTGTTTCTCAAAATTTATCATGAATGGCAGAGTGAAGCATTTAACTTTCAAGTGGTTGCGATTCAAATATTAAGGCAGCACTCACTCACTCACTCACACTTGTCAAGTGTCAAGAATATGTTTCCAGTTTAGATGATTAAAAGTTTTATGTGTTTCGTAATTTAGAATGAAATTGGATTTAACTTTCAAGGGATGTTTAGATTCAAATATTAGGGCAGCAAACCTGAATCACTCACTCACTGACTGTTGTGTTCAGGCATCTCCCGTCCTATCTGGTGGCCGCGTTTGCCAAGAAGATGTCCCGCATCTCCCTCACCGCCCCTGCCCCAGTACTTAAGGCAGCCATCATCTTCGTGTGTAACCTGCTGAAGCGACATCCCACATGCACTGTCCTCATCAACAGACCGGACGCACCCACAGGTACACACACTGGCTGCTAGTCTTTGCTTGTTGGTCAACACCACCCTGAGCTGTCATCCCAAAAAAGGATTGTGGGTGAGAAATATTTGTGTCAAGACCAGATAAACCCGTGATGGAGAAAGGCCGACTGTCCATACTGTTGGTGTGTGTTGACATACAGTCAACTAAGTCACTGAGTCTAAAAACCCAGTCAAGTCTAGGTTGCATGGGGGCTGGGAGTTGAGGGGGGTGATATACAGACTGAGAAATAGAGATCAAGCTAATGTAGCTTGAATGAAACTTGTTTATGAGTTAATCTATCTGTGCATAGCAGTTCATGGAAGCATGTACATAATGTATAATAAAACCTGTCAAGTACTGACTGTGATTGGGTGGTAAATACGTCACCTGTGTTTTCCCAGACCTGGACGAGGATCCCTACCTGTATGATGAACCCGACCCAGCCAAGTGTGAGGCCCTGAAGAGTGCTCTGTGGGAGATCAAGGTATAGTCAGACCAGCAGGCAGGGGCCCAGCAAAACTAGCCAGAGAATATGTTTAAGTCTTCAAGATAATTTAACACTAAAGACTTTTCAGCATTATACTGCAACCTTTTTTTGTCAGCCTTGCTGACTGTTTTCTTATGTGACAGGTGTTGCAGGTTTTGGGAATAATATGAAGAAAAGTTAGATAATATTTGAAATACCAGTGAGTGAGTTTAGTATTACGCCACACTCAACAATATTCCAGCTATATGGCGGATGTCTGTAAATATTAGAGTCTGGACCAGATAGTCCAGTGATCAACAGCATGAGCATTGCTCTACGCAAGTGGAAACCAATGACATGTGTCAACCAAGTCAGCTAGCCTGACCACCCGATCCCGTTTGTCGCCTCCTACGACAAGCATGGGTTACTGAAGATCAATTCTAACCCGGATCTTCACACGATGAAATCCCAGTAGAAATGTATGGGCATCTTTCATGTACTTCAAAATGTCCATGATTCAGAATATACCGAGGATTCACTGGCACCTGAGAATGTTCAGTAGCCTGTAAATGTAACCTCTCTTACTTTTTGGTGACCCCAGACATACACTTCCACACAGACTGTTGTGACCTACGAGGTCTATGATCTACACACGATTGTGTTCACAGACCCTCCAGAGTCACTACTGCCCCGAGGTGGTGAAGCTGGCAACCAGAATCAACCAGCGCCTCCACCACACAGAAGACATGCTCTCGGACTTCCTCGAGGTCACAGAGGAGGAGGTATTCTTCTATTATTCCTTCTTGCAAACATACAGCAGGGTTATGTCTGGTTTGGGGACCAAATGACTGTGTTACCATCCCATGATACTTTGAATGCACCATATCTGGATTTTTTATTGTAATAATCTGCAAGTGTCACTTTTTACTTCCACTAATGACAGCTGCAGTACTTGCTGTTCAAATAGACATCCAACTCTCTCCTCAGGCTGATTGCCCATTCGTCTCAAGCACAACTTTTCTCTGTGCTGAGTTGCCTCCCTTAGATGTGGCAAAAACCTAAGACCGTTGGTTTCAAGGCTGCAATCACAGCTCCAAACCTGTCATCCTTGGTTTCATCCAAGTAAATGTCTAAGACCTGCAAGACTTTGGGCTTTCCTCTCGTATTAAGTTCATATGCACTGGATTGTCAGCAAAACTCTCCCAGTGGCATTTCACTCATTCACAGGATAGTGATGTTTGTTATAGCATACCCTTGGGTTCCATCAAAGACATTTATGCTTACAAGCCCCTGTCTTGGAGGATACGACCAGATGTCTACCTGTTGTTGTACCACAATAATTTTACATGCAAATATGAGATTCACTCACTCACCCACTGTTGCAGTTGATCCGGCGGGAGATCAAGCGATGTCGGAAGACCATTAAGACCACCCCAGTGACGTTTGTACCGCCCAAGGGACTCTTCGGCGCCAAGAGTGACAGGCTGAGGCTGCATTGGTTGCTGGAATAACACTGTGATTACAATGTAAATAAATAATATTGTGAAATTAAGCCGTTTCTGATCTTTTTCTCTCACTCTTTTTTGCAGTTCAAGATAATTTCTACGGTGTCTTTTCTCAGTTAGATGTAAGAGTACTGACCAGCTGGTTTAACTCCATGTGTTGGTCTCTGGGGAAGAGGGGCGGTGGGTAGCCTAGTGGTTAAAGCGTTGGCTCGTCAGGCAAAAAACCCGCTCATCATGCAGTTAATGTACTATCCTCGTCAAAACTACCTGTAGTATAATTACACATTGTCTGAGGACATGAGGAGGAGTTCATTACATGTTGACAGGGTTTTATATATTATATACTAGGCACATAAAGAAACTGTGCATACAAAAATTTAAAATCTACATTTATCAAACCTGTGTAGACTCATAGAATTCAAACTCAGAGATTAGTGACATGTATCCAACATGCATGCACGTGCCACGTTCCGTGACGTCAGTGGGTTCGTCCTTGAGAAATGCAATACGTTGTTGCACATGCATTCCGGGAAAGAGAAACAGAGCAAATGAATGCCACCCAATACTGTCACTTTGGAAAGCTCAACCCCTGCCCTTGCGATCGTTGACTGCCCGAACCACCCCAGGACTTTGCTGTATCCACCCCAACACAGTTCAACAACGTTTACGTCATCACGGGATCAGACCACGACGGCCCGCCATGTTGTTTTTACAGATGAATCCAGGTTTAACATTTCCCATAGTGATGGACGTCAACGTGCCTATAGACGTGTGGGAGAACGTTATGCACAGGCCTGTGTCTTGGAGAGGAATCGCTTTGGTGGTGGTTCCGTGATGATGTGGGGTGGAATAACAGCACGCCAAAGAACTCCTTTGGTGATTGTTCAGGGCAACTTAACTGGTGTGGGCTACAGGGATCAGATTCTTCGACCTGTGGCAATTCCTTTTCTGCAACGTCATGGCCCTGGGTTAACATTCCAAGAGGACAATGCCCGCCCTCATACGGCAAGGGTTGCTATGGATTTCTTGCGCACCACAACGTTACTTACTGCCTTGGCCTGCAAATTCACCGGATCTCTCCCCGATAGAGCATGTTTGGGGCGGGATGGATCGACGTCTACGCCGTCTTCCTCATCTGCCAGATAACGTCCTTGACCTTGCAACAGAACTTGAGAGAATCTGGCGTTACATCCCACAAGCCTTCCTTGCACGTTTGATAGGCTCTATGCGTCGTCGATGCACTGCTGTTCTCAATGCCGATGGTGGACATACCCGTTATTGCGCTTGTGACATGATCGTTTGACCCCTGTCCCGCTTGTGGACTCGTGACGTCATTGTGATTGACTTTTCAATTGAAATTCTCCCGACTTGTTATGATCTCATGATCCCTCCATTAAAGTTGATATGTACCTTTGACATTGTTAGGGTACTTATCAACTGGGATAATATTTTGACAATGTACAGTTTCTGTATGTGGCTAGTATATAATTACACATTGTCTGAGGACATGAGGAGGAGTTCATTACATGTTGACAGAATTCAAAACATTAACTGGAAGTAATGAATCAGAGACCATGACACAATTTTCAAGTACAAAAACGTTTGATTTTCCCAACCGGTACACAACTATCCCTTTCTCTATAGTCCGTTTGGCTCGAAATCGGACCGATGAATTGCGATCTAACTCGAAAACTGATAAACATATAGTACTCAAGGAAACACTGATCATAATAAAAACATCAGACCAACTCTGAGTTTCTTTGAGAGTTTATGTTCGAAAAATAACAAAGTTGTTTAACAGTTCACTATTTGGTACGTGGGAGGATTGCAGAGAAAGGGACAGCCAGGTGTGCGAGAAAGGATGGATACGGCACAGCTCAGGTAAATGAATCATTAGCTTTGTCGACACTGGCTGTTCCTCTCTTTGCACTGCTCCCTCGTAACAAATAGTGAACTGTGTCAAAAATTTTATGATAGTTAAACAACTTTTTTATATTTTCAGGACATAAATTCTGCAGCTCAAGAAACTCAGGATTGGTCTGATGTTTTATTATGATCAGCGTTTCATCCGAGTTAGATAGCACTTCATTGGTTCGATTTTGAGCCAAACGGACTATAATCAACGAAGATTTGGTTTTGCAAGGAAGGAATTCGGCTTTTACCATTGTTAGGAATGTGGTCAGTTTGTTAAAACGGAAAGTAACCCCACTAACACCTCACGAACGAGAACGTGCACAAAGCATGATTCAGGTTGGCACCAGCAGCAGGGATATTGCTCGACAACTTGGACTTGACCACTCCACCATGGTTAGGCTTCATAGACGACATCAGTAGACAGGCAGCACCCGTGACCTTCAATGGCCTTGGCAACAACGTGTTACGACGCTCCATCAAGATCGCCATATTGACCTTGTCCATATCAGTGATTGAACACTGCCGACTGCCAGGACTGCTGCACTAGTTCAAGGTTGATGTGGGGGTCATCAGCGCTGACTCCATGCGACGCCGTCTACACGCTACAGGGCTCCATGCTCGGCGTCCTTATGTTGGACCAATTCTGATTGACAGACACCGTAATGAACGTATACAATGGGCTAGCAGGCATTTTCAGTAACGGTTACAACAATGGCATGGTGTGGAAGTCGCTGACGAGTCGCGTCTTCATCTACGTAATGCTGACGGCCTATTACGTGTTTGGCGTAGACGTGGTGAACGTTATGCTGATGAATGTATGGTTCAGACAGACCTTTGGGTGGTGGGAGTGTCATGGTCTGGGGTGGAATAAATTCCAATCACAGGACTGCCTTCATGTCTGTCAAGGGAGAGTTAATGCCCTTTATTACTGTGAGCAGATTTTTCAGAATCACATTGTATCTGTCTTCAATCACCACCAAGATGTCCATACTTTTCAACAGGACACGCACGGGCACACATAACAAGAGTTTCCATGCAGTATCTGGCCCAGCAACACATCCAGGTTATTCATTGGCCAGCACAGTCGCCAGATGTATCGAGCACTTGTGGGACGAAATTGGTCAAAGTCTTTCACGGCGACAACAGATGCGAAACATCCGGGAACTTGAGGCTGCACTACTGCAGAAGTGGAATGCCATCTTCAAGAACTCTTTTCGGACGCTTATTGACTCAATGAGGAGACGTTGAACTGCATGTATCAATGCAAATGGCGGTCACACCAATATTGACCTTTCGATTTGACCCCAGGTGTGTTCTGACTGTGGAACATTTCAATGAATGAGCGTCTTTTCTGTGTTGTTTTTGTCAATCGTCCATCTTTTATTATCCACTCAAAAAATATCAATTCCTTACAAGTGCTTTTAATAATCTGAACTTTTGTAAATGGTGCGTTTTCAATGATGTTCAGTATATTATTGATATATCCCAAAGCGTTTCTCATGATTGTCATTGTTTGTCTTAGGGGCTCGAGAACACCCTACGCGAGGATACTAGAACTTCTTTACGTGACATTTAGAAGTTGGTATAATGAAGAGGAACAAGTTTTCTGGATTGACAACTTTGCAGATTTGTTTTCCGCTGGCATATGGAAGAAGCTTGAATCTTTGGTCCTTGAAGATTTACTAAATCTGTCAATGAAAATGCCTCCTAAAGTCTGTAAATCGAAAGCAACTTCTACCGTTCAGAAATACAAAGGAGCTTTTAATTCCAATCTCATTCCGTTAGAACTGTGAAATAATAACTAAACTGAACTGATGGGAATATTTAATGCAACCAGTGTAATTACACGTTCTTATTCCCTGCCAGCATGCGGTGGCTTAGAAAAGTAAGAAAAAACTCCCCCCATTATGTGTGAATATATGCGTAGTGATTTATTACAAATGCAGGTAGTCATCATGCGGTGACATACAAACAATACATTGTAACCCTTGTAGGGTGCAATGGGCAACATTAACAATGCAGTTCTGTGCTGAAATGTAAGCATAGATTAATGAATCCATATCAAGAACACCGAAACCAATAATACTACTGGGAGGGTGGGTGGGATCAAGTATGCCGCCATTTCAAACGCTAGGACGACAAGAATTAGGTCAACGGGAGATAACTCTAATTACCACGAAGAGCGGTAACTTAAGGCCGTTGGCTTGCCGCTAAAATACAGGAACTAACATCATTAAAAACTAGTTTAACAATAAAATAATACTTTAATTTATGGCAAAACTGGGCATCAACGTTTGATGAAGTGAGCAGTTTACCGGCAACTTCTTTTCATGTTGGGTTGTATCTTACTTCTCTTATTCAACGAGGTAAACATTCACTGACTGTAGTTGAAGCTATATATAGTATAAGCTGGGCTCACAGAATGGCGGGTTTGACAGATCCGTGCCGGAATGATCTTATCAAGAACATCAGAGAAGCAGATATGAGGCATTATAGTGAACCAGTACAAACTAAAGAAGCGATGGATACTGATATGTTGAGAAGGTTGGTTTCTGAGTTTGGTAAAACAGATTGTTCGCTGTTAGACTTAAGGTTTCTTGTAATGTCACTTATTTCGTTTGCAGGCTTTTTTAGATTTTCTGAGGTTGTTAGTATGGGAAGGTCAGATAGAACTTTCTGTGATGGGTATATGCACATTTTTATAGAAAAAAGCGAGACTGATGTATATAGAGATGGTAAACATGTCTTGATTTCAGCTTCTGGATCCGAACTCTGTCGTTACTATGCTACGTCGTTACATAGTGAAAGCTGGAATTGACGAACATTCACAAAAATACTTATTTAGAAAGTTAAGTTTTTGCAAAAAACGTGGATATCACACACTGAGGGGAGACGCACCTATTTCATATTCTAGAGCCAGAGAAATATTTATTGAAAAATTCAAAGTTATAGGGGAAGATATTAAGAAAAATAGGACTGCATAGTTTTCGTTCTGGTGGCGCCACAACTGCCGCTAGTGCAGGTGTACCAGACCGTCTTTTGAAAAGACATGACCGCTGGGCCTCTGAAAATGCAAAGGACGGCTACGTCAAAGATAATGTCAAAGAACTGTTGAGTGTAACATCGTTGTTGGGATTGTAAGAATAAAATGTCTGAACACATATACCCGTTCTTTTAATTTCGAGCTGCGGTAGACATAACCCTTAACGTGTGTTTTTGTTATACAAAATAAATATTTTATGTTCGGTTGATCGAAGAGAATTAGAACATAAATTAATTTATTTTGGGTAAATATGGTAAAGGTTTGGCTAACGCAGCAGAGTTGAGTTGCACGTGAAAGTGATGTCACGAAGTCACGTGAGAGAGCAACGAGGAGAGTTCTATGGATATACAACTTCATTAATATATTATGAGGTATATATATACATAGTAAAGTTGAACAGTAAGTGATTGATGTTTGCACAATTAATGAGGTTGATGTACAAGGTTGGAGGATGTTTACACAAGAAGGCAATTGTTACACAAACAGAGTAGCTATGGGGGATTATTGGGAGGAAGCCAGTGATATGACAGACAGGAGAATAATGGGATTAAGATTGCTTGCTATGTTCGGTTGATCGAAGAGTATTAGAACATAAAGATAGGGATGTATTTATACAAGGCTTTCTGATTTATAAGTTTGATATTGTTTGTTTATGTTTGGGGCTGTGCATTGTGATTGAGTTTGACTATTTTTATAATAGAAGGTAATGTGATAGTGAAGTTCCCCAATAACTGTGGAGGAAAACATCATATAATTGTATTTTTCGAGTTTAATAGATGTTTTATAAGCATTTCAATCACGTCTGTTGTGTTGATATTAGCCATGTTGGTGGCCAAGCGGAAGTAGTGCGGCAGTGATGTATACGTGCGCAGGGAAGCGGTCATGAAATCAGATGCATTTTCAATCCAGAATTGATAGTGTCTAATTTTATTGATTGTCCAATCAAATTCGAGTATCTCACATCTCTCACTGTACAAGTAGTTGTTTGTTTCTATCAAAATTATATACATTCAGAGGCTAAGCGTTATCTTAGTGCTTACATTACCCATCCCTTCCCACCTATGGTAAAAAGTTTGGGACACACCCACTAGTCTGTCTCACATTCCCTGAACCCCATTATTTTCACTAATGCCCAGCCCTCCCTGCAACGCTAAAACCTGGGGCTCCTGCTCACTCGGGCTCCTTTTAAATGGGTTTATTTGTTACTATCAAAATTATATATATTCAGGGACTAAGCGTTAGTCTAACCCTTCACATGCTCAGAGCCGGATTTAGTGTTAAAATTAACATTTATGTAATTGTACGGAATTCACTGCAGATTTGATTGAATCTAACTGCGCAGTGAATGAATGTAAAGAGACGATCTCCTGTAAGTGTCGATAACGGACCTTTGTATAATGAATTTATCTAGGGACACATGACAATTCCCATGAAACATTATGTAATCTCAACAGTCTCACGCAGTACCAACCATATTGTCTGGCGTATGACAGAGACATGGTCCTGGGAACTGTGTGTCTCCTGGTGTTGGGGGTGGTCTCCGTGAATGGGCTCATTGCTCCCGACAACGACTTGACGCTAGAGGGCCTGGCGAGACATGTTGTGGACCTGGAGGCTGTCGTGCAGAAACAGATACAAAACATCACCAATGAGTTAGCTCTACTCACCAAACACACAGGTATGGATGGTGATATGTTACATACAGCCAATCCGATTTCTCCGAGAATGATGTTTAACCATTATTCTCAAAAACACAAAGGTTCAGACCTCGGCGCTTTCATCTGCCAGTCCTCAAAGATCCGGATTAGAATTGGTCCAGTTATCCAAATTACGTAGGTTGGTGCTCATGATGCCAATCACTGGATTGTCGGGTCCACCCTCACATATTTACAGACTATTTACGGACAGGCCGTCTGAGAGCTGGAATGTTACTGAGAGCGGCGTTCAACAACTAACTCCGTGTCGCATGATTCGAGGCTCTTTTCTTTGGCCTCAACTTTTGACCCTATACACGAAACAGACATTCCTGGACTGCATGATTAATTGTCATTTATAACACCCCCTTCCTTCTGTCCGTATTTCAAAGGTGCAAGTTAATCATTCCAGACCCGGGGATCTCATTCACGGCGTACTTAAGCACTTCAAGAACATGTGCTACTACAAGCACCATCAGATTTGATGACGTGAAGAACAACAATGGAGGAGGTTACAATCCGTACTCCGGAATATTCCGGGCTCCTGTATCAGGTAAACAAGCGTTCCTGTATCAGGTAAACACGCGTTCCTGTATCAGGTAAACAAGTGTCCCTCTCGGATAATTAAGCGTTTCTGTGTCAGGTAAACAAGTGGCCCTCTCGGGTAATTAAGCGTTACTTTATGAGGTAAACAAGTGTCCCTCTCGAGTAATTAAGCGTTTCTATATCAGATAAACAAGTGTCCTTCAATAAAGTAAAACAGTCTTCCTGCACGTGTTTGATCAATTTTCATTTGGAAACAGACTGTATAAATACCCTGTTATTGCACCGGTGTGTTTTATGTTACAGGAATGTACATGTTTTCACTTGTGATGGGGTATATACAATGGGGGTTCTGGATCACTTTCAACAAAAGCCTCTGCAAAGCCTTATTTGGTAAATAAGGCTTTTGTCGGGCCCTTAGCTCTTGCTACCATTTCCCCTACTATGAAAAAGTTTGGGCCGATAGCGGTTCTGGATCACTTTCAACCAAAGCCTCTGCAAAGCCTTATTTCACAAGTAAGGCTTTGGTCGGACCCTTAGCTCTTGCTACCATTACCCCTACTACAAAAGTTGGGGGATGCGAACGCACCTCCTAGCCGCGCCACCGGGGCATGGCTGGAGTAATGGGACACCGCTATGCTGGAGGTAACACTGTACCGTACGGTACGATCAATAATTCTTCTCTCACAAACCCCCTACCTGGCCCATCCCTCAAGTAGTACAAGTTAGGCTCGTCTGCTTTGATGTCCACTTTATCTATGTTGTAAGTTTTGACTGACCATATAGGATCGGTGGCTCGCCACGGGCTATCACCCTCGTGTTCCCCGGGCTGGTATAGATACCTCACTAGGGCCCTATCTGGTATCTGTTTCTCCTTCCCACGCAATGGAGCAGCCGACTCTGCAACTATTGATTTTAGTTTGATAGCGCCTGCCGGTTTCTTATCAGTGAGCCGGTGACTTCATGGTTGATTGCCGACACCACCTTTGGGTAACCTCACACCCATTCAGTCGATCGCTTTCCGGGGTTACCATCTCCTCGCATACTGATGGCCGAATAATCGCCAGCCAAAGTCCTATTAAATCTCTCAACTATGGCTTGGCTGCGATGGGCTCCAGCCGCGCCACGCCTGACCTTTGTATCGTGGTTTGGCTAGCAGTTGTGACACGGCACCCATGAACTCCCCGTCCGGGTCAACTTGCAGCTCTGTTGGCCACGCCAGCGACTGGCGCTTTGTATATGCTCAATCCTCTGGCTACCTGGGCCGAATCTTCGCGGTCAAGGGTTCGCTTCCTTGTAGCGACTGGCTACGCCCACTACGGTTAAGGCATACTTGTACCTCTTGTCGGGTAGGAACAGTAGGTCTGCCTGGTGAACGCTTATTAGGTATGTTAATACCGAACCTCCTTCTAGGCACGAGCGCGGTGCCGGTAAATAGATCTGCCACAGGGCTTGTTTTTCAAGCCACGCTTTGGCCTCCTCCGGGTACTCGCCATTTTAGCTAGCTTATCTACAGCACTAGCTCCTTTCCAGTACCCACGCTGGCTGTAGTAAATAGCCTCAAACTTTCTCTGGTTTCGCGGACATGTCTTGGTTCAATTTTCTCATGCCCATACGCTGCACGTGTTTATCCCATCAATAGCTATCCAACGCTTAGTGTCCATAGGCTTACAGGGACGCCTTGTTTATAGTCAGTCCGTATATCTTATGCCCATCACTTCTAAGTGTGTTCATTTTATGCCTAAAGGTACGGGTCTTGAACAGGGCTTCCTTTGAATCTGGCGTGTTTGATGTGTTGTTTCACCACATACTTCTTAACACCCTTAGCCTTCCGGATTTCACCATTGTCGGCCTTCAGTATGGAGTACATCTTAGGCCTCAACCCTATGTACTCGGCTATGGGCGTGCCAGCACACTCGCCCTTCATCTTACCTAGGACCTTTTTATTTACCGTATTGTGTATGGGCATGGCCCTTAGGGGGTAGTCGCTGGTGTCATACAAATCGAGGTGTTTTTTCATGTCAACGCACACGCCCTCGGTTCGAATCTCCATCAGCAGGGAATCCGTGGTCAGTGTACAGAACTTCACACCTGTCGCCGTACTGTTTCTTGAGCTCGCTGTAGTAAAAGTCGCACATCAGGTGTTTGATAAATCGAGGATGCTCATCCCCACGTAAACAGGCCGGTTGAATTTTATGTGGCTTTTCTTCATGTGTAGGGCAACTAGGTCATCGGTGAATATTTTGCTACGGTTGAATGCCGGACTGGCTATCAGTCTCCTGAGCTTGTCTTCCTCATTCGACCGAACCAGCTTCACGGTCACGCTGCTTTCTCAGGTTCTCCATAGTCTTACCAAACACCGAAGTTGTTCATGAGCTTGTAGAGATTTTCTCAAAGTCACTGGTGGCAAGCTTTCGGAGGTCTGTGTTCATTCTGATGTAGGGTTCCATCCAGGGGCTCTGGGTGAACACGAGCACCCTGTGTATTTTGGTCAGCCTCATACCCAACGACAGGTACAGCTGTAGGTTGCGATAGTGAACGATGTACTTGGTCTTATTCATTAAGTTGGGCACGAAGTTTTTCAACGCCTGTCACACTTCCACCTAACAAGTTATGTTGGTACTCAGACATCCAGTTCAAGTTAACCCTCATACGCTCGGGGCCAGGGGTAGCTGTTGTGTGATGTGTGTAATGCCTTGGGGTATTCCAAGTCAACCTCGAGGATATAACCTTTATTCGAATCTGGTGCGATGCTCATAACATCGACCTCCTTTGACGCCCATTCAACCCCCTGGGGTAGATACTGGCTCATAGCCCAGCCGCACAGGTTGTTGGCGCCGAGGTAGAGAATGTGATTGGTTGGCTTGCTAGGGTCATAGCCCTTAACGTATTGATTATTTGCTTTCACAGACGCTTGGTTGCCATGGAGATCCCACCTCGCAAGCCTTTCTCAATGAATAGGTGCATGTCATAATCTGTAAGCAATTCCAACTTAACTCCGGTCTTTTAAGCAAGGCATCCCACGACAGACCTGGGGGCTGGTGTAATACCACGCGGGTCGAAGTTTATACTGCTTGAAACATGTCCGCCTAAACGCCTCAAACACGCCGGCTAACAGCAGTACATCTGTCCTCAAGTACAGGTCGTGATAATCCCCCAGGTTCTTACAACCCAGTTTATTCCATACATTAATCGCGTGTGAGTAATCGCCTTGGGATATTTCCGAGTCGGTCAGATTGCTGTAAAATTCTCTGATGGGGGTAGTCTGGTCTCGCTAACTTGACCCAACTATCCATGTACTCATAGGGGTACACACCCTTCCCTCATAAGCAGGGTCTAGTCTCGCATCTGTGTATCGGTCGGTGATAGGGAAGGTATCGCTATCCTTGACCAGACTGTCTAATGAAGACAATAGAAATTGTACTGAATCTATGAACCTAAGGCCGCTTAAGCTGAAGGAGATGTATCTCTCCATGTTGTTGGGAATGCACGCTATATTACCATCGATTTTCGCGATGGCCTGCATGATTAAGTGAGAGTCGTACTCTCTCAAGTTGTGAAAGACAACGGGATGTTTATTGTCTTAGGGTTGATTCTAAGCTTGAGGTTACACGCAGCTGTGAGCCGCTTCTATTTTACCGGTTACGTGGCAGTGATCTCTCACCGAATCACCATTCAGTGGTGAGTCACACACGCGACAGTTAGTGCTACAGGCGTGAGCTAGCCTGTCGGCTCGGGTCATACGCATTGGAGCCACTCTTTCATACAGTGCATTCCTAATAATTTTTCTTCCTCCTGCAAACACTTTAGAAACCTTTCAGCCGCCAGGGCCCCTATACACTACGGAGCTTTCGCTTCCCCATCACAACGGACTACAATGTATCCAAACCCACAGGCTTCATGCTCTTGTGTTTTGTGGGTGAAGCTCTCACCTGTGGGAGCCCTCAACCTGTGGGGGTATCCCCAACAACTGGTTTAACCAAGGCTTCAAAGTCGGCGATATGATATAAGGCACAGACATTTGGTTCTTGTGGTTACCGAATTTTAGGATATTGTCACCTTCCTTAGGCATGTCGACTCAGATAGCCGCCTGCCCCACACCTTGACAATCCTCCCGTGGGATTCTAATAAATCAGCTCGTGGTGAAGCCATGTAGGCACCGCTCGCAGAAGTGGGTCTTTTCTCTGTGTGCCGATTGGTCATACAACAGCCTGCTAAAGTGTTTTATCCAAGCGTAGTGGTACTTGTCACCTCGCTGGATCATGAATATATTGATAACACGAGGGGGTTCCCCCCTGGGGTTTCCCCCACTGGGCTGACCCTGTGCACTATTGTTGTGTTACCTTCGTGCCCAAAGACATTTATAGCTAGATTATTCTGTTTTTCTATTTTAGTTATCTGGGATATGGGGTGGGTTCATCTATACCATCCCAGTTGAGCCCATCGCCTTGGGGATAACTAGAAGGCCTGTTCGAATTAGTGTCAGCTGGAAACAAGGCTGACCTGATAGCTAACCTCAAGCAATCGCCTCCTCTATTCCTGACGCTGACTATGGCATGTTTTTTCCTATAGTAGGGAGGCAAGTCTAGGTATGACCCGCCTGAACGGCATCGTAGTTAGCTATGTCTAGATAGACATTATCGATTTTATCTACAGTCCACCCGACCCCAAGTGTGTGTAGCGCTCTAGGTATTCTCTTATCTGCTGAAAACTAGTATCGATTGATGCGTCAATGGTCTCTATATGGGTCACGACCTCTTGTTTACCCCCGAAGTAAGGCTGAACGCACTCAGTGACACCTCCCCCACCTGCTTATCGAGTGACATTTTAACTGTGATTTGAAATTTGATACTTCCTAGACTGGTTAGTTCCTGGTTGACCTTATCAGCTATCAGAGGTTTGATATCTGCGATATCTATGTTCCTATCAACATGCATACGCCAGCCTCTCAAATAGTTGCCTACAGCACGCCAGTGCGCATCGAACTGTAGGTCGACAGCTCTATTCTGCCGTAACAGTTCTACAAGCTGTGGCTTTCTCATTCGGGAATATCCCCTAACCCCAAATCACGCGCCTGAACTTTCAATTGTTTTACAGTGGGAGGTTTTGCTACGGGGCATGTGATAACAATGCGATTAACCCGCTCTCCCCAGGTTTGAATAACCCGTGAATCCAAGCTGTTTTGCTTGAGCTTTTAATTGTTTTACCGTAGGAGGGGCTTCTAAACCTAGTAATTTCAACAATGCTGGTTTGGGCATTCGAGAATACCCAATTACACCCTCTGCCTGGCGATTTGCTTTGAGTTCACCAACAGTGGTCATAGTTGCGCATTAA